CTTGTGTTTCCCACCATAGGCGCAAAGGCGGAGACATACATGACAGCAATTCTGTCCTCGGCTCTGAGCCAATTCTCATCTGCGCGTGATCTCACCGCCGCCGCCGCCGAGTGTATATAGGCACACAAATGCGAGATGTAGTTCCGCCGGCCATGACAGTTGGAACGGTGATCTAGGCGAGCAGACACTTTCATGTTCTGTACCTACCGGTACCTTGCGATGGCGTCACCGTTTCTCGACACAGCCCTTCGCGTCGGCAACTTGAAGCTCGCATCAGGCACTGCGAGTCACTGCGGCGTTGTCCGCATGACCGTCCCTACTTCCCGTCGATCGTCAGGGAGCCGACGAGTGCAGTATTGGTACAGACCAATCACTTTTTAGCCCCGTTTGTTAGCCCCGTTTGCGACGACAGGCGCTGCGTAATGTGTGGCTGGTCACTCTGAGTAACGTCGCCGATTGGTAGCCATTGATTATGAAGGTTTTCCGGAGCTCCCGAGCAGTGTCTGTCGAGGACAGCGCTTGTACGACGCTGTTCGGTTTGTTTCCTGGATGTGGCATGCCTGATTTTCATGACGGCGTCGTGCTCGAAGACATGATGGTGCATGGAAGTGCTGTCGGCGAGCGGCCAACGACTATCGCATCATCTAACTGGTGTACAGGGTGCCTGACGCCCCGCCTCCCCGCGTCATTGTCGGGTTGCCAGTGTACGGCAAGTCTGCAGTCCCATTCGTGAACGAAACCAAATGCTGCACCCGCCTGCAATACAGTGTGACCAACTGTGCACGGGCAATTGCGTCTCGTAACGATTTTGCGCACACACAAGTTGACGTGAATAGAGGGAGATGATCATCAGTACTAAACTCTTCCGCAGTATCTACACAGTGTCCGTGCGAAGCCCAGTATCTCGCAACAGACCCTGTCGGTCTGTGAGCAGCTGCTGACCGTGACGATCCCAGTCAGCGATGCCGTGCTAGGCCATGTAGATGATGGGTGTCAGCGCGAGATGCCCATGTACAATGGTGTGCAAGTCGGGCGGAATACGCAGGCGACTCGATCGTGATCGGTATGAGTCTCGAAACACACAAAACCGCGTCACGATGTCACAGTGTTCAAGTTCAGAACAACGAGGGATGGATCAGCAAAGTGGTCTGCGGCCTGTGTGCATGGAGTACAGGTGAGTGTTGCGTCGACAAGGGTCTCGCATTCGCCGTCCGCATGAAATGGCCAACTGCGATATGCATGCCACGACGAGGTCCCAGTAAGTACTGCGTACCATCCCGTTCTGTTTTTGACAGCACGGCAGGACGTCGCTGACTCGTTGTCAGCCATTCCCGTGTCTTTCACACATCGAGGTCGGTACGCAAGACATGGATGTCAGTACCGACCGATTCTACATCAATCGTCGCCAGACTCATATCATGCTCAATTCTGTGCAATAGTGCTTGCGTTTGCCTCGATAGCTCTGTGTCCATGACGTCTAAGCTGTCGGTCTGCATACTCCTCGGCGCGGCTCCGCAAAGCGAGGGAAATTCAGCGAGGCTTGAAGCAGATGGTCGGTGTCGAATCCCAGCAGGATCGAAGCATCGGTGAGTCCCCCGTACCCCCATACATCCTAGTTCATCATACATTGCCTCGGAGCCTTGGCAGGAAACCCGGTGCGCCGTTTTGTCGATTTCGAACCGTTTCGTGACCGTCAAGACCCGAATGGTAAGCTTAGCTGATGATAACACTCGACGTCACCGCTAAGTCGGTGACCTTACCGAACACAATGTGACTCCGAGTCGGCTTGTACACGAGAGCCGGGATCGTAATCTACAGGTGTGTAGTCACTTCAAGTGCGCGGCCTGTTTCATGGTCCCGCGGTTGACCCTCGAAAGCCCACTGGCGTGTTGATACTCGCAGACTGAACGAAACCAGTCACTCGATGACAGAACCACGATATGTTCTTTGTTCACAGGGGCGTTGGATGGGTATTTTCAGTGTCGAGCCGGTCGGATGTCGTGGATAACTCGTCGCCTGCAACATCGGTAATACGGAGAACGCGTGAACGTCGACGTATAGCCGACCGAATAGATCGCCTGGGCACGCATTGGGCTTGCCACTATCGACACTCGTGCTTTGCCCGGTCCTATGCTTCGACGTCCCCATTGTCCTTGACGGCTCCGTCACCCGGCTAGGCCACTGCCAACTCGTGAACTATGCGACCTGATCCGCAAGGTGGACTCTGGAAACGATATGGTTTGAGTGCACAGGTATGTACATAATCGGACAACGTTCGACTGTCTGTTTCTGGGTCCCTCCGCTGCTCATCGGCGAGTCGCCCATCTCTCCTGCGAAGTCATGCAACGAATAGCTCTACGCATCGACCTCTTGACAAAGAATTCCGCGCCGCGCCGCGGCCATGGCGACAGGTGTTCTTGTGGGTGGTGGACCATCCGACGAGTGCCCTGGCTGTTCTCAAGCCTTTCTGATGGCCCAGGGCGCTGCGGTCGTCAAGGAGGGCCGCATACTCGGTCAGGAAGTGTGTCACAACGCACAGGTGCGTGATACCCTCATCACACACGGCCTGTTGCCTGGCTCGCTGACGCTCGAACACCCGCAGACGAACACTCGCTGAGAAGCGCACGAGGTGCATGGAGGGCCGATGGTAGAGTGGCGAAGGTCACTGGATTCATCCAGCAGCAACGAGGACGTGCTCGCACCACGTCTCTGGGTGTGGATGGAAGCCGTCGCCGTCACGTACCGATCCACAGCTCGCTCAGCACGGCCTGTCCACGGAATATCGTAGGCGAAGGCCGCCACGTTTCACGTCCGCCAAGTATCATAGACAGCTCGAATATATCTATTTGCTGCGACACTATGTACATGGATTCTTGCCCTACGTGAAGCAGCCTGTACGACGTGCCTGTCGTCGCTGACGACACCAACTGTCTATGCGGCGGGGACTCGGATTGCAGCCGTACGAAGGCAGGACACACCGTGACCGATGCAGTAGATACCAATGCCAATGCGTCCGTCGCATGCGCAGCTGACCGTTGTGTGAGGGCGGGGCACTGTGGGACAGCTCGAGTAGCCTGTGCCAACGGCTCCAGCACTGTTCGAAGCCCTCCGAAGTCGCGCCCCGCATCACAGCTCCCGCCCCCGCGTACTGCCCACGCCGCCCCGCACGTCCCCGCCATCCGATCCGCCGGAAGAGAATGCGTCAGTATCAGAAAACACCGTGACGGCACTCACCTCGTTGCGGCCACTCACCGGCGGCGGTCCATGGACGTGCTCGTCCTCGGATGCCTCGATGCGGGCACCGTGTCTGTCCGGCGGACGAGCGGACGAGCGGGCTGCCTGATTCGCTGACGGAGCGTGCCGACGCCCGCGGAGGGACGCGAGCGTGACTCGACGAGCTCGGAGGCGAGCACCCTCCTTCGCAGGCTGGACACGAGGAGAGCGTGCCGCGCGGAATGGAAGGGACACGCATGCGCTCTCGCACGTCGATGCTGCACGGAATCCCGATCGTACGCCTTCTTTCCGGCTCGCCAGCGCGCACCGTAATGCACTCTGTCGAGACATGCATGCCCGGTGGACATGCCCTCGCGCCGTCCGCCTTCGGGTTGCTTTGCGCACCGGCGAATCTGAGTGAACTCACCACGCCGTCCAAGAGGACCGCATACGTCTCCTGCAAAACCCACAAAGAATTCCCTCGCGGCCGATCTTTGGTGAGGAACGTTCACGAGCCGTGCCCGATCAACGCGTACATACCACCCGCCCGCCGGACCATCGAGCGTGGACCCGTACACCGCGCCGGTGGCGATGGGAAGGCTGTCAATACCCACGGCAGGCATGGTACGATGTTCGCTTCCGCGGACATCGTGCACCGGAAAGGCGACGGCGACTTGGCCGCTGGCTGCCGAGCAACCCACTGCGAGCGATCGCGAGGTATAAAGCTGGGAGCTGTAGACGGAGGAGGACATCGGTGAGTCGGTTTTCTGACCGCATCGAAAGGGAACGTACTAACTCTGCGGCACTCGCAGCCTCGCTCGCGCTGTGGGCGTGCCCGGTGACGGCGACGGGCCCTATGAGGATGCGCAGGACGTTGACTGGTGGGCGTCGTCGGCAGTCGCGATGATGGGAACAGGTAAGCCGTCTATGGTCTGGCCGCGGTGGTGGGACTTGCTGACGACGAGTGCCCTAGGGCGCTGCTGGGTTCTTGCGACGGCCGGTGGACTTGCAGCGAACGGGAGCTTCGTGGACGGCTGCGGAGGAGTAGGACAAGGGGTGAGTGAGGGCGCACGTCGCAATGCTTGTGTCCGCACGGTGATGTGCCGCGATGCGGCACGAGCGAAAGGCTCGTAGGTGCGGCTCTGAGTGACCGCCGATGCGTGCGCTGTAGTAGTGAGTGCTTGTACGTAGATCCGCGTGGACCCACTGACCTGCGCCGCGTGCCGCATGCATGCCGCCTAGGCACGAGGCGTGTTCGTCGCAGTGGCGGCGAGGCCGGTGCAGTACTGGTGGTGGGCGCTTGTACACAGAGCAGACCGTTTCGTGCGTCGTGCTCCGCGATCCGTGGGCCATCCGTTGGCTGTAGAGTGAGAGATCGTCCTGGGAGCCGCCTGCGCGCTGCGCTGTGTTGTTCCCGGTGCCTAGACGAGAGTATCGCCGGTTTCACGTGGCCCAGCACTTGTGGTACGCACAACGGTCGATCTGTGCTACGCGCCAAGTCGACCGACAGTTGCGGTATGCACCCGCACGTCGGGAGGGACGCGAGAAGGCCATGCATGGTGGAGAGGACCGCGGGTGCTCTGGGGAGCGTCGCACAGAACGTCGTGTAGCGAGCCGTCCCGGGCATCGTTTTGGTCTGAACGAGTTGCAGGGGCCTCGTACGATGCTGGCGTATCGTTTGGCATCGTCCCGGCGCGTGACACGCGATGCGTTGGGGACGGGGGAAGGCGGGAGCAGGTCGGCGGCGGGGACTGAGGAGGCGCTGTTTCTGGATGAATGCGCGCGATCAGAGAGAAAGACACAAACTGACCTCGGGCGAGCCAGAATGACGCAGAAGGGGGCGTTGGCGGTGTCGACAGACTCGTCTCGGCTATGCGCATCAGGACAGAGCGGCGGAGGGGCGGGCGGAAAGGGCGGGGCGACGAGAGAGACGGCGGAGGGACGGCAGACAGCAGCGAGGGGACGAGAGCGAGCGAGCACAGACAGCGCAGCGAAGAGGTGTTGACACTGTTGAGCTATCGAGACGGACAGGGCGGAGAGAGCGTTTGCGGGCGCTTGCAGCAGCATCATGGATGCAGCGCGAGCGGCGTGAGTGGGCTGAGCAGCTGCGGGGCGGAGGCAGCGGGGCACGCGAGGTGCAGACCTGGGCAAGACGGCATCCTGCGAACGCAGCGAGGACAGCGCAAGCCTAGTGCGTGAAGGATACAGTAGCCGGCAAAGACAGACGAACTCAAGAACGCGCTTATGTACGTTTCCTGATTTAGCTGTATTTGGTACGGTACCCGACGCGCTGGGCGCTTAGCGTTCCGTCGCGCAGTCAGTAGGCTGGCGCTCGTTGTGCGACTCATCCACCACGGTCATGTCCTCCGGTGCACTCAACGAGCCTATTGCGGATAGGGAGTCTATTCACAAGTCGTGCAGGTCGCTCGAAGCCGTTGTCAACGTGCTCAATGACTACTGCGAGGCCGCAAATGCGATCCTAACTCTGCAGCGGAAGCTCGTCAAGGCCTTGCGAGATGCGGCGGCGGCGAAGTGTGTGCCTGAGATACCAGGTACGGGAACCAAGCAACGAGACGTTAAATCGCTGAATGGTGCCCTAGCGAACGCGCTGAACGTGAGCGCGACCATCTTCGACACGCTCTGCGAAGTGGACGCAAAGTTCGTCAAGCTCGCCGACAAGGAGTGCGACGCGGTCAGTGCGGAGGTCAAGAAATGGTTCAAGAAGCTCGCTGTGAGTGCTCTGCATGTATGCGCCAAAGTGCTGGCCTTACGGCGGTCCGTCAGAAAGAAGAGCGTGCGTACGACGATCGCCTCGCCAACGCCAACGCCAAGCTCAAGCAAGCCGGGCAACTGTACGAGAAGAAGGCCAAGAAGAACCCGCAGGACGCGGCCGACGAGCATGCGCGTTACATGAACATCCTGACCACTCTGGGCCCCGAGATCAACCAGGAGAAGTAGTCAGTACCTCTGTCATTCGCACTTGTTACCGTCACTCACCCCCGGTCAGCAATCACTCGCTTATGGTGACGCGTAGGCATCACTCGACGATACACAGCTTGGCCGCCAGTCTCTCTCGCGTGGCGGACGCAGAATGGCTTCGTTCCTGCGAGGGCGTGCGACGCTCTGCTCCTACCATCGGACAGCTCGGCGAATGGCGCGTCTACTGCGAGGGTGGATGGTCAGGCCCGCTGCCTGCAGACCTACCGAACGACGAGGCTCCTGATCGTCCCGACCGCTCTGTGACGCCGATTGCCCAAGGACGCGCCGTGACACCGAGCATGGAAAAGTCGCCGCAAGGTCCCAGTACTCCGATGTTGGAGAAGCCTGCGCCCGAATATTCATCGCGTCGTCCGAGCGAGCAGGAGACAGATGCATCTTCACGAGCCGTCACGCCGTCCACGACTCGTCACCCGCTCCGCCGCAGTATCACCCTGCGAAGACGATAGCTGATGACTCTGTCAGGTCCCTGGCATCTCTGTCGTCCTTCCCCTCACCGCCTACACATTTCCCTATGCCACCTCTTGCGAAGGCCGAGGCTAGCTCTCCGGTGAAGGAGACGAGGCCCGAGTCCCCTCGCGGACCACGTACACCATCTGAAATTCTCTTCCAGCGCAGGACAGAGTCACCTATCCCGCTCGCGCCGTCCGAGACATCACGCCCCCTACCATCCCCCGCCGCTCCACGCGCCGAACCTGCTGCCATTGCTACATCGGTTCCTGTTGAGACAAATGGCAAGGCCGTCGACGGGAACGCTACGCAGCAGGGATCAGATTCGCAGCACTCGATGCGCGGAGTCGGAGAGTCGAGATTGCACGAGCGGCGTGAGGCAAAGACCCCGTCCCCAGTGCTTACGCGCGCTGCGAGCAAGAAGATCAAGTTTGAGAGTGCAGCAGTTCATCAGGTCCGACTAGTTCGATCAGTGGATCTTCGCAAGGCGGCGACCATGTTGACGACGGTGAATTCGGCGCCCTCAGACCTAGGGAAGAAAAGCGGCCGCGACAAGGTGGACCGTGACGCGCGACCTCGCAGCCGACGAGCGACGCATGAGCACGCAGCGTAGTGGCGCCTGCGTGATCGATACCGGATAGTACGCTCGCTACCATGCTGCCACGGGTGCTGCACGACCGCGATCTCCTGACAGCCCGAACACCTACGTCGCCTCGTAAGGGCCAAGGTCACCGACGAGCGTCTAAGACGCGACATACAGCCATCGACGCTGCCCGACTCCCGCCCCACCTCCCCGCGCAGACCGCCGTCGCTGTCGATGGATACTCGCGATACTCAGACGAGTATGGTACGAGCCTAATAGACCGAGAGGTGGGCGTGTGAGCGTGGCGTGGGGGCGGGGCGGGGATCGTCGCACGGCGGGCGTGGGGGTTTACGTGCGAGCGCAGGGATTGGCTGAGGGCAAAACGCAACTGGCGCAGCAAGTCCAAAACACGTCCTTTTTTTGGGCATAGTTTCGCCTCCCCGCAGGGAGCTCATCAATTATGGTGTGCTGAATTTTTTCGTAGATCACGCAAACGGGCCCCAGTATGTACATCGGTGCTAACGAAAAAAGCGTCCCCCCTCTCTGCCGTCACTCGCGGCGACGGCTGGTCCCTCCCCTCCATCTCAATGGCAGTCGGCGGCCTGGGAACACACAGCAAGGCGAGTACCGTACCAGGTGAGTGCCCGTGCAAGGTCGTCGCGGCCGCCTGAGGCTGTACGCCCTTGGAGCAGCTGCGGTCAGTCGCTGTCGCACAGTAGCTACGTATCGAATATATCTCGTCACCGCTGTGCGATGACCGTGGGCTGGCTGTTCAGGTTGTCAATAATGGAGCCCTGAACATTGACAAAGTTGCACTCACCGTATCGGCAGATAACGTGCATCGCCATTCGCACCACACAGCGCGAACGTCGTGGAAGGCAATCTGCCACGCGCTGTCCCTCATAGCCCCGTCCTTGTCAGGACGGGCTCGCCGTTGTCAGTGACCGACAGAGCAGGCACGAAGAGGCTGACTCACGCTGAATGGTGATCCATCATCCTGCGCATCCCGGTAACGGACTGCACACGACGCTTCGAGGATGTGCAGCACAGTCGGGCTGGAATCGGGGGACTTGGCACAGATAGTGCTCTTTGAAGATGTGGATTCACGGGTCCGGTGGAAGGCCTTCTTGATGCTTGACATGGGTATCGATGGAGCGAGCAGAAAGTGGGTATGGACGGGCCGGCGCTGAGCCTTGTGTCGCTCGCCGGACGTCGTTATGTCCGTACCACGCTCGACCTTGATGGTCGGGCCATAACGTTTGACACGGAGCCCCGCGAATGAAGCGGATAGCAGAGGTGCGGACCAGGTCTGCGGGGCGCAACGCCACGTCGGCCATGAGCCATGAGCATCAGTACTGGTCTTGGGTCGACGACGTACCCGAGACGTCGCTCGCCGGACGTCGATCTGTATATACATCGCCGTTCCGGGTACCGTGAAGGGCGCATGCGAACGTGTATGGGGCTGGCGAAGGTCTTCTCCAAAGTTGGTATGTCGCCTGTGTGTCTCGGCGGGCGCGTCATTATAGATTGTGACACACTATATTCGCATGAGTACTTACGAGAGGATGGCCATGAGCACTTGAGTGTACCCTCAAAGGTACGAAGGATTTGTTGCCTTGACATACTCACCACGTGTCTCATGCTCGTTGTGTGTCGATCCATGTAGACGGTATCGTCGGACGCTGTCGCCCACTCGCGGGTTGGCTGCATGATGGTGTCTATCAGGTAGCCAGAGTACTGGCAGCGCTACCGCGCTGCTCCTTGGCGATCCGAGTCGACGCATGAATGAGTAGACGTGGACAGCAGACGCTGTCCAGTGTAGTAGTCAGTCGGTGTCAATACACGTTGATACAGTCATCTACGCACCATGACGGGCACCCCGCTCGCGGGAAGACGATCCATATATATATTGCCATGCACGGTTGACTCAGGCCGGGCATCGTCGCGGAGGAACATAGGACAGACCGCGCCGAAAGACCTATCCGTTGCATGCTGGTATCAGCAGAGGAAGACCAACACGAAAACACACTGCCCACCTCGTTCCATTATCCTCACAGGCAGTAACACCTCACGAATGAATGAAAGGGGCCCGGAATAGCTTGTTGCCCTTCGGTTGGTCCTTCTAGCGGATGCAATGTGATGTCACGGTGCATGAGCACCGCTCAACCTCGGACTCGTAGATGTCTGTGCGACGTCGCTCGCACCGTGATATAATTGTTCATTCATCCGCTCGTAACTTACGCAGCCATATACATGTTCCCGGAGTCACCCACCGTACCAGTCATGTTTGAGAATGAACAGAGTCCGCAATACAGAAGATCACTCGCCCCCCGACAGATACTCGGTGTACTATTGGGGCACAGACTCGCTAAGCTTACCTCAAAGGGCATTCGGCGTCGACGCCGGGAACCAGCAACCTTCGCTACCGACAGAGCGTGCACGTCTCTGATCACATCATATTTATAATGCATGCCTATCAGTCGAACGAATGTAACTGAGTGCGGAGTGGTCAGTACACTCGGAATCAAGCCGCGGCAAGGCACCTACTTTAGTGTAAATATGACACACGATACTCCCTGACTCGACGTGGCGGATGCTCATCTATCCATAACCGGTCAATGATCAATGTCTTTGGACGGTTCGCACACGTGCGGCCAACGTACCTGTCATAGCCAGCTTGTCACGCAGCTTGTCCACTCGGCAGACAGAATGCTTCGGTCAATTTGACGGCGACGGGTCCATGGGTCAACTGCACATTTGCACGCATGCAACGACTCGACTGAGCCGCGTGCTCATGCCCCGGCACATGTCTGTCTCTGTCAGTACGTCTCACGCAGACAAGCTTTAAAGCAACCCACCCACTGGCAGAGACGCAGCATGAGTCTACGCACGTCATGAGATTCCGAATCTGATGCATACCGTGCCGACAATATTGGTGCAGACTTACCATATGGTCATGCGTAGGGCCAGTCCCACTGGCAATCGAGTCAATGTCCTGTCTTCAAAGCTTCACGGCGCCAACGAACGTTGAGGCCTGCAGTACTGCTGAGTATTACACCGATCGAGCAACTCGGCGGAGTGACAGCACTCACTTACTGGTATATGGAGCACGTCGCGCGCGTGCGCTTCATTGAAGCTTGACTCAGGCCGTAGTAGCTGCTCTCCAGGTTTCATGGACAGTTAGGGTTCATCGCGCAGGGACACAGATACGTACACAAACCTACTTGTATTGAGCCACCAGGATTGGGCCGACTTGGAGTTGAGCCTGACTTGTGCGCAGCTTGAGACTATAAGTCACTCGGAGCATCCTGCCAACGCACGACCATTTGAACGGTGAGCGTCTGATGTTCTATATTGGGAAGACGGTACTTACTTAAAGCGGCTCGTACGAGCCCTCGGGCTCTCCGTGACTAGCACATTTGACGTGAGCTCGCAGCCTCTGCTGTTGGAAAAGAAAGACTCAAAGAGACAGTGAGTATGAATGCGTACACGAGCAGTAAGGAATATACTCACTAGATGCACGTTCGTCCTCAATGTTCGTGGCAGCGGTGGACCAGAGATCAGGACTCGACAGTGAAGTTGGTGAGCCCCGAGCGAACGGTCAAGCTTCAAGGCGGAGGATGTGTGTGCGCCGAATCTAGGCAGTCGACTCGGAGGTGCACGCTAGCATAGTGTGGGCATCGGGAGTGGTACGTCCTGCAATTCTACCCAGCCTATATATTCCCCGCCGTGTTCGGCTCCAGCATACATAATGCCAGACTTGTGTCAGAACAGCCTTGATAGCACATGTCCACATTCGCCTCGATCCTTGCCTCAAGATGGTGTCACAAATCCACGTCAACGCCACCAGAGGTTTCTTCGGATGCTAAGTGCTAAGTGCTCAGCGCTCATCAATCAATTCACGCCACAATTCTACTCCGACACCCATACACTCTGCTTCGCTCATGTCTCCCAGTTGTGCTTCAATATGACTCAGACCCAAGAATATTGAGTGGGAGATTCAACCACACAAATTCAGCATTGGGCTGTGACAGCTTAAGCAGCAACTGCAGAGAACTCAATCACTCTTAGCCTTACTCAATGCTTGTCGACTGATGTCTTCTCAGCCATGTACCGAGCCGATTTCATCACTATCACTGGCATGGAATGATACTTACGTGTATAGCTATCTTCGATACTGAACGTTGAACGTTGAACTCCAAGTCGGAACCTGTACATCGGAACAGGATGAATGGACATTCACGTAGTAGGCCCATCATCCTTATCAGTCACATAACAAGTCAATGAATCACTCACAGTCTTTTGGTCACAGGTCACTTCATGGTGTCCGGCACGTAGAGCCCTGGGCTCCGACGGAAGTGCGAGGTCGGAGGGCAAGCTACTCATTATGGGAGTCTGGTGATCCTTCGGTGAGCTTTGCCAGATTTAGCGACTCGCTGTTATGGACCTGATGCAATGGTGCTGGCATTTCAACATATTGACCTTCAAGACTGTAGTACTCGTAATAACACAGTACTGTGTCAAACGTTAGAGCCAGTTGAAGCTTCGAGCCAGAGTGAGAAGCCGGGCCGGGCCATGATACTTACCAGGTGCACTCGGATACTACTAGACGTGACCCACTTATGTAATCCTTCGTTCGTGAATAGCACCCATATGTGGAGACCCGGGCTGCGACTCAGATGCACGGCAGCAGCAGTGACATGAGTAACAGTATATAGACGAGACGGGGTACGTACACGGTCACGTCCTCAGAGGAGAGGAGGATCACGACGCGTGCGCCGCAAGTCGCACTTCAGAGCTTCAGCCACAAACGCCACTCTCTCCCGTTTGCTCACTCGCTCGCTGGTCGAAATGTTGACCCCTTCTCTTGTCAGTGTATATGCGGCTGTAATGCAATTACCCAAGCCCGTCTTTCTGGCTGGAAACGAAAACACTGCGGCCCGCTCTCGGGCACCGTCGGTGTTGGCTATCCTCCGACTCTGGGCCAACCGCCACTGCATCGTCTTCGCGCTCGGCTCGTCTGCTTTAAAATCTTGCTTCGCCTTCGACAGCTCAGTCCTCTGAACGACATAATGGTCTCTGCTTCCCAGCCGTGCTCGCAACCATACGTGTGCAGTTGGAGCTGCCAACACACGTTCTCGTGGATACTCAACGAGTTCTACCAGCCACCGTGACACTGGGATATCCGTACGCTCGACAGATCCTGTCCAACAAGCTGTGATCGAATGGTTTGGTCGGGCCGTGTAGTGTGGGGACGGGGATCATCATTCCGGTGAGTCTGTGTATGCGCCTGCCTCCGAGAAGTGTCTCCCGCTACATGCGTTGCATCACTTGTATGATGCAGAGAGGACGCAAGCGGGACTCACGTACCAGCTATTTGGTCGTGATTGAATGCGTACGCTGGAGCTACATGTCAGTCCGATTTTTCCTGGATCGTTCGACTGTGTGCGGCGTATGCGGACGCCGCAATGGGGGATTGACGTACGTCGTATGCCCGGTTGCGTCGCATATGCGCTGTCATCCATGCTGCATGTCCACCGGGGCGCTCGTAGTCTCAGGGCGCGGCCGACAGTGCATCTCCTTGCCAGTCCGTCGTCGGGTCAATACTGTGACCGTGTTCGGCATTGGTGCGAACATACCACCGGTCAAATGTTCGAGTCGGCGGCCTATCATGTCTTGTACCTGGACAAAACAGCCCAAGCTGTGTATTTCCTCGCCTTGTGTTTCCCACCATAGGCGCAAAGGCGGAGACATACATGACAGCAATTCTGTCCTCGGCTCTGAGCCGATTTTCATCTGCGCGTGATCTCACCGCCGCCGCCACCGAGTGTATATAGGCACACAAATGCGAGATGTAGTTCCGCCGGCCATGACAGTTGGAACGGTGATCTAGGCGAGCAGACGCTTTCATGTTCTGTACCTACCGGTACCTTGCGATGGCGTCACCGTTTCTCAACACAGCCCTTCGCGTCGGCAACTTGAAGCTCGCATCAGGCACTGCGAGTCACTGCGGCGTTGTCCGCATGACCGTCCCTACTTCCCGTCGATCGTCAGGGAGCCGACGAGTGCAGTATTGGTACAGACCAATCACTTTTTAGCCCCGTTTGTTAGCCCCGTTTGCGATGACAGGCGCTGCGTAACGTGTGGCTGGTCACTCTGAGTAACGTCGATTGGTAGCCATTGATTATGAAGGTTTTCCGGAGCTCCCGAGCAGTGTCTGTCGAGGACAGCGCCTGTACGACGCTGTTCGGTTTGTTTCCTGGATGTGGCATGCCTGATTTTCATGACGGCGTCGTGCTCGAAGACATGATGGTGCATGGAAGTGCTGTCGGCGAGCGGCCAACGACTATCGCATCATCTAACTGGTGTACAGGGTGCCTGACGCCCCGCCTCCCCGCGTCATTGTCGGGTTGCCAGTGTACGGCAAGTCTGCAGTCCCATTCGTGAACGAAACCAAATGCTGCACCCGCCTTGTGACCAACTGTGCACGGGCAATTGCGTCTCGTAACGATTTTGCGCACACAAGTTGACGTGAATAGAGGGAGATGATCAGTACTAAACTCTTCCGCAGTATCTACACAGTGTCCGTGCGAAGCCCAGTATCTCGCAACAGACCCTGTTGGTCTGTGAGCAGCTGCTGACCGTGACGATCCCAGTCAGCGATGCCGTGCTAGGCCATGTAGATGATGGGTGTCAGCGCGAGATGCCCATGTACAATGGTGTGCAAGTCGGGCGGAATACGCAGGCGACTCGATCGTGATCGGTATGAGTCTCGAAACACACGAAACCGCGTCACGATGTCACAGTGTTCAAGTTCAGAACAACGAGGGATGGATCAGCAAAGTGGTCTGCGGCCTGTGTGCATGGAGTACAGGTGAGTGTTGCGTCGACAAGGGTCTCGCATTCGCCGTCCGCATGAAATGGCCAACTGCGATATGCATGCCACGACGAGGTCCCAGTAAGTACTGCGTACCATCCCGTTCTGTTTTTGACAGCACGGCAGGACGTCGCTGACTCGTTGTCAGCCATTCCCGTGTCTTTCACACATCGAGGTCGGTACGCAAGACATGGATGTCAGTACCGACCGATTCTACATCAATCGTCGCCAGACTCATATCATGCTCAATTCTGTGCAATAGTGCTTGCGTTTGCCTCGATAGCTCTGTGTCCATGACGTCTAAGCTGTCGGTCTGCATACTCCTCGGCGCGGCTCCGCAAAGCGAGGGAAATTCAGCGAGGCTTGAAGCAGATGGTCGGTGTCGAATCCCAGCAGGATCGAAGCATCGGTGAGTCCCCCGTACCCCCATACATCCTAGTTCATCATACATTGCCTCGGAGCCTTGGCAGGAAACCCGGTGCGCCGTTTTGTCGATTTCGAACCGTTTCGTGACCGTCAAGACCCGAATGGTAAGCTTAGCTGATGATAACACTCGACGTCACCGCTAAGTCGGTGACCTTACCGAACACAATGTGACTCCGAGTCGGCTTGTACACGAGAGCCGGGATCGTAATCTACAGGTGTGTAGTCACTTCAAGTGCGCGGCCTGTTTCATGGTCCCGCGGTTGACCCTCGAAAGCCCACTGGCGTGTTGATACTCGCAGACTGAACGAAACCAGTCACTCGATGACAGAACCACGATATGTTCTTTGTTCACAGGGGCGTTGGATGGGTATTTTCAGTGTCGAGCCGGTCGGATGTCGTGGATAACTCGTCGCCTGCGACATCGGTAATACGGAGAACGCGTGAACGTCGACGTATAGCCGACCGAATAGATCGCCTGGGCACGCATTGGGCTTGCCACTATCGACACTCGTGCTTTGCCCGGTCCTATGCTTCGACGTCCCCATTGTCCTTGACGGCTCCGTCACCCGGCTAGGCCACTGCCAACTCGTGAACTATGCGACCTGATCCGCAAGGTGGACTCTGGAAACGATATGGTTTGAGTGCAAGTTGTACATAATCGGACAACGTTCGACTGTCTGTTTCTGGGTCCCTCCGCTGCTCATCGGCGAGTCGCCCATCTCTCCTGCGAAGTCATGCAACGAATAGCTCTACGCATCGACCTCTTGACAAAGAATTCCGCGCCGCGCCGCGGCCATGGCGACAGGTGTTCTTGTGGGTGGTGACCATCCGACGAGTGCCCTGGCTGTTCTCAAGCCTTTCTGATGGCCCAGGGCGCTGCGTCGTCAAGGAGGGCCGCATACTCGGTCAGGAAGTGTGTCACAACGCACAGGTGCGTGATACCCTCATCACACACGGCCTGTTGCCTGGCTCGCTGACGCTCGAACACCCGCAGACGAACACTCGCTGAGAAGCGCACGAGGTGCATGGAGGGCCGATGGTAGAGTGGCGAAGGTCACTGGATTCATCCAGCAGCAACGAGGACGTGCTCGCACCACGTCTCTGGGTGTGGATGGAAGCCGTCGCCGTCACGTACCGATCCACAGCTCGCTCAGCACGGCCTGTCCACGGAATATCGTAGGCGAAGGCCGCCACGTTTCACGTCCGCCAAGTATCATAGACAGCTCGAATATATCTATTTGCTGCGACACTATGTACATGGATTCTTGCCCTACGTGAAGCAGCCTGTACGACGTGCCTGTCGTCGCTGACGACACCAACTGTCTATGCGGCGGGGACTCGGATTGCAGCCGTACGAAGGCAGGACACACCGTGACCGATGCAGTAGATACCAATGCCAATGCGTCCGTCGCATGCGCAGCTGACCGTTGTGTGAGGGCGGGGCACTGTGGGACAGCTCGAGTAGCCTGTGCCAACGGCTCCAGCACTGTTCGAAGCCCTCCGAAGTCGCGCCCCGCATCACAGCTCCCGCCCCCGCGTACTGCCCACGCCGCCCCGCACGTCCCCGCCATCCGATCCGCCGGAAGAGAATGCGTCAGTATCAGAAAACACCGTGACGGCACTCACCTCGTTGCGGCCACTCACCGGCGGCGGTCCATGGACGTGCTCGTCCTCGGATGCCTCGATGCGGGCACCGTGTCTGTCCGGCGGACGAGCGGACGAGCGGGCTGCCTGATTCGCTGACGGAGCGTGCCGACGCCCGCGGAGGGACGCGAGCGTGACTCGACGAGCTCGGAGGCGAGCACCCTCCTTCGCAGGCTGGACACGAGGAGAGCGTGCCGCGCGGAATGGAAGGGACACGCATGCGCTCTCGCACGTTGATGCTGCACGGAATCCCGATCGTACGCCTTCTTTCCGGCTCGCCAGCGCGCACCGTAATGCACTCTGTCGAGACATGCATGCCCGGTGGACATGCCCTCGCGCCGTCCGCCTTCGGGTTGCTTTGCGCACCGGCGAATCTGAGTGAACTCACCACGCCGTCCAAGAGGACCGCATACGTCTCCTGCAAAACCCACAAAGAATTCCCTCGCGGCCGATCTTTGGTGAGGAACGTTCACGAGCCGTGCCCGATCAACGCGTACATACCACCCGCCCGCCGGACCATCGAGCGTGGACCCGTACACCGCGCCGGTGGCGATGGGAAGGCTGTCAATACCCACGGCAGGCATGGTACGATGTTCGCTTCCGCGGACATCGTGCACCGGAAAGGCGACGGCGACTTGGCCGCTGGCTGCCGAGCAACCCACTGCGAGCGATCGCGAGGTATAAAGCTGGGAGCTGTAGACGGAGGAGGACATCGGTGAGTCGGTTTCTGACCGCATCGAAAGGGAACGTACTAACTCTGCGGCACTCGCAGCCTCGCTCGCGCTGTGGGCGTGCCCGGTGACGGCGACGGGCCCTATGAGGATGCGCAGGACGTTGACTGGTGGGCGTCGTCGGCAGTCGCGATGATGGGAACAGGTAAGCCGTCTATGGTCTGGCCGCGGTGGTGGGACTTGCTGACGACGAGTGCCCTAGGGCGCTGCTGGGTTCTTGCGACGGCCGGTGGACTTGCAGCGAACGGGAGCTTCGTGGACGGCTGCGGAGGAGTAGGACAAGGGGTGAGTGAGGGCGCACGTCGCAATGCTTGTGTCCGCACGGTGATGTGCCGCGATGCGGCACGAGCGAAAGGCTCGTAGGTGCGGCTCTGAGTGACCGCCGATGCGTGCGCTGTAGTAGTGAGTGCTTGTACGTAGATCCGCGTGGACCCACTGACCTGCGCCGCGTGCCGCATGCATGCCGCCTAGGCACGAGGCGTGTTCGTCGGCAGTGGCGGCGAGGCCGGTGCAGTACTGGTGGTGGGCGCTTGTACACAGGTCCATAGAGCAGACCGTTTCGTGCGTCGTGCTCCGCGATCCGTGGGCCATCCGTTGGCTGTAGAGTGAGAGATCGTCCTGGGAGCCGCCTGCGCGCTGCGCTGTGTTGTTCCCGGTGCCTAGACGAGAGTATCGCCGGTTTCACGTGGCCCAGCACTTGTGGTACGCACAACGGTCGATCTGTGCTACGCGCCAAGTCGACCGACAGTTGCGGTATGCACCCGCACGTCGGGAGGGACGCGAGAAGGCCATGCATGGTGGAGAGGACGCGGGCGCTCTGGGGAGCGTCGCACAGAACGTCGTGTAGCGAGCCGTCCCGGGCATCGGTTTGGTCTGAACGAGTTGCAGGGGCCTCGTACGATGCTGGCGTATCGTTTGGCATCGTCCCGGCGCGTGACACGCGATGCGTTGGGGACGGGGGAAGGCGGGAGCAGGTCGGCGGCGGGGACTGAGGAGGCGATGTTTCTGGATGAATGCGCGCGATCAGAGAGCAAAGACACAAACTGACCTCGGGCGAGCCAGAATGACGCAGAAGGGGGCGTTGGCGGTGTCGACAGACTCGTCTCGGCTATGCGCATCAGGACAGAGCGGCGGAGGGGCGGGCGGAAAGGGCGGGGCGACGAGAGAGACGGCGGAGGGACGGCAGACAGTAGCGAGGGGACGAGAGCGAGCGAGCACAGACAGCGCAGCGAAGAGGTGTTGACACTGTTGAGCGAGCGAGACGGACAGGGCGGAGAGAGCGTTTGCGGGCGCTTGCAGCAGCATCATGGATGCAGCGCGAGCGGCGTGAGTGGGCTGAGCAGCTGCGGGGCGGAGGAGCGGGGCACGCGAGGTGCAGACCTGGGCAAGACGGCATCCTGCGAACGCAGCGAGGACAGCGCAAGCCTAGTGCGTGAAGGATACAATAGCCGGCAAAGACAGACGAACTCGAGAACGCGCTTATGTACGTTTCCTGATTTAGCTGTATTTGGTACGGTACCCGACGTGCTGGGCGCTTAGCGTTCCGTCGCGCAGTCAGTAGGCTGGCGCTCGTTGTGCGACTCATCCACCACGGTCATGTCCTCCGGTGCACTCAACGAGCCTATTGCGGACAGGGAGTCTATTCACAAGTCGTGCAGGTCGCTCGAAGCCGTTGTCAACGTGCTCAATGACTACTGCGAGGCCGCAAACGCGATCCTAACTCTGCAGCGGAAGCTCGTCAAGGCCTTGCGAGATGCGGCGGCGGCGAAGTGTGTGCCTGAGATACCAGGTACGGGAACCAAGCAACGAGACGTTAATTCGCTCAATGGTGCCCTAGCGAACGCGCTGAACGTGAGCGCGACCATCTTCGACACGCTCTGCGAAGTGGACGCAAAGTTCGTCAAGCTCGCCGACAAGGAGTGCGACGCGGTCAGTGCGGAGGTCAAGAAATGGTTCAAGAAGCTCGCTGTGAGTGCTCTGCATGTATGCGCCAAAGTGCTGGCCTTACGGCGGTCCGTCAGAAAGAAGAGCGTGCGTACGACGACCGCCTCGCCAACGCCAACGCCAAGCTCAAGCAAGCCGGGCAACTGTACGAGAAGAAGGCCAAGAAGAACCCGCAGGACGCGGCCGACGAGCATGCGCGTTACATGAACATCCTGACCACTCTGGGCCCCGAGATCAACCAGGAGAAGTAGTCAGTACCTCTGTCATTCGCACTTGTTACCGTCACTCACCCCCGGTCAGCAATCACTCGCTTATGGTGACGCGTAGGCATCATTCGACGATACACAGCTTGGCCGCCAGTCTCTCTCGCGTGGCGGACGCAGAATGGCTTCGTTCCTGCGAGGGCGTGCGACGCTCTGCTCCTACCATCGGACAGCTCGGCGAATGGCGCGTCTACTGCGAGGGTGGATGGTCAGGCCCGCTGCCTGCAGACCTACCGAACGGCGAGGCTCCTGATCGTCCCGACCGCTCTGTGACGCCGATTGCCCAAGGACGCGCCGTGACACCGAGCATGGAAAAGTCGCCGCAAGGTCCCAGTACTCCGATGTTGGAGAAGCCTGCGCCCGAATATTCATCGCGTCGTCCGAGCGAGCAGGAGACAGATGCATCTTCACGAGCCGTCACGCCGTCGCACGACTCGTCACCCGCTCCGCCGCAGTACCACCCTGCGAAGACGATAGCTGATGACTCTGTCAGGTCCCTGGCATCTCTGTCGTCCTTCCCCTCACCGCCTACACATTTCCCTATGCCACCTCTTGCGAAGGCCGAGGCTAGCTCTCCGGTGAAGGAGACGAGGCCCGAGTCCCCTCGCGGACCACGTACACCATCTGAAATTCTCTTCCAGCGCAGGACAGAGTCACCTATCCCGCTCGCGCCGTCCGAGACATCACGCCCCCTACCATCCCCCGCCGCTCCACGCGCCGAACCTGCTGCCATTGCTACATCGGTTCCTGTTGAGACAAATGGCAAGGCCGTCGACGGGAACGCTACGCAGCAGGGATCAGATTCGCAGCACTCGATCGCGTCGGAGAGTCGAGATTGCACGATCGGCGTGAGGCAAAGACCCCGTCCCCAGTGCTTACGCGCGCTTCGAGCAAGAAGATCAAGTTTGAGAGTGCAGCAGCTTCATCAGGTCCGACTAGTTCGATCGGGTGGATCTTCGCAAGGCCGGCGACCATGTTGACGACGGTGAATTCGGCGCCCTCAGACCTAGGGAAGAAAGCGGCCGCGACAAGGTGGATGCGTGCCGACTGCGTAGCGTCAGACGGTTATGGTACGAGCCTAACTAGACGATAGGTGGCAGGCGGCGTGGGCGTGTGAGCGTGGCGTGGGGGCGGGGCGGGGATCGTCGCACGGCGGGCGTGGGGGTTTTACGTGCGAGCGCAGGGATTGGCTGAGGGCAAAACGCAACTGGCGCAGCAAGTCCAAAACACGTCCTTTTTTTGGGCATAGTTTCGCCTCCCCGCAGGGAGCTCATCAATTATGGTGTGCTGAATTTTTTCGTAGATCACGCAAACGGGCCCCAGTATGTACATCGGTGCTAACGAAAAAAGCGTCCCCCCTCTCTGCCGTCACTCGCGGCGACGGCTGGTCCCTCCCCTCCATCTCAATGGCAGTCGGCGGCCTGGGAACACACAGCAAGGCGAGTACCGTACCAGGTGAGTGCCCGTGCAAGGTCGTCGCGGCCGCCTGAGGCTGTACGCCCTTGGAGCAGCTGCGGTCAGTCGCTGTCGCACAGTAGCTACGTATCGAATATATCTCGTCACCGCTGTGCGATGACCGTGGGCTGGCTGTTCAGGTTGTCAATAATGGAGCCCTGAACATTGACAAAGTTGCACTCACCGTATCGGCAGATAACGTGCATCGCCATTCGCACCACACAGCGCGAACGTCGTGGAAGGCAATCTGCCACGCGCTGTCCCTCATAGCCCCGTCCTTGTCAGGACGGGCTCGCCGTTGTCAGTGACCGACAGAGCAGGCACGAAGAGGCTGACTCACGCTGAATGGTGATCCATCATCCTGCGCATCCCGGTAACGGACTGCGCACGACGCTTCGAGGATGTGCAGCACAGTCGGGCTGGAATCGGGGGACTTGGCACAGATAGTGCTCTTTGAAGATGTGGATTCACGGGTCCGGTGGAAGGCCTTCTTGATGCTTGACATGGGTATCGATGGAGCGAGCAGAAAGTGGGTATGGACGGGCCGGCGCTGAGCCTTGTGTCGCTCGCCGGACGTCGTTATGTCCGTACCACGCTCGACCTTGATGGTCGGGCCATAACGTTTGACACGGAGCCCCGCGAATGAAGCGGATAGCAGAGGTGCGGACCAGGTCTGCGGGGCGCAACGCCACGTCGGCCATGAGCCATGAGCATCAGTACTGGTCTTGGGTCGACGACGTACCCGAGACGTCGCTCGCCGGACGTCGATCTGTATATACATCGCCGTTCCGGGTACCGTGAAGGGCGCATGCGAACGTGTATGGGGCTGGCGAAGAGTCTTCTCCAAAGTTGGTATGTCGCCTGTGTGTCTCGGCGGGCGCGTCATTATAGATTGTGACACACTATATTCGCATGAGTACTTACGAGAGGATGGCCATGAGCACTTGAGTGTACCCTCAAAGGTACGAAGGATTTGTTGCCTTGACATACTCACCACGTGTCTCATGCTCGTTGTGTGTCGATCCATGTAGACGGTATCGTCGGACGCTGTCGCCCACTCGCGGGTTGGCTGCATGATGGTGTCTATCAGGTAGCCAGAGTACTGGCAGCGCTACCGCGCTGCTCCTTGGCGATCCGAGTCGACGCATGAATGAGTAGACGTGGACAGCAGACGCTGTCCAGTGTAGTAGTCAGTCGGTGTCAATACACGTTGATACAGTCATCTACGCACCATGACGGGCACCCCGCTCGCGGGAAGACGATCCATATATATATTGCCATGCACGGTTGACTCAGGCCGGGCATCGTCGCGGAGGAACATAGGACAGACCGCGCCGAAAGACCTATCCGTTGCATGCTGGTATCAGCAGAGGAAGACCAACACGAAAACACACTGCCCACCTCGTTCCATTATCCTCACAGGCAGTAACACCTCACGAATGAATGAAAGGGGCCCGGAATAGCTTGTTGCCCTTCGGTTGGTCCTTCTAGCGGATGCAATGTGATGTCACGGTGCATGAGCACCGCTCAACCTCGGACTCGGTAGATGTCTGTGCGACGTCGCTCGCACCGTGATATAATTGTTCATTCATCCGCTCGTAACCTACGCAGCCATATACATGTTCCCGGAGTCACCCACCGTACCAGTCATGTTTGAGAATGAACAGAGTGCCGCAATACAGAAGATCACTCGCCCCCCGACAGATACTCGGTGTACTATTGGGGCACAGACTCGCTAAGCTTACCTCAAAGGGCATTCGGCGTCGACGCCGGGAACCAGCAACCTTCGCTACCGACAGAGCGTGCACGTCTCTGATCACATCATATTTATAATGCATGCCTATCAGTCGAACGAATGTAACTGAGTGCGGAGTGGTCAGTACACTCGGAATCAAGCCGCGGCAAGGCACCTACTTTAGTGTAAATATGACACACGATACTCCCTGACTCGACGTGGCGGATGCTCATCTATCCATAACCGGTCAATGATCAATGTCTTGGACGGTTCGCACACGTGCGGCCAACGTACCTGTCATAGCCAGCTTGTCACGCAGCTTGTCCACTCGGCAGACAGAATGCTTCGGTCAATTTGACGGCGACGGGTCCATGGGTCAACTGCCATTTGCACGCATGCAACGACTCGACTGAGCCGCGTGCTCATGCCCCGGCACATGTCTGTCTCTGTCAGTACGTCTCACGCAGACAAGCTTTAAAGCAACCCACCCACTGGCAGAGACGCAGCATGAGTCTACGCACGTCATGAGATTCCGAATCTGATGCATACCGTGCCGACAATATTGGTGCAGACTTACCATATGGTCATGCGTAGGGCCAGTCCCACTGGCAATCGAGTCAATGTCCTGTCTTCAAAGCTTCACGCGCCAACGAACGTTGAGGCCTGCAGTACTGCTGAGTATTACACCGATCGAGCAACTCGGCGGAGTGACAGCACTCACTTACTGGTATATGGAGCACGTCGCGCGCGTGCGCTTCATTGAAGCTTGACTCAGGCCGTAGTAGCTGCTCTCCAGGTTTCATGGACAGTTAGGGTTCATCGCGCAGGGACACAGATACGTACACAAACCTACTTGTATTGAGCCACCAGGATTGGGCCGACTTGGAGTTGAGCCTGACTTGTGCGCAGCTTGAGACTATAAGTCACTCGGAGCATCCTGCCAACGCACGACCATTTGAACGGTGAGCGTCTGATGTTCTATATTGGGAAGACGGTACTTACTTAAAGCGGCTCGTACGAGCCCTCGGGCTCTCCGTGACTAGCACATTTGACGTGAGCTCGCAGCCTCTGCTGTTGGAAAAGAAAGACTCAAAGAGACAGTGAGTATGAATGCGTACACGAGCAGTAAGGAATATACTCACTAGATGCACGTTCGTCCTCAATGTTCGTGGCAGCGGTGGACCAGAGATCAGGACTCGACAGTGAAGTTGGTGAGCCCCGAGCGAACGGTCAAGCTTCAAGGCGGAGGATGTGTGTGCGCCGAATCTAGGCAGTCGACTCGGAGGTGCACGCTAGCATAGTGTGGGCATCGGGAGTGGTACGTCCTGCAATTCTACCCAGCCTATATATTCCCCGCCGTGTTCGGCTCCAGCATACATAATGCCAGACTTGTGTCAGAACAGCCTTGATAGCACATGTCCACATTCGCCTCGATCCTTGCCTCAAGATGGTGTCACAAATCCACGTCAACGCCACCAGAGGTTTCTTCGGATGCTAAGTGCTAAGTGCTCAGCGCTCATCAATCAATTCACGCCACAATTCTACTCCGACACCCATACACTCTGCTTCGCTCATGTCTCCCAGTTGTGCTTCAATATGACTCAGACCCAAGAATATTGAGTGGGAGATTCAACCACACTGCAAATTCAGCATTGGGCTGTGACAGCTTAAGCAGCAACTGCAGAGAACTCAATCACTCTTAGCCTTACTCAATGCTCGTCGACTGATGTCTTCTCAGCCATGTACCAGCCGATTTCATCACTATCACTGGCATGGAATGATACTTACGTGTATAGCTATCTTCGATACTGAACGTTGAACGTTGAACTCCAAGTCGGAACCTGTACATCGGAACAGGATGAATGGACATTCGCGTAGTAGGCCCATCATCCTTATCAGTCACATAACAAGTCAATGAATCACTCACAGTCTTTTGGTCACAGGTCACTTCATGGTGTCCGGCACGTAGAGCCCTGGGCTCCGACGGAAGTGCGAGGTCGGAGGGCAAGCTACTCATTATGGGAGTCTGGTGATCCTTCGGTGAGCTTTGCCAGATTTAGCGACTCGCTGTTATGGACCTTGATGCAATGGTGCTGGCATTTCAACATATTGACCTTCAAGACTGTAGTACTCGTAATAACACAGTACTCGTGTCAAATGTTAGAGCCAGTTGAAGCTTCGAGCCAGAGTGAGAAGCCGGGCCGGGCCATGATACTTACCAGGTGCACTCGGATACTACTAGACGTGACCCACTTATGTAATCCTTCGTTCGTGAATAGCACCCATATGTGGAGACCCGGGCTGCGACTCAGATGCACGGCAGCAGCAGTGACATGAGTAACAGTATATAGACGAGACGGGGTACGTACACGGTCACGTCCTCAGAGGAGAGGAGGATCACGACGCGTGCGCCGCAAGTCGCACTTCAGAGCTTCAGCCACAAACGCCACTCTCTCCCGTTTGCTCACTCGCTCGCTGGTCGAAATGTTGACCCCTTCTCTTGTCAGTGTATATGCGGCTGTAATGCAATTACCCAAGCCCGTCTTTCTGGCTGGAAACGAAAACACTGCGGCCCGCTCTCGGGCACCGTCGGTGTTGGCTATCCTCCGACTCTGGGCCAACCGCCACTGCATCGTCTTCGCGCTCGGCTCGTCTGCTTTAAAATCTTGCTTCGCCTTCGACAGCTCAGTCCTCTGAACGACATAATGGTCTCTGCTTCCCAGCCGTGCTCGCAACCATACGTGTGCAGTTGGAGCTGCCAACACACGTTCTCGTGGATACTCAACGAGTTCTACCAGCCACCGTGACACTGGGATATCCGTACGCTCGACAGATCCTGTCCAACAAGCTGTGATCGAATGGTTTGGTCGGGCCGTGTAGTGTGGGGACGGGGATCATCATTCCGGTGAGTCTGTGTATGCGCCTGCCTCCGAGAAGTGTCTCCCGCTACATGCGTTGCATCACTTGTATGATGCAGAGAGGACGCAAGCGGGACTCACGTACCAGCTATTTGGTCGTGATTGAATGCGTACGCTGGAGCTACATGTCAGTCCGATTTTTCCTGGATCGTTCGACTGTGTGCGGCGTATGCGGACGCCGCAATGGGGGATTGACGTACGTCGTATGCCCGGTTGCGTCGCATATGCGCTGTCATCCATGCTGCATGTCCACCGGGGCGCTCGTAGTCTCAGGGCGCGGCCGACAGTGCATCTCCTTGCCAGTCCGTCGTCGGGTCAATACTGTGACCGTGTTCGGCATTGGTGCGAACATACCACCGGTCAAATGTTCGAGTCGGCGGCCTATCATGTCTTGTACCTGGACAAAACAGCCCAAGCTGTGTATTTCCTCGCCTTGTGTTTCCCACCATAGGCGCAAAGGCGGAGACATACATGACAGCAATTCTGTCCTCGGCTCTGAGCCGATTTTCATCTGCGCGTGATCTCACCGCCGCCGCCACCGAGTGTATATAGGCACACAAATGCGAGATGTAGTTCCGCCGGCCATGACAGTTGGAACGGTGATCTAGGCGAGCAGACGCTTTCATGTTCTGTACCTACCGGTACCTTGCGATGGCGTCACCGTTTCTCACACAGCCCTTCGCGTCGGCAACTTGAAGCTCGCATCAGGCACTGCGAGTCACTGCGGCGTTGTCCGCATGACCGTCCCTACTTCCCGTCGATCGTCAGGGAGCCGACGAGTGCAGTATTGGTACAGACCAATCACTTTTTAGCCCCGTTTGTTAGCCCCGTTTGCGATGACAGGCGCTGCGTAACGTGTGGCTGGTCACTCTGAGTAACGTCGATTGGTAGCCATTGATTATGAAGGTTTTCCGGAGCTCCCGAGCAGTGTCTGTCGAGGACAGCGCTGTACGACGCTGTTCGGTTTGTTTCCTGGATGTGGCATGCCTGATTTTCATGACGGCGTCGTGCTCGAAGACATGATGGTGCATGGAAGTGCTGTCGGCGAGCGGCCAACGACTATCGCATCATCTAACTGGTGTACAGGGTGCCTGACGCCCCGCCTCCCCGCGTCATTGTCGGGTTGCCAGTGTACGGCAAGTCTGCAGTCCCATTCGTGAACGAAACCAAATGCTGCACCCGCCTTGTGACCAACTGTGCACGGGCAATTGCGTCTCGTAACGATTTTGCGCACACAAGTTGACGTGAATAGAGGGAGATGATCAGTACTAAACTCTTCCGCAGTATCTACACAGTGTCCGTGCGAAGCCCAGTATCTCGCAACAGACCCTGTTGGTCTGTGAGCAGCTGCTGACCGTGACGATCCCAGTCAGCGATGCCGTGCTAGGCCATGTAGATGATGGGTGTCAGCGCGAGATGCCCATGTACAATGGTGTGCAAGTCGGGCGGAATACGCAGGCGACTCGATCGTGATCGGTATGAGTCTCGAAACACACGAAACCGCGTCACGATGTCACAGTGTTCAAGTTCAGAACAACGAGGGATGGATCAGCAAAGTGGTCTGCGGCCTGTGTGCATGGAGTACAGGTGAGTGTTGCGTCGACAAGGGTCTCGCATTCGCCGTCCGCATGAAATGGCCAACTGCGATATGCATGCCACGACGAGGTCCCAGTAAGTACTGCGTACCATCCCGTTCTGTTTTTGACAGCACGGCAGGACGTCGCTGACTCGTTGTCAGCCATTCCCGTGTCTTTCACACATCGAGGTCGGTACGCAAGACATGGATGTCAGTACCGACCGATTCTACATCAATCGTCGCCAGACTCATATCATGCTCAATTCTGTGCAATAGTGCTTGCGTTTGCCTCGATAGCTCTGTGTCCATGACGTCTAAGCTGTCGGTCTGCATACTCCTCGGCGCGGCTCCGCAAAGCGAGGGAAATTCAGCGAGGCTTGAAGCAGATGGTCGGTGTCGAATCCCAGCAGGATCGAAGCATCGGTGAGTCCCCCGTACCCCCATACATCCTAGTTCATCATACATTGCCTCGGAGCCTTGGCAGGAAACCCGGTGCGCCGTTTTGTCGATTTCGAACCGTTTCGTGACCGTCAAGACCCGAATGGTAAGCTTAGCTGATGATAACACTCGACGTCACCGCTAAGTCGGTGACCTTACCGAACACAATGTGACTCCGAGTCGGCTTGTACACGAGAGCCGGGATCGTAATCTACAGGTGTGTAGTCACTTCAAGTGCGCGGCCTGTTTCATGGTCCCGCGGTTGACCCTCGAAAGCCCACTGGCGTGTTGATACTCGCAGACTGAACGAAACCAGTCACTCGATGACAGAACCACGATATGTTCTTTGTTCACAGGGGCGTTGGATGGGTATTTTCAGTGTCGAGCCGGTCGGATGTCGTGGATAACTCGTCGCCTGCGACATCGGTAATACGGAGAACGCGTGAACGTCGACGTATAGCCGACCGAATAGATCGCCTGGGCACGCATTGGGCTTGCCACTATCGACACTCGTGCTTTGCCCGGTCCTATGCTTCGACGTCCCCATTGTCCTTGACGGCTCCGTCACCCGGCTAGGCCACTGCCAACTCGTGAACTATGCGACCTGATCCGCAAGGTGGACTCTGGAAACGATATGGTTTGAGTGCACAGGTATGTACATAATCGGACAACGTTCGACTGTCTGTTTCTGGGTCCCTCCGCTGCTCATCGGCGAGTCGCCCATCTCTCCTGCGAACTCATGCAACGAATAGCTCTACGCATCGACCTCTTCACAAAGAATTCCGCGCCGCGCCGCGGCCATGGCGACAGGTGTTCTTGTGGGTGGTGGACCATCCGACGAGTGCCCTGGCTATTCTCAAGCCTTTCTGATGGCCCAGGGCGCTGCGGTCGTCAAGGAGGGCCGCATACTCGGTCAGGAAGTGTGTCACAACGCACAGGTGCGTGATACCCTCATCACACACGGCCTGTTGCCTGGCTCGCTGACGCTCGAACACCCGCAGACGAACACTCGCTGAGAAGCGCACGAGGTGCATGGAGGGCCGATGGTAGAGTGGCGAAGGTCACTGGATTCATCCAGCAGCAACGAGGACGTGCTCGCACCACGTCTCTGGGTGTGGATGGAAGCCGTCGCCGTCACGTACCGATCCACAGCTCGCTCAGCACGGCCTGTCCACGGAATATCGTAGGCGAAGGCCGCCACGTTTCACGTCCGCCAAGTATCATAGACAGCTCGAATATATCTATTTGCTGCGACACTATGTACATGGATTCTTGCCCTACGTGAAGCAGCCTGTACGACGTGCCTGTCGTCGCTGACGACACCAACTGTCTATGCGGCGGGGACTCGGATTGCAGCCGTACGAAGGCAGGACACACCGTGACCGATGCAGTAGATACCAATGCCAATGCGTCCGTCGCATGCGCAGCTGACCGTTGTGTGAGGGCGGGGCACTGTGGGACAGCTCGAGTAGCCTGTGCCAACGGCTCCAGCACTGTTCGAAGCCCTCCGAAGTCGCGCCCCGCATCACAGCTCCCGCCCCCGCGTACTGCCCACGCCGCCCCGCACGTCCCCGCCATCCGATCCGCCGGAAGAGAATGCGTCAGTATCAGAAAACACCGTGACGGCACTCACCTCGTTGCGGCCACTCACCGGCGGCGGTCCATGGACGTGCTCGTCCTCGGATGCCTCGATGCGGGCACCGTGTCTGTCCGGCGGACGAGCGGACGAGCGGGCTGCCTGATTCGCTGACGGAGCGTGCCGACGCCCGCGGAGGGACGCGAGCGTGACTCGACGAGCTCGGAGGCGAGCACCCTCCTTCGCAGGCTGGACACGAGGAGAGCGTGCCGCGCGGAATGGAAGGGACACGCATGCGCTCTCGCACGTTGATGCTGCACGGAATCCCGATCGTACGCCTTCTTTCCGGCTCGCCAGCGCGCACCGTAATGCACTCTGTCGAGACATGCATGCCCGGTGGACATGCCCTCGCGCCGTCCGCCTTCGGGTTGCTTTGCGCACCGGCGAATCTGAGTGAACTCACCACGCCGTCCAAGAGGACCGCATACGTCTCCTGCAAAACCCACAAAGAATTCCCTCGCGGCCGATCTTTGGTGAGGAACGTTCACGAGCCGTGCCCGATCAACGCGTACATACCACCCGCCCGCCGGACCATCGAGCGTGGACCCGTACACCGCGCCGGTGGCGATGGGAAGGCTGTCAATACCCACGGCAGGCATGGTACGATGTTCGCTTCCGCGGACATCGTGCACCGGAAAGGCGACGGCGACTTGGCCGCTGGCTGCCGAGCAACCCACTGCGAGCGATCGCGAGGTATAAAGCTGGGAGCTGTAGACGGAGGAGGACATCGGTGAGTCGGTTTCTGACCGCATCGAAAGGGAACGTACTAACTCTGCGGCACTCGCAGCCTCGCTCGCGCTGTGGGCGTGCCGGTGACGGCGACGGGCCCTATGAGGATGCGCAGGACGTTGACTGGTGGGCGTCGTCGGCAGTCGCGATGATGGGAACAGGTAAGCCGTCTATGGTCTGGCCGCGGTGGTGGGACTTGCTGACGACGAGTGCCCTAGGGCGCTGCTGGGTTCTTGCGACGGCCGGTGGACTTGCAGCGAACGGGAGCTTCGTGGACGGCTGCGGAGGAGTAGGACAAGGGGTGAGTGAGGGCGCACGTCGCAATGCTTGTGTCCGCACGGTGATGTGCCGCGATGCGGCACGAGCGAAAGGCTCGTAGGTGCGGCTCTGAGTGACCGCCGATGCGTGCGCTGTAGTAGTGAGTGCTTGTACGTAGATCCGCGTGGACCCACTGACCTGCGCCGGCCGGCGTGCCCGGCCATGCATGCCGCCTAGGCACGAGGCGTGTTCGTCGGCAGTGGCGGCGAGGCCGGTGCAGTACTGGTGGTGGGCGCTTGTACACAGGTCCATAGAGCAGACCGTTTCGTGCGTCGTGCTCCGCGATCCGTGGGCCATCCGTTGGCTGTAGAGTGAGAGATCGTCCTGGGAGCCGCCTGCGCGCTGCGCTGTGTTGTTCCCGGTGCCTAGACGAGAGTATCGCCGGTTTCACGTGGCCCAGCACTTGTGGTACGCACAACGGTCGATCTGTGCTACGCGCCAAGTCGACCGACAGTTGCGGTATGCACCCGCACGTCGGGAGGGACGCGAGAAGGCCATGCATGGTGGAGAGGGACGCGGGCGCTCTGGGGAGCGTCGCACAGAACGTCGTGTAGCGAGCCGTCCCGGGCATCGGTTTGGTCTGAACGAGTTGCAGGGGCCTCGTACGATGCTGGCGTATCGTTTGGCATCGTCCCGGCGCGTGACACGCGATGCGTTGGGGACGGGGGAAGGCGGGAGCAGGTCGGCGGCGGGGACTGAGGAGGCGATGTTTCTGGATGAATGCGCGCGATCAGAGAGCAAAGACACAAACTGACCTCGGGCGAGCCAGAATGACGCAGAAGGGGGCGTTGGCGGTGTCGACAGACTCGTCTCGGCTATGCGCATCAGGACAGAGCGGCGGAGGGGCGGGCGGAAAGGGCGGGGCGACGAGAGAGACGGCGGAGGGACGGCAGACAGTAGCGAGGGGACGAGAGCGAGCGAGCACAGACAGCGCAGCGAAGAGGTGTTGACACTGTTGAGCGAGCGAGACGGACAGGGCGGAGAGAGCGTTTGCGGGCGCTTGCAGCAGCATCATGGATGCAGCGCGAGCGGCGTGAGTGGGCTGAGCAGCTGCGGGGCGGAGGGAGCGGGGCACGCGAGGTGCAGACCTGGGCAAGACGGCATCCTGCGAACGCAGCGAGGACAGCGCAAGCCTAGTGCGTGAAGGATACATAGCCGGCAAGGAGAGACGAACTCAAGAACGCGCTTATGTACGTTTCCTGATTTAGCTGTATTTGGTACGGTACCCGACGCGTTGGGCGCTTAGCGTCTCGTCGCGCAGTAAGTAGGCTGGCGCTCGTTGTGCGGCTCGTCCAGCACGGTCATGTCCTCTACCGCACTCAACGAACCTATCGCAGATAGGGAGTCAATCCACAAGTCGTGCAGGTCGCTCGAAGCCGTCGTCAACGTGCTCAATGACTACTGTGAGGCCGCAAATGCGATCCTAACTCTGCAGCGGAAGCTCGTCAAGGCCTTGCGAGATGCGGCGGCGGCGAAGTGTGTGCCTGAGATACCAGGTACGGGAACCGAGCAACGAGACGTTAATTCGCTCAATGGTGCCCTAGCGAACGCGCTGAACGTGAGCGCGACCATCTTCGACACGCTCTGCGAAGTGGACGCAAAGTTCGTCAAGCTCGCCGACAAGGAGTGCGACGCGGTCAGTGCGGAGGTCAAGAAATGGTTCAAGAAGCTCGCTGTGAGTGCTCTGCATGTATGCGCCAAAGTGCTGGCCTTACGGCGGTCCGTCAGAAAGAAGAGCGTGCGTACGACGATCGCCTCGCCAACGCCAACGCCAAGCTCAAGCAAGCCGGGCAACTGTACGAGAAGAAGGCCAAGAAGAACCCGCAGGACGCGGCCGACGAGCATGCGCGTTACATGAACATCCTGACCACTCTGGGCCCCGAGATCAACCAGGAGAAGTAGTCAGTACCTCTGTCATTCGCACTTGTTACCGTCACTCACCGCCGGTCAGCAACCACTCACTCATGGTGACGCGTAGGCATCACTCGACGATACACAGCTTGGCCGCCAGTCTCTCTCGCGTGGCGGACGCAGAATGGCTTCGCTCCTGCGAGGGCGTGAGACGCTCTGCTCCTACCATCGGACAGCTCGGCGAATGGCGCGTCTACTGCGAGGGTGGATGGTCAGGCCCGCTGCCTGCAGACCTACCGAACGGCGAGGCTCCTGATCGTCCCGACCGCTCGGTCACGCCAATTGCTCAAGGACGTGCGGCGACGCCGAACATGGAGAAGTCGCCACAAGGTCCCAGTACCCCGATGTTGGAGAAGCCTGCGCCCGAGTATTCATCGCGTCGTCCGAGCGAGCAGGAGACAGATGCATCTTCACGAGCCGTCACGCCGTCCCACGACTCGTCACCCGCTCCGCCGCAGTATCACCCTGCGAAGACGATAGCTGATGACTCTGTCAGGTCCCTGGCATCTCTGTCGTCCTTCCCCTCACCGCCTACACATTTCCCTATGCCACCTCTTGCGAAGGCCGAGGCTAGCTCTCCGGTGAAGGAGACGAGGCCCGAGTCCCCTCGCGGACCACGTACACCATCTGAAATTCTCTTCCAGCGCAGGACAGAGTCACCTATCCCGCTCGCGCCATCCGAGACATCACGCCCCCTACCATCCCCCGCCGCTCAACGCGCCGAACCTGCTGCCATTGCCACATCGGTTCCTGTTGAGACTAATGGCAAGGCCGTCGACGGGGACGCTACGCAGCAGGGATCAGATTCGCAGCACTCGATTGCGCCGGAGAGTCGAGATTTGCACGATCGGCGTGAGGCAAAGACCCCGTCCCCAGTGCTTACGCGCGCTTCGAGCAAGAAGATCAAGTTTGAGAGTGCAGCAGCTTCATCAGGTCCGACTAGTTCGATCGGTGGATCTTCGCAAGGCGGCGACCATGTTGACGACGGTGAATTCGGCGCCCTCAGACCTAGGGAAGAAAAGCGGCCGCGACAAGGTGGACCCGTCGACGCGCAGACCTCGCAGCCGATCGAGCGGAGCGACACTGGCATGAGCAACGGCAGCGTAGTGGCTGCCCTGCGTGATCGATATTCACGGATAGTACGCTCGCTACCATTGCTGCTCACGGGGTGCTGCACTGACCCGCGATATCTCCTGACAGCCCGAACAACCTACGTCGCCTCGTAAGGAGGTGCCAAGGTCACCGACGAGCGTATCTAAGATCGCGAACAAATACGAGCCCATCGACGTTGCCCCGACTTCTCCGCGGCTCCCACCTACCTCGCCCGCTGCAGACCGCCGTCGTCTGTCGATGGATATCTCGCGGAATAGCACACAGCCATTCCCGACAGATCGTCGGACCGCCGGTGTGACTTCGACGAGTTACGCCACCAACACGATGGCCTCAATACCCATGCACGACGACATCGCCATCCGCCGGCAGCGCATAGCGGAACTGGAAGAGCTGGAGCTGCGTGAGCAAGAACTAGAGCTGCGCCGCAAAGAGCGCGAGATCGGGCAAAGGGCGAAGGCACTCGAGGAGGAGCGCGCGCGAATCTTCAACGCGCGCAGCCCGGACAGCGGGTACGGGAGCGACGCTGCGCGGAGCGGGATGACGGACCGGCTGTCGATGAGCCAGCAGTCGGACGCATACTCAACATCGTCTGCGCGGCCGCGGTATACGCCGCACTCGTACAGCAGCGCAGCGCTGGAGCCACCGCGGGCTACGCGCCCGTCTTCCGGTCCACAACCCTCGAGCCAGTCTGGGTCGCCCCTGTACCAACCCGCGTCGGACCATGCGCCGTATTGTGGATGCGAAACGTGTTCTGCGTCCAAATACGCATCTCAGGATACGTCGCCGTCGCCGATCCACGTACGTCCTGTGCAGGCGCCGCTCCAGCTGCGTCCCGAGAAACCCAAGGGGTGGATCCGCCGCCTGAGCATGCCCGTCATGGGCAATGCGTTCTCTCTCGACTCAAAGAAGGGTATCAGCAGCGCCGGTATCGCCGGCGGCCCTGGTATGCGCAGTAGTCTTGCGCTACCTGAAGAAGACGGTATGATTAGAAGAGACGTCACAGGCGGCGTGCGCAACCGCAGTGCAACCAATCTCGCGCGGCGATGACGCTGACACTATCCGTGTTCATCCTCATTGTGTTGCATATCTGTCATGACTGATACCCGTGTTATCATATGCCCAACTTACGACCCCTAAGGACCTGGGCCTACGCCCGTGGCCTCAACGCATGTCCTTTCCGACCTCTACGAGTAGCGACGATGACTTATTGTAGTATCTTATCCATTGCCGAATGCCTTCGTCCCGTACTTAATGAGTAGCTCGGCTGTGCTCCATTGTTGTTTTTAGTTTCTAGGAAATCAACGAGATGTACAACCCGGTGTATGCGATATCGAACGCTGCTTGCGTTCAGTGTTCGATATATCAGGCCGCGCGCGAGACTTGGGCACCGTCTTGAAGTAGCATGACAAGACTGCTCGGGACATTCATGCACCCATTCACATTCATCGACAGGTGACAACATAAGCACTATATGTAGTCTCATGAATAAGGTCGTAGAAGGACATTCTCCAGTAGCTCCTGGATACGAGATAGCTGTGCTTCAACTCCCTCCAGCCTGTCATTAAAGCTATCGTGCATCGACCCCAACCTCGTCTCCAATGCTTCGATGCGTTGCTCCATTGATATACGCGCCTCTTCTGTCATTCGAGCTTGACATCTTACTAGCGTGTGTGTATCCAAGTGCCGGTCCTTCGTTATGCCCCCCTTCGTGTCGCATGTCATGCATATGAACACATTATCTGTCTCCAGTTCAGGGTGGCTCGCATCGAAATGGGATGCGCACGCACCATCACACTCTGCGCAGTACCAACACGGCCATCTGATGCTACTGTCACAGCCTAGACATCTGAGTGCTCTGTGCATCGTATTCGACGTCTCCAAGCCGTTCGCAGAGCCTGCATCCTGCAATAATGCTTCAAACATCGCGTGGGCCCTCCGTAAAGCCCTCCGAGCTTGCACCTCGTTCTGTTGGCGTTCCCGCACGTGCATGGTCTTCCTGAGCTGGAAAATATCGTGCGTCGGGAGGTGAGGCGAAGTCAAGTCCGAGCGCTGCTTCGGGCCGACGGGGGAGGTGAGGCAACGAGGATCGCTGCACAAGTCAATCGTATCCATGGACTCTGGCCCGCAGGACAAGCACACCATGCGCGAGCCCATGATACGTCCTTTGCAGCTATCACACTCAAACCCTCTGCATAGCTTCAGATGTCAGTGAACGTTGGAGATCGTGCGATGGAATCACGCACTCGTGTACGCATGCCGTGAGGAGAACTTGATACTCAGCAACGGATGCATAATACCGAGCATCTCTGGGACTCAGAGAGCGATACAACTCTCGCATTCCCTGGCTCTCATCAGGGCTGAGAGGACGGCCGTAATTTTCGCGCACGCAAAATTCGATGTATCGATTCCGCGTGTCCCGTCGTCTCTTGAAGAACTTCCACGAGTAACTCGACCTGAGGACCTGGTGCTCCACTGCTGACAGCGCGAAACGCCATAATGCGCGGGGCTTGTTTATCTCGAGTTCCCAGGGTGCCGGACGGAAAGAGAGCACCTCGGGAGGCATGCGGGTCAAGACAAAAGGGCCAACCTCTGGTTGGCTGCTGTCCATCTCCTCGCCACCCCAGACACCCGAAATTCGCATGCGGTTTTCGCTCAGTTGGCCACGGAATTCCAGGACGATTGCCCGCACATTGAACTTCAGCAGCAGCGTGTAGTATGTTGCGCCGTGAGATGTGGTCTCCACATCACCCAGGACAGCGAAAGTGATGCCCCTCCAGCTGTCGGGCATAGAACCAGCCGCCTCGAACTTGTTGAGCCCATGATCCGCAGCATGTATGTCAAGGGTGAACATTGGTCCCAAGGGCCACGCGCGTGTCTTCTCTCTGGACATGAAGCCATACCAAGTGCCCAAGCTGCGTACATGCGATGAATTCGTGTATGGGCATACTAGGTAGCTGACACACGTACATTTCCTTGACAGGCGATTCGGCCCTGAGATCTGCTTCTGTCTCGACAAAATGCTTTGCATTGTATTGCTCGATTTCGGGGAAATATGGTTCCTTGAGTGAATAGTTCAAAGCGGCGGAACTGGACAGTCCTTCGTCTCCCACAGTGGACGACTGATCGTATTGGACGGGAGCCCATTGAAAGCTATACAGTCGTTTTCTGGCTTCGTTCCAGTTCTCTGTGAATTCGAACTATGAAAGTCTAAGTAAAGGAGGAATCGGTGGGGCAGACATAGAAACCTTACTATTCCACAATATCTGCTCCGGAATTGCTCGTCAGGTCGCAGATTTTGATGCAAGAAGGTCTCTACAGATTGGCTTACATTAGATGCCGATCACTAATATGATGACAGAAGCGAAAGCAAAATCTCCCACCTTTCAAGCTTTGTCTCCTCTTCTTGCAGGCGCTCACAACGGTCTGAAGATTGTCGATGCAGTCCAACAGGTCGCGCTTATCGACAATGTCATGCCGGCATGTTCTGAGGATTTGCAGGTCGCGTCGCAGCATCAAATAGAGCAGCGGGAACAGGTACTAACAGAGAGATGCCTAGTGGCTCAGTGGCTCAGAAATAAGGACAATGCTACTTCGATCTTACCTTCTCAATTCTCCCTGGTCCTGTGATAATCGATAATGTGGCTAAGTCGTCAACGCGGTAGCGGATGGTCTCTAGATTCCTCTCGATCCTCTGTTCCTCGCTCGCGGCATACGCCTCGAAGCGGTGTTGGACCTTGTCGTGTAGCTCTATTGGCTGAAGGGGCATAATGACGAACATCACCTGCTGCCATATCTCTCCCAGGTATCGTTCGGCCATCTGACGGTTCTGATGGTGGATCCAAGGTTTGAGTGCAAACATGCTGTCTAATATCTGATGGATTTTCTCCTTGTATATCGTGGCGCTCCGTTGCCATCCTGTGCCGAGCGTGTCAGAAGGTATATAGAAGTTGGTGGGCGGAGCATTTACCGGCTGCCCAATACGCAATCCAATGAGGCAGACTACAGAAAGTAGCGCGACCATTAGGTGTGCAATATGTAAATACTTGAACACGAGTACTCGCCTCCAATTCGCCGGCCGAGAGCTAGTGAAGCGATTTGCTTCGAAGACAGTCACAAATCCTGACGCATCATCGTCAAAGGCTTCGCTGATAGACTGCAGCCTCTTCACGTCAATCAATCCTAGTGTCCAGGCGTCGGGATCAGGAGTATGCGCCGCTTCGAACGCCGCCTTGTTCCTGGTCCGTTCCGCGGCACGGTCATGGTAGAAGTCGTGTAATGCTAGAACGAAGTGCCTTGACTTGACACTGCCGCGCCATCCCTTTATCTCAGATGTCAATGCATGATCTCGTACAATAGCGATACCCATACCATGTCCTTCCAGATGGCGTGTATATCCTAATGTCCTAGGGAGCGACGAACACGCCTTCGATAGCTCGCCCAAATACCTTGTCCAGTATCCTGTCATGAGGCCCTGCTGTTACCGACTCAATGATGCGGTCGCTCTCTCGGATTACAACTTTCTCCGTATCTTCAACAATATGTCTTTGGAGCATTTCGAGCTTGCGCTCAAAAGTGGGCAGATTCTGCGCTGCGCCTTCCGCTGGGTCCCATAGGTCCGATTGCAATTCATGAACATCTGCGGGATTACACCTGTCGGATAGTCCACCAGTACTGTCTGTGGTTTCCGTCACGGTGGACAGGGCGACGAGCTCCTGGAGTGCGCGTTGGTCATGTAGAACCGCTGCGGCTCCCCCGCGCCGTGAGACTTGATCATACAGATTCTTCTGATCTTGCGGGACGTACGCCTGTAGGAAGTGTATAATTCGCTCGGTCCTAACGAACTTCCAAGTCAGTCGTCAGAGTAACTCTATCCGAGGGATACGGACCTCTCTTCCATCATACGCGTGAGGCTGTCCACTTTGTCGGAAACGTTGTCGACCCCACGAACCATGTGCACGGACATGGCGAAACTGAAGTCCGTGCGACGCTGCGCAAATAGATTCACCCAGTCGACGAAAGTACTCTCCCAGAACGGTGCTTTGAGCACCCTGGCCAGAAGTCGCATCCTTGACCAGACGTCACACACGTTCGCGCACTTCTTGATGTCCTCGGCTGTCTGTTTGATAAGACCCTGCATTCTGCCTTCGAGGGTGACACCGTCTATGTCGGTTGCACTTGGGTCTTTGACGTCATTGAGTCTGCGCGTCGTAAGTACAGGGAAGTCAGCATACAGGGCGATGGCTTACTGAAGCAGAACGGCCATCATATCCTTCATCTCGGCGTAGAGTGCGATGACCTTTGAGTCATTCTCACTCCGATTCATCTCTAGGGTGTAGACGGCTTTGAACGGGAGCACGGCGACTAAGAGGACCAGTCTGTCAATCATCGACATGACCCGAGTACGGTAACTTGACATGTACCTGAGATGAAAGGATGAATCTTGGCCACTTCATCCAGTGCTTTGACGAGCACCGGAACGCTGTCGAAGAAGCTGCTGATAGCATTTTGGGCAGAATTGGACTCTAGGGGTGCAACTATCGTGCCGATTGTCTGTCCCGTGTTATCTGCCAGACGAGAAACGACGTGGGATGCTTGTCAGCAATCTGGTGACCGAGTTCGCATGAAAAATCACTGACCTAGGTCATCGAACTTATTGGCTAATTTGCCTCCCGGATTTGCCCTAGGCCTATGGTCACGCAGCTCCTTCGCGGCATCGTCGATTGCCTCAGTTGTTCCGCCGTCGTCCCTGCGAACCAGGGAAGTCACATAGGACACATTGGCGGACAGTGCATCCGTCCCTTCGCTACTCGTGATAGTATTCTGAGAGATCTCGTTTTCAGGTCCAGCTGTTTGATCGACGGATCGGATGTTTGACTGGTGGGACAGTATCGAGCTACCATCGGCTGGTGTTGGCACCGCAGACCCTTGTGTCGCTCGTCGAACAGTCTCGGTTTGGAACGAGTCTGATCTGCCACGTTTACGTCGCGTGAAGATACTGAAAGGAGGCATAAGGACGCGAAGGGTGACACGGAGGCAGCGCTAGCAAATTCGCCCTAGCTAGATACGCTGCGAACTTGAGATTACAACGTTAACCCTCGTCAGTGGCAGCCGGGAATTCCGATTCCGTGAAGCAGTGGTCAGTCGATCGACGAAGGCCTTGCCTGTTAACGCTTCGCTGCAGACTGTCTACTACATAACACGGGTATCAGTACTTCAGTCTTGCCCGTTGACGACAATGAGTCACTCACCTATGTTTACACCACTGGCCCGGGCGGTGCCACTTCGTGAGAAAGGACACCTTGGAACCCTAGTATACAGGTTGAAAGGACAAACTCGTTCAGAGTGATGACTCGTGTTGCAATAGAGGTGGGGGGAGATCAAAGAGAAGGATTAGGATGACAGAAAAAGTGGGTATATACGTGTACGAAAGGGGATCCGGACGGGCACTGCCAACAGCACCACCAGCGCCTCAGTCACGGTGACCGAGCTTGGGTATGATGCACACCAGGTATGTAACATTGTGTTAGATGATCATGGTCTAGTCAATTGTCCTCAGTTGCCAGCATGTCAACGTCACTGCAGTCAACATTGACCGATTGTTCTGGAGTAGTACTTAGTACACACCTCTACTATACAATGTCAAGACAATATCGCCTTGCAATTGACTGGCAGTGCAAGCATTAGAGCCGGTGTTTTTCTGTTTTGATGAAACCCCCAGTCCGAGTCAGGAATACTGCTGGACTATTTAACTGAGAGGGTGCGCACTGGTCTTCAATGCAATGGCAGACGATCGTTTCGCCAGAGGGGAGTCGCTACATACGTTCACGTGACGTAACGCGTATAGCCTGTTCGAGTTTAGCGGGACTTCGTCTTGCACGACGTCGAGCCCTCTTCCCCCCGCCTCCTCCTCCTCCCTCTTATCCGCCCACATCGTCGCCACCGACGCGCGCGCGGTCCCGCGAGCAAACCGTCCAAAACGATATATATCCAGTGAGAATCCGCCGGAGTCTATCGCGGAACTGGCGCTGATGAGAACGCCGTCCTCGCAGCGAACCCTCACGCTCTCTACTCACGACTTCATTCTAGCCTTGCGCTGCCTGCTGTATGGCAGCACCAACGCAGTCTCTTCCGTCTTGGATGACCCTCTCCTCCTCGATCATCACCGAACCCGACGGAAGTGTCTTCACCTCGTACACGACCCTCGTGTTACCGCTCACCTACTACGGTCCAAGTGTGAGTTCGCCTTCGTTTTCAATGGTTCATCTTCTCGAATGTAGGCTTTCGAATTGTTCCTGAGATACTCGTCGCGTATCATGCGCACAGCATTCTTCAATGCAGTCAACGAGTCCCAATGCAGTGCTCAACGCGGAGCGCGTAGAGCGGTGGTCGGTTGCAGCGTCGCTGCTCTCTGGATGCCGGGACCATACTCTCGTATCCATTTCCATGGCAGTGCGTGTGCGACGCGTGCTTGTGACGACATAGAGAAGCACATTTCATTTCGGCAAAGCAGCTGGATCGCGAGATACGACAGGTCGACCATTGGCTTTCAGCCAGATGTTCTACACATCCCCTCGCTGAAGAACTGTTCCGTGCCTTGACTGCTCTGCCATACTATGACATCTGTTCACTGTCTTTCCAATTACTCACGCGGCCCCGTAGATCCCCCTGGACTCAGCTTGGACGTACGGAGGGTTGACCCCACCTCCGTCTACCTCCGCAGCTCCTACCTCCGCGTCGCCGTCTTCTACTGTGTCGCCCTCGTCTGCTCCATCTAGTTCATCTATGTTGTCATCTTCCCCAACTCCTTCGTCGACCTCGACATCATCGGCGTCAAGCTCAATACCGCCGAGCACCTCCATGACCAGCACGTCGTCGGCATCGGCGTCAGCGACATCCTCTGCCGCAGCGGCTGGTGCACATACTTCGAGATCAGCGACTATATTAGGCGCTGTGCTCGGCTCCCTTCTGGGCACACTGATTCTGGTGCTGTTGATACTCATCTGGCTACTCCTGCGGAGACACTACCGAGGCGTCAGGACCACGACCGACCCACCGAGCAAGAGCGCGAGCTCGAGCTTCTGGAATCGGTCCACGACGGTCTTCTCGCGGCGCAAGTCGCGGCGGCAGACTCCGATTTGGACAGAGTGGCAGATGGTCAATCCCGAGGATTTCGAGGATAGGCTGCCTCAAAGCCCAACGAGCCCGCGCAGCCCCGAAGAAGGCACCCCGCGTGACAGCGGAGACGAGACGGACCCCTTCTTGAACCGCACTGTCCGCGGTGCGAATGAGATGTCGCAGACGCAGTCGGGCACGGACACACTTGTTAGCGTGCCAGCGGCTGCGGCCCTCGCTGCAGGCACGGGCTCGACGCGCCGGCCAGGGACAACGACGCATGTGGGCGGACCCATCATGCCGCGCGAGGAGCTACTCGCGCGTATGAACGAAGAGGATGCTGCGATGCCGCAGGTGCGCCTAGTAAGCCCCTCGACTGACGAGCACACGTCGCCGCTTCTGCCACCTCCGCCGCTGGGCTCGGACCGCCGAAGCATGCGTGCGGCAAGGCCATCGTTCATTGAGACAAAGTCAATGCGCTCGCTCGCGTCTGCCGCGTTCTCCGGGTCGTCAGAGAAGTCAGGCAGCATTGACGCGCAGGAGCAGGAGCGTGCAGAGCTGCTCACGGCGCGGCGAGTCAAGGTCAGTAACTACAGTCAGCCCACGTCGGACGCAGGCAACAGTTCCATCATGAGTGGCACCTCTGGCCTCGAGAGACTCGCGAACCTCCCGCGGATGAGCTGGTTTAGGCGGATGTCTTTCCTCCCCCCTCCCATGGGCTCGAGACCCAGCTCACGTGAAGGTGCGGAGGGGGATCGGTACACACGTACACCCCCACGCTCGCATTCAAGACAGGGATCTCGCTCAAGACCACTCTCGTGGGCGCCGCTGCCCACACATGAGCCGACTAGTCCGACGCCGGATTCCAGCGGGAGTCGGAGACCGAGGCCACCATCGTCGTTCCCCCAGGGCTTGGGTCTCCTCATCGGCGGGGAACGGCCTGTCTCTTCTGTCAGTGCCAAGAGCCGTGCAAGCGTCAGCACCGTGTACCATGATGCGAGAGAGACCCCAAGCAGCTCGTTGGTAGACGTCAGCGTGACCCCGGCTGGAACGTTTGGATCTAATCGTTCACAACCGGGCATTCCGCCTGTGCCTCCGCTCCCTCAGGCCCGCACGGCGCCCGTGTCGCCGCTCGCAGAGCTGACACCTGAGATCGCTACTCGTGGTGGCTATCTGGACATACCTGCCTATGAGCCACCTACCTATGAGGAGTCGCATCGTGACTCTCCGCACAGCTCTGGAGACTCCGGTCCAGGCGACACCGTCGACGTGCTTGACATGCCTGTTCCCCGCCCTGCCTCGCCGTTCACTGCCGCCTCTGGAAGCAGCCGTACGCAACCTCCCCCGGGCCTGCCAAATCCTAGCGTGTGGCGCGACTCGCATGCGACGACGGATGGAACTTCTAGTACCTCTGGCATCAGGATTGACGTCCTGGAAGAGGCGCCGCCTCCGGCTCAAGATGGGTGGCGCACACTGTCAGGCAACGTCGGTGCTGCAGCACCCGGCGGGCGACGGACAACCTTTGGAGTGGTAAGTCCCATTGTTCATTCACGGCGCAATTCAGTCTTATGGTTTTTACAGCCTATGGTAATTCATCGGGATGCCCTGCAGTCCGAGCGTGGCTCTCTTGCGTCTGGACGGTCGCATCTCACTCCACATGTCCTGCATTCGTCTGGCTCTACGGCTGCATCACTACACACGCACCATAGTTCCTCGTCCAAGTCGCACTCGCAAGGGCCTAGTGGCAGTTCTGGATCTCGTTCCGTCTCGCACGCTGGCTCAGTCGGCGAACGGAGGCTCGAACAGGTCAGCGAGACTGCTTCCCCACCCTTGTCCGCCGTCTTTTCCAGAGAAGGCGCCTGGAGCCCGACTTTACCAGGCGTGCGCCCGATGTCGCCCATCCGCCAATCGCCTTCGTCTTCTGCAGAAGAAGCGCCCGTGCTCCCGGAGCCGCGTCCTGCAACGCCGACGACCGCTGCTGGGACGGTGACCTCCACGACGACTTCGAGGACTGAAGACAGTGGCACGCATGCGAGTGTGACGACGAGCGGTACGGACCCAGTGAGTGGCGCTGTGTTGCACTTTCCTGCGCTGCCGTGGTACCGACCCAGCGAACAGGGCTTCGTCGACTCCAGACGTGACGATGACCTCCTGTGGTAGTGCGAGAGTACTCCCCCGGGTTTGATGATCGACCCCTTCCATTCTCCTATTCCGCATACCCCTTGCGTGCCCGTCGAGACAGCTCGATGGCGTACCTCCTTCACATCCTTGAACGGCCTTTACACGCGTTACCCGCTCTACCCCTTGCTCCCTACCCCTACCCCCGACCTCGTTCTGCGACACCTCATTCGAACTTCATCATGACTCCCGATACCTGTTAGATGTTTTGCATTGCTCTGCGTCACCTTTCATATCTTTGCTCCGATCTGGTTGTATCTATCCGTCACCTACTTATCTGATGCTCACGACCCCCTTTATGATTATGACCTACATACTAACGACCAACAATGTATAGCGCGTCTTCTTGTCTCTGTATATGGTCTCCGAACGAGTTTGTTTGCCACGTGTCGGTCAACTGTGAAGCAAGGTAAGTACTGCGTCTGCGTCTTACAGTCTGGTATTCAGATGAACCACATCGTACATTACTTACTCATGCTGTCCTGGGCTGCCGTTCCCGACGGCACTGCCCCACGACTCGTGTGTATACGGACGACGATGCAACTCAAGAACTGCACTATGGTACACGTACTAACGATACAATCCGGTCCCAGTTCCAACTTTGTCTTATCTCACAGGAACCCCCACTGTTCATCCTACGACCTTCTTGGCGTTGACCGTCTGTATGTCGACAGAAAGGATATCCTGTAGGAAGGTGCGTCATTCAGTCTCGCGTCACCTCCCAAGGGAACTGACATACCTTGCCAGCGCGCAGCTCCGAGGGAGAAGGCATCAAGCCCAGGCGGAGCAGTTCCGACGCCTTGCTGACGACAGGGTCCTTCTGCATACTGTTCATGTCGGGTCGTTGAACGCTCTCATTCTGCTTCGCGAGTTGAATGCTGCTTACCTCGCCACAGCGACAACCTTGTCGTCCTTCACGTAGTACGCGATGAACTGCCGGACATGATCAGTACGATGAAGTACGAGCTTGCATGTTGGCAGCTACCTTTAACTCGTCGGGGTTGCCGACGATGATCACGTCCTCGAACCCAGCACCTACGCCGCAGTAGCGGAGCTGCTGGCCCTCTGGACCGGGTATAACAATCTAGTCAATCACTGCTCCTCCGCCTCAAACAAGAACACACGCACGGGCACTCCAGAAAACAGGGACCTTGACGAATGGCTGTCCCTTGCCCTCTGCGATTGTCTTGCCCGTCGCACGTCCCTGGTTACCCGCGACCTACGCCCCAGACTATATCAGCCACCAGGCGGATCTTCCGCGATACCAACACCCTTCCTCACATTCCAGTGCTCGATCCTACGAAGTTCCCCTGTCCCAGGTTGGGGGTACATCGCGATATCCCCGATGGCATACACGCCCTGCAGGCCCTTCACCCTCAGGTACTCGTCCACTAGTACCGCACCGGTCTTGTCGAGCGCGCTCTCGAAGCCCTTGCTCTGCCCGCTCTTGAGGTACTCGGTCGCGGGCCCGACGCCGACGCCCATGATGATCGCGTCCGCGGGGAGCGTGTGCTCGCCCGCGCTGCTCTTCACGACGACTGCGGCAGCCTTGGAGCCGTCGTTCGGCGAGGGCACGATCTTCGAGACCTGGGCGTTCATGTGGAAGTGCACGCCTTTGGACTCGTGGAACTGGGGGTGCAGAGGTTACTTCATGTTGAGAGTATGCATGTGAGTGAGATGGTGGGTACCTTCATGAGCCCCCGACCGACTTCCTTGCCGAGGACGGACTCGAAGGGGACGGAGTCTTGTCCGACGACGTCAATGGATGCGAGCTTTCTACTGGATACAGCGACGACGAGCTCCATGCTGATGAACGAGGAGCCAATCACGACCAACCGCTTGCCCTCCTTGCACGCTACGGCCGACACTCAGCTGATCTTCCCGCATTACTACAACACCGGAAACACCCACCTGCGTCGATCTTCTGCGCATCCTCGACGCCGCGCATCGTATACACGTTGCTTAGACTCGCGCCGTCGATCGGGAGGCGGCGGGGAAGCCCACCGGTGGCGAGGACGAGCGTCTCGTACGGGACGGTGGTGCCGTCGGTAAGGCGCACGCTTTTCGCGGGCGCGTCGACGGACTCGACCTGTACGCCTGTGCGCAGATCTACGCCGTACTTCGTCTTGAGGTCTGCCGCCGAGCGCCATTCGATCTTGGCCGGATCGGTTATGAGCGCCTTGCTCAGCTTCGTCCTGCCAGGGGTGTAAGGTGTGGTATGTTATTCAGTGGATATATGCGCACCTGTCGATAGGGCTGTAATGTTCCTTGGAGAGGACGGTGATCGGGCCGTTGAAGCCATGCTGCAGACATCCAAGTCAGTCAGATTTTTCTGTTAGGAATCAACATATCCGAGTAGCAGCAGGCTCATCACGACCTAGTGCATATATACGCTCGATATGCAAACGGGACGGCCAGAGCTTGCGCCGGGCCAGGCCGTGACGCCTGCGCGAAGCGTCACTCACCTCCCGCAAACTCTCGATGCAATGGAAGGTACCACTTCCTCCCCCGACAATGACAACGCCCTTCCCGCTGCCTACCCCGGTGGCAAGCAGCTTGGACTGGCGGGACATGTTGTTCTTGAGCGTGTCGGAGGGATTCGCGGTCACGTGGATCTTCCCATCGGCGATATGAGCTTTGAAAGAGTGGATCGCCATGGGCGCGGGCGCATCCTCTACATGCACGCCGAGTGTTTACTGGCATGATTCAAAAGAGAATATGCAGACTGTGACGTACCGATATCGCCAGTGGAGACATTGAAACATGCTGTTTAGTTCAGTTAGCATTTATTCATCCACTCAGCGCATACCCCAATCAAATGGACGAACCTCCGTGCCAAGGACTGTGTTATAGTACAAATTAATGGTTGATCGTTGAATTATGGGGCTCATCACGCACCAGACGACTCGGCCGTCAGCGGTGAGCACACCCTTCGCAAGCGGTGCGCCATAGTGAGTGCAGAATGCACTAGTCGCATGAATCTGATCGCCCAAACGTGAGAGGAGGACTTTTCCTTCGCCCTCAAAGTCGACTTGTTTCCTGGAGATGCAAATGAGCATGTAGGAGTATATGCGTCGGTTCTGTTACGCACAACTCTCCATCCTTCAGTTCAGACTCGTTGAGCACCGCGATGGTCTTTGCAGACATCTTGCGCGATTGGGCTGTTGGAACAAGCGGTTTGAATAGATATGTTCTAGAGGATAGTGCGAGAATACAAGGGCGTGGACGAAAAGGACGAAGGAGGGAGTACATACGCTCGCGCCGACGCTGCAGAGGGTCGATATAAGTACACACCCAATTTAGGCGATGACGTCGCTGCCATCACCATTGGTGTGCTCTCAGCTCTGGCCAATCACACACGCTCTATTTTGTCATCGGTGAAGCAAGCAAACGGGGTGACCACTAACACGTTCTGACACGCTCCAGTGGCGAAGTACGATTAATATACTGACCAGTGAGCGACACGCTACGTAGTTCGAGGATTTGTGCTTGCTGGTTGAATTGTGGGTTGAAGTAAAGTAGAGATCACCGGCGTTTACTCAAGTACGCGACAGCTGTGTGACCGGGGACGCGTTCGGCACGTGAATTTCGTCACATCACGGTCCCTACGGCCGACGACTCCGCCGCGGTGACCGTGCTTGCCTACAAAGTCCACTATCCTCTCACTACCACCATGTCGTCTGCCAGAGTGTTAGGTCTGGGTTCCGCGCTTAGGCAGGCTGCTCTCAAGCCGAGGGGTGAGTGCTGTCGCAACACTTCCGCGTCGAGCTCACGGTTTGAGCGCACGTAGCCAATGCCTTCCGGGTGGTGGTTCCCAAGCGGCAAGTCGATCCTTCGACCTCAACTTGAGCATCTGCAGCTGACATGTCATATTGAATCAGTGGCGTCCAGACACAGTCTCTTCCCCCCTCGGCCATGAATGAAATCCTCAACACGCAACGCCTGAAGCGTCCCTCTAGCCCCCACTTCACCATCTACCAGCCTCAACTGACTTGGCTCGGCTCGATTGCCAACCGTATGACTGGTTCTGCTCTGAGCGTCCGTATGTATTCGCGTGACCAGTATATCTTAGACTTCAAAGCTAATACCCGCGTAGTTCTGTACGGATATGCCCTTGCATACCTTGTCGCACCCGGGACGTTCGACTCCGTGCACGTCATCGAGTTCGTCGCTGGCCTTCCCGACGCCGTCAAATACACCGGGAAGGCTATCTTGGCCGCGCCCTTCGCGTTCCACTCGTGGAACGGTCTGCGGCACTTGGCTTGGGACACGGGCAAATGTACGTCATACTACCCTCTCCAGGATGTACACTTCACTGATGATTGAACTTCTTCAGTCCTCAGCCTCAAGGGGGCGTACCAGACTGGTTATGCCGTGCTCGGGGCTACCGCTGTCACGACTGTCGCGCTCGTCCTCCTGTGATGTAGCTATATTTGTAGACAATGCACAAGAGGCTGTGATCCTAGGATTCGCATTCACAGGCTGTACTCGGACCTTGACGGCTCGGTGGCAAACCGCATAAGAAGCCAATCCCCATTGTACTGAGGTTCACAGCTTTGACGTTTAGCGCGCTGATAATCACTCTTATATGCGAACGCTAGCTTTGTCGCTCTTTCCCCGCCGGCGACTTCGTCCTCCCATTTGCTACCAGGTCACGTAGGTATGGGTAACAGCTACTCCATTGTGCAGCAGCTCTCGCGCGAGGAGCAGGAAGAGCGTGACTACGCGCGCCTTGTAGAGGCAGTAGAGGCAGCCCAGAACGCTCAGCTGCAGTTCGGGCAGTCCCCAGATGTCCCGGCACCGTATGGCCTACAAGGTTCTCATCCGCAGACTTCTACTCCAGGAAGTTGGCCTGCGCCTACGCCGTACCAGCCTCGGCAGAATGTACGTTATTCCACTGGATTCGTCCCGCCAAGCTCGACACTTGGGCTCTTAGATCGTACGTTCGATGTGAATTTCATACCGATATTCAGTCCTCTCATGCAAGCGATTATTGTCTCAGAGACCAGGATCCCTGTTGCCACTTCGCAGCGGCCTCCTGCGCAGGAGAGGAAGAGCGATGGATCGCACACTATGGTAGAGTCGCCCGCCGATGGGCGTGCCTATGCACATCCCGATGAAATTGAACGTACGTATTGTGGCATCCGAGCGGCCATCGTTCCCTGGTTAGGATCACGATAACATACGTCCCCTAGCGGTTTGTGAAGAAGCGTGCGCCATGCCTGCAAGGCAAGTTTCACTCCCTGAGCTCAGGATATCTCGGATACTCAGCGCTGTTCTTCTTAGTTACACACCGTCATCCAGCAACGTGTCAAGAGGACGGTCGCTGACTCGCCACCGGTCTTCCAGTAGGCCTCCGTCTCGCTCGCCTGATCGGCCGGTCATGCTGTGCATTGCGCCGGACCCTCCAAAGTACCCGGAGGATTCTCCCGCGTGCGTGAAAAGGACCCTCCGAAGTACCCGGAGGATTCTCCCGCGCAAAGTACCCGGAGGATGCATTGCGAGCCCTCAGTATCGGCGTGCCTCGTCACCGGATTCCCCGGCTAGCCGCCATGAGAGCATGCGCCGAAGTCCTAGCATAGCTCGTGGCTGCGATCACTGCACTCCTTCTCTCTTCGCCCGTCGTGATACGGCGCCAGAATGTCCTCCGGAAGCCATACCTACATCACGTCCCCCTTCAGCTTCAGTGGTCAGCTACAGGAGCCGTTCTTCCCGAGTCACGTCGTTAGGACCTCGTGCTCGTCGTTCGAGTCGCTCCCCTCCCCAGGCTGTTATCATGTCTGTCGTGCTTCGAGCAGGGACGCCTCCCCGATGTAGGGATCCGTCACCGCTTTCTCGCGAGAGCCGCAGACATGCAAGTCGATCTCCATCGCCGAGCACCCCATGTTTGTCCCCACAAAGCCCGCTGCCCAGCGAGGCACCCTCGTCCCCCCCGCTCGTAGCGACGCGGCTACCCTCATTGTCTCCGCCACCAACGTCCCGGGAACGATCAATGCGCACGGAGGATTCTGTGCGTCGTCGCCCTTCGGAGACTGCGATTTCGGTGGAAAGGCCTCCGAGTCGGAGATCACGGTCGAGCAGTCCGCACATTGATTTTAACAGGCAGATGAGGACCGGCGTCCGTCGATGTGCCAGTGGGTCGCTATGAACGGCCTATCCCCGACATGCCGTCGAGGAGATCATCGCCTGGGAGCATCCATTCACTGCGCAGAAGCAGCCCAGTGGTCATATTGCCACCTCCGGCGAGCGATGACAGAGATCATTCCATCGAACACAGAGAGTCGCCTCGTCTTGCCCCAGCCGCGGGACCCTCAGGCGATGTTGCTCCGCTCACGCATAGGCGCTCGCAGAGTCTGTCAACACGACTGGTACACCCAAATAGACACGGAGTCTTGCAGAATTTCTTCCAGGGCTTGTTGTCCAGAAACCATACTGATGCAGATGTACCGTTGTCCAGTGCCTCCGGCCCGGTTTCAGCGTCCTCAGGGTGGGCCGACCTCCGACCACCCACGAGAGCCGGCGCTAGGGGCTCTGGTCGTGCGTGTCTGGTGATGGAGGGACCGCGGCCTGACATTCCCCCACCCCCGCAAGCATTATGCGTCCAAGTCGTCGCACCTGGGTCTGTTCCCGTAGGCAGACCGCAGGCTCTGCGCATCGTTGACCCGCCCCTGCTACAGCCTGCATTTGTAGAACCCGCACATGCACCGCAGGTCGTTGGGGCCTCGCAATACGCGCACGTACACCGGGTCCCTACTTTACGCCCTTCTAGCCCAAAGGGTAGCGTGAAGAGCCTAATCTCTGGTGCACATTCTACGAATCTTGCCGCAACCTTCACGGGCAGGCAGGGCTCTGGCTTGTACGAGAAAGTTCGCAGCCCATCACCTCCGGGGGCTTGCATACCACCCAATGTGCCGTTCCAGCCGTATGTAAATCTCGTGCACGCGGTTGGTCTCCCACATCAGCTGAAGAGCAAGGCGGAAGATGGGTGGCGCCCGGCATGGAGGGTGTTCCCGTTGAAGGTCTTCCGGGGCTCGGACTACAAGATCATGAAGATAGAGGCCGCGTGGGACGACGAGGCGCTGTTGAGCGAATTGCGGAGAACGTATGACGATCTGCGGACGGTGTGGAGGAAGTGGTTCTCGTTGAGGAACGTCGCGTGAGTTACCATGTTGACGTTTTTATATAAGCTTACAAGGATGTCTGCTGACGACGATGGCTTGCAATAGCTCGATGACGATGGTACATGTGAGTCAAAACGTTTTCATCTTGCTCGATAGAACGCTTAGCGGGTCTCCATACACAGGCAGACCACTCAATTATATACCCGCAACGCGTCGGGCCAGCGAAGGTCAGCCCGTCAAAAAACATGCGCCTGCGCTGGTTCCTGCACCACCCGTCCTACATGAGAGGGCGGCACGAGTTCATGCAGGTCCTGACAGCTCGCACCGATCTCGGGATCGAGTTCGTGGAGCGGTGGCAGCTCTCTCGGATAGCCATCGCTGTTCTGCTCCCTGTGCTGGCCTCGGTGGTGATCGGGGTCGTGTACAGTATCGCAGCAAGTGACCCTTCGACCGCGTTCACGATTGCAGGTACGTCTTGACGTGTTGATGAGTTATCGGTGCGGGTCAAGTCTGACTTGGGTGTTGAAACGTTGACAGGTTACTTGACGTCCGCGTACTCTGTTTGTCTCGTTCTTGTTGGGTTGCTCAACTTCGTGGAGTCCTGAGGCTAGTAGCCTGCAAAGCATAGTGGGATTCAGGCTGAGATGTGAACGCTTTGACAAAAGGACGGTGCTTGCTTCATGTCTGATGCAGTGAGATGGGACATATTCAGAACGGTGTCGCCCTGGCCGCGCCTACTTTACGGTCGCAGTATATGACGTGTGTACGAATTGTAGCGTCGAGCTTTACTCAGATCGCCTGAGGTAGCTGCCACGCGCCAATGCCATCATGCTCTGTACAGTACTGTGTACATCATTCGATTGTGGGACCAGGCCCGTGTGTCTGTGCGTAGTATGTAGAAGCGTGGCTCACCAATGCACAGGCTTTCGCGGAGCTGGCTTTGGTGGTCACCGACTGGAGTTTCAGGTTCCTGCGACTGGCCTACTAGCGTCGCAGGCACGTACCACGGCGACTGGTGTGGTGTGTTTGCAATTACGACTCGGATGCAGCGGCGAATTCTCTGTGCCACTCTTTGTTGGATATCAATTATGTGGGCACCTAATTCACAGAGAGGGTGGGTTCCACGTACCGGTCGTATGCGTATCGTAAGCCATGGCGGCCCTGCACGGACTCCCCGTGCAACCGGGCACTTTGATGCGCTCTGGGAGCCCGCCGAGACCGACGTTCAGCCCATGTAACAGCGATTGGTCTGCGGATGCTTTTCCAGTGCATTGTACATGCGCATTCCGAGTGAAGTAGCCTGATTTAGAGAACGTCTGGGGGCGCGAAAAGCCGGAGAAGACCTAGCATGAGACCTGGACAAGGACACGATGCGGCGAGCGATGGTCGTGTCAACGAGCCCTCCATATGCTGTAAGTACAACCCTACAGCTGTCGGACAGAAGGTGCGTACCGGTGACTCAGCAACGTCAGTCCGTGTTGCATTCATGCGGACGGGTAGCATATGTCTGCAGCCTATAATTACGACGAACGTCAGGGCGAGGTGTATAGAGACTATTATAGAACAGCAAATGGAGTGCTTTCCGCCGTGAGAGGGCTCCCGCGAAAGTGGTTCGGTACCGGTGGGAGAAGCTGTCACCAGGGAGGAAGTGCTGTGACCGTATGGGCCGGATGACATGATCCGTTTAGGATTTGGAATCAAACTTTCAGCGAAAGACGTCGCCGTGGGTGCTGGATGACAGACACCCCGGAAAATATAGCCTATACGAGGCCAATTGTCACTCGGTTCTGCGAAGGGAAGACCGTGGAAACTTGCGGTCATTGTAGTTCCCCTGGGAGCCTCGCTCAGTAAAGGAACAATCAAGAATGGATGAACAGATGTGTGTGCGGTATGCATCACATATCTTACAGATGAGTATCTCCACAGGTCAGCAGCTGGGACGGGCCTTGCATCGAAAGATACTGCCGTTCTACGCGGCGGTGCATCTGTTCGATGACCGACTTGTAGGAAAACGCCGAGCCCAGGAACTCCACCGCCCGGTGACACTGGCGTCCGCCAGACGACCACAGCCCTGCCACCCTACATATGCCACAAAGGCTCCACGTATGCGCTGAAGAGGCGATTACGTTCAGGAGCCAGGCGGTTCGTGAGCGTCGGCGTTTCGGGGTCGAGGTCAGGTGCACAGCATAACGCCGACGAGTACGTACAACCTTCTTCGCGCACCCGACGAGCGAGCGATGGCCTGAGAGTCTGCCAGTGCCAGGCCCTTCTCCGTAGAATGTGCGGACAAGTCCGCGAAGAACGGACAGGGCTGGGTGGTTGAGGCGCGTGAGAGGGCTTGGGCGAGGCGCGGATGCTGTCCATTCGTTACTGACGCCGGGTGGTTGGTGGGAATTCCGGATTGGGACTGCGAGTGCAAGCGGGGAGGGTTGGTAGAAATGCCGGGTATGGAAGTAGGTGGCGAGGCGGGGCAGACGACCTCGAGGACGGCCCGCTCGTCGAGGGCGGACAGCGAGCGGCACGGCGCTGGCGGTGCCGGGCTGATGCCGGGGCAGCTCCGAGGAGGGCTTTCCGGATGCGGACATGGCCGTCCGCAAATGTTGGCGCCTGGTCTGCTTAGTCAGCGGGCGGTGAGAGCGACGGCCTGCGAAGGCCCGGCTGGAGAGCAGGAAGCCGGGGGCGCCGGCGCCTGATGTATATGGCAGGGGTCGTCGACCTGCAAGAGACTCCCTCTCCATCCACGTCCACCAACGCCTCCTCCCCGTCCCCCACGACGTCCACGACCCTCCGCACGACGACGACCGCCTTTTCACCACCCACCAGCAAGACCCAGACATGCCCTCGGCCTCAAACTATGTCCCAGACGTGCTCTGTCGCCGCATCCAGGACGGCATCCGCGCGGTCACGCAGCGGCTGCACAGTAGACGGTAAGCATCTCGTCTGGCTCAGCACGACGGTTGGCCGGGGATTCCCAGCTAGCACCGTCTTCTCCGCCGGTGGTCGAGTTGTTGCCGTTGAATGCAGCATATCATCCTTCGACAATCTGACTATAAGCGAGCTGGACGCTAGTCGCGAAGAGGCAAGTCGCGTCGCAAATCCGGGAAACGCATGTAATATGTGTTCATGGACTGTCCTTGCACTGTCCTTGTGTCACTTGGACATGGGAGGTGTCGCGTTTCCCGGGTGTGCGTGCGCGACATGCATCTTGACACTCGCGTCCGGGGACGCGTGTCAACTCGCATGTAAAATAAAATCTGTACTCACACCCTCAATTCTAGACACATCACCGACCGTTCAACAACAGACCGAATACCTAGCAAACGGTGAGCCTCTTCACCCTATTCCGCTTCCACTTCTCGTCTGTCGTCGTGTTGGGGCTTTTCCGCCGGGTAATGTCCACCCCTAAGACGACTCGACGCTGCATCACCCTCATGACGCCGGCCTCAGTCTTGCTAGATACACCGAAGCGCACAATACCGGAGCGGTATAAAGCACTTGGTGTCCAACTGGTACCTCTATCGTCAGCGATGGCCTGGCCCGTTCTCGCTCAGTATATGCGCACTGCGCGTGCAATCGTTTATGGGTGCCCGGGAGACGTGGGAGACGTGGTTCGCGCAGCGCGCTCAAGGCCCACTCATTAGACCGCCGTTCAATTGGTGTCGTTCAGTTATGAGGCCAAGATGTGTCGGACGACACTAGTGAATGTTCTGTGCGGCTTCCCTGGTCTCATACATTCCCGCGATCGAGGACTTGTGAGCGTAAATTGCCGGTCTTGGTAGTCACCCGACGGTTGTGCCTCGCGGCAGAGTATGCTTTACCTGCCACGTCGGAACCTTGTCCTCCACAAGGTTCTCCTGACTGAACGCCGTATCGCTGACTGACAGGAGTCCGTGCGGACATGTCCCGCGATGTCGTGTGCTGTTATGCACAATACCGTCATGCTTTCTGGAACAGTTGGAAGTGCTCGGTGCGGGATTTGGTAGGCTTTACGCTGGAGCAACTCAACTTGTCATCTGGCTTGACTGAAGCTACACCCATCCTGCACCCGGCTTTATCTCACGGCTGCAATGCCCAGGTTCGTGTGCCTGTCTTGCCGTGTATAGGCAGACTTTGAATCTCGACTCGGGCTCTATCTGGTGCCCTGTCATGTTCTGTTGAGAACGGCTAAATAAGGCACGTTCTGGGCTCCTGGATATTGGTGGCTGGATGCTCTGCATTCCTGGAGGTCTTATAGCTGTCGTGGTCGTATTCCTCGCTCACTCAACACTCTAGCCGCTTACTCGGTGGTTATGATTTGAACATGCGCTTACTCCTCGCCCACAGACGCTCGGCTTTCCGCTACCGCTCACGACAATCGTTGAAGCTGCCCTACATCCCGCCAGAACTATGGGGTGTCATCATTCAGCACGCCTGCGTATTCGAGTACGACCCGCTGGACACGGAGCAGGAACTATCCTTCTTGGAGATGTCGACATCCGCCCAGCTCGCGACGCATCGAGCTGCCATGCAAGTGAAGCTCACGCTGTCGCTCGTTTGCAAGGAGTGGAACGCGCTGAGCCGGCCATTCGTGTACGAGTTCGTGTGGATCAGTCATGCGGTACAGGCCAAGCTGCTCGCGCGGACGCTCATCATGGAGTTCGTGGAAGGCTTGGAGTGCAGCGGGAAGTACCTCCGGCGCCTGCATATCGAGACGCCTGCGCTGGAGCGCTGTGCGCCGGCGGACCTCCGGACAATCCTAGACTACTCGCCCCAGCTTTTCATCTTCTCCGACCACCATTCCGTACAACGGAATCTGTTGACGGGCGTGCAGGACCCCCGATGTAGTCCGGAGGAGATCTTGCGACTGGTCGCTCACCCGAAGATCCGGAGACTGAGCTGGACGTGCTACGACGATACGCCGTTCGAGCTGCGGATGCACCCACTGGAGACGAACCTCGCGACGCGGCTAGAGTACCTGGAGCTCTCATGCTGCTCGCCAAACTTCCGCTCGATCATCGCCGAGTCGTTCGCGCAGCCACAGGCGCACTCACGCGGCGCGACGATCGACATGAACGTCTCCTTGCCGTCTCTGCGCGCGCTGAAGGTCTCACTGGACAACAACACGTTCGCGGCCCTCGCGTCGTGGGACATGCCCAAGCTGACGAACTTGTCGGTGTTATCCTCGGACTTCAGCTACACCGGCGCGGGTTTCGCGGCGTTCTTCCAGGCGCACGGAGCGAAGCTGCGGCAGCTTGAGCTCGGGCACTCGTCCGCCCTCGTAGAGGAGCACTATCTCACGACGCCCCAGCACGTCCTTCAGATGCAGCACGCGTCGCCGCGCCCAGTGTCGCTCGCGGAGTGGTGCCCTAACCTGCGCGAACTGATCTGCTCGGCGGATGCGGAGTGGCACTGGCAGAGCCCCGATTGGATCGCGCCGCATATCCTCCTCCCGGCGCACCCCCGTGTCGAGCTCATCGGCATCCGAGACATCGATACACGCCTACGGGAAGATCCGGACGTCCCCGGTGCGGACACGCCGTACTTCCCGCTGTTCGAGCAGCTTTCGTCGTTGCTGCGGTGCGACGCGTTCCCGAGTCTGCGGTATGTGCGGGACATGAGCGAAGAGAGCCACCGGATGCGCATGGTCCAGCCGGACAAGCGCGTGCACGCGTTTTGGAGCAAGGTCGTGCGCGCGTGCCAGGAGCGCGCGGTCTGGCTTGAGGACTGCGCAGGCGTGAACATCACGCAGCGCAACCTCCAGCGCGCCGCGGCGCTGCAGAAGACGACCCAGTCATACATCGAGGCGTTCCGCTCGCGGTAGGCCCGCTGGGACCGATTGTATACCCCCTTCCTCTGGCTCTTACGCCCTTGCATACCAATATTTACGACAACTGTTTATGCCCTCGGCGACGACGCAATCAAGCAAGAAGAAGACCGCAATTACCCATGTTCCCTGCATATATCCCACTCACACACAGTGCATGTCCATTCTACGACCATGGTTACCCATTTGTACGCATCTCATGTGCTGTATCGTCTGACATCCTAGCTGGCTTCGTTATCCAGCCGTTCTCGTGCATTTTCATACGTTTCATCATCCTTGGGTCAGCAGGTGACATGCTGGTGTGCGGTTACGACCTTTCAAGTTCTATTACTTTCGGCGATTTGGATGTGCGCCGCTCCTTTTCTTCAATCTTCGGCTGTCTATGGACCTCGGTTGGATTTATCGATTTGAAGTAGAGTTTTGGCGGTACAAAATGATGTATAAAGCATCGTCGCTATGTCGTTCGTTACAGAAGCCTTCCAAATGTGTGCCCTCAAGCTTGAGTGATGTTTTAAACACCTTGCCCGCCATCATCCTCGACGGGTTGTACGTTCATCAAGTCCTGGCGAGACAGCGGTCGATTAACTTTGGTATACGTATACAAGGCGACTACTCACCTTCCGTTCATACTTCAGGCCAGACAGGTATACTTGCTTCGTCTTGCTCGACTATATTACCCTCTTCTGACATGGTGAAGGAGAGGATAAAATGCAGCCCCATGTCGTCGCGCTCGACATAGAAGAACCGTAACGACGGGCAGGCCGTTAGGATTGCGTCCACGAAATCGCGGTACCGGGCCAGGCGTGTGGTCCTGTACCTGCGGGTCTCCCAGACGGTGACCCATGTGAACGTCTCGAGAGTAAGGGGCTGGCGTGTCATGTATTCTACGTGGCTGAGCCCGGGGAACCACGGCATAGGCTGGGACGAGGTGCTTTTGATTAGTCGTGGAACTGGTATATGACGGGATTGCTCACTTCCTCTATTTGATCGACTACCTTGAGGTGCTTGAGATGAGGGAGCTCGTGGTCTCGGAACAGGGCAGTGGGGTGGCTGATGTAGTCAGAGCTGCACACGAAGGTCCTGCGGTAAGCGAATTCAACGATCTGGTCGCTTAAGGCGTGGATCATCGAGCCGGAGTACGTGTGACCGAGGGACCAGTCAAGGTGGGCGATCTTCCGGCGGTCCGCCTGCATGTTACGGACAAAGAAGCTGTCATATGTGTGCAGCCACCTCAGGTTCGGGAGGGCGTCGTTCGATAATACCCATTCGACCATGTCAAGGATGTGGCCGTGTCTCGCGACCAAGGATTCGATCTGCGTCTGCTTGTCCAAGAATTGCTTGAGCTCCTTGTTGTGCGTCGTGTGACACGCGAAGGACGTCAAGCTGAAAGGACATTTGTTGAGAGTACAAAGAATGCTGTTATATAGAGTCGGCTGCGTACAGCAGTACTCCACGTTGAGTTGAAGGTCCGTGAGGTTTACGAGCTCCGGCAGAATCTTGTTGAACGTTGCACAACCGGACTTCGCATGCCTGTCGTCATCAACTCGAAGAATGTGGACGAGGGATGCGCGGTGAGGCGATGAGGCCAGCGCACACTGGAGGCTGCGAAGTTGGCGAGGAACCCCGAGGGAGACGTGGATTTCGCGGTACAAGCGCGGTTCTACCTCTGTCCGGAAGGCATGACATACGCAACCCGCATTGGCTAGAGCGAGCGGGGAGTTGACTTCCTTGAGTATCATGGTGAAGAGTTCCGCGGGAAGTCTCCATTCTTGAGGTATCACAGCATCCCGCGTGGATTGCGTCGGAACTTGCTTCTTAGAGCGTTTCTTCTTCGGCATGGAGGCCTAGCTTGAGTAGCCTACATATGTTGACCCTTCTTTAGCGCAAGGTCAATCAGGAGTGAAACAAATTACTAAGTTATGACGCAATTAGGAGAGAAGACCACAATGGGAAAGACCTAACAAATCGTCAGTCTTGAAATGGCGGAGGTTGACATAGACTCACAACTGGTAGCAGTACGTGAATGTGCAGCCGCAGATCTATGTGTCTACTGGAGTCTGCAAGCCTTCCCGCTCGAGCTACGAGTGACTGTCGCGGTCAAGAACGGATAAGTTCAATGAGCGTCCGTCCAAGGATATATGTATTGGGCGCGTGATCTGTGGCCACATCGGACGCCGGGACGGTCCCGGGCGCTTATAATACTACACTGCACATAACTTACCATCCATCGCGGTGGTCGACGCCCTTGCGGAGAGACTTAACCTCGATGTTGTATATATGGCTTTGGCGGTAGAAGCCCTGAGCATGTAACGCGAAAATACCGAGTATGTACACTATGATCTTCGCTCGTCCGTATTCACAACCCTTGTATCTTCCGGAGTGTTCGAGTCTGAAAAAGAGTGGGCTACTCGTTCCTACTCTCATCGTCCCTGCATCATTCAGAGTGAGGACTCACATATCAAACGGTATACCACATCGGTATCTCCTCCTCCCCCTTGTGTTCATGCGATAATACCACGCCGTCGGCCGACAACGTGAACAGCGTCCCCGTCATGAAATCCCCTTCAAACTCATCCAGCTCGACGTAGTATATTCTGCGCAGGGTACGACTCGCTTGTAGGAGCTTCTTCGCCCATAGGCGAGCGTAGGCCAAGCGGCCGATCGGTTCGTGGAGTATGCCGTCCCGCCCCGCGTTGGTGAACCACACCGCAGACCAAACAAGGGTGTCCAATGCGAAGCTTGGCTCGGACACATACGAAATATCAGCGTGAGGGTCAAAGCACGACTCAGCCTATGCATCTAGAGCGTCAGCATGACGGATAGACCAGAATATCGAGACATACACCGCGTTCCATGAAGTCCCCCAGCTCGAGAAACTTGAGCTTCGGAAGGGCTCCACCTCGTAGTATGTCGACCGGTTGGTCGATAGGGAATGGCGGGAGCGAGTCTCTCGCGTACTTGAAGCTGACGAGCTGTTTTCCGACGTTCTGCAGGATGTCATGCAGCTGATCCTCGTCTATTGGCAGCGCAGAGACATCAAGGTGCGTGACCATGCGAGGAGCGTGCAATGCGCTCAGGTAGAAGTCGTCGTCGGTCTGGAGGTACTTGAGACGGGGCAGAACGTCCTGCGGGAGGGTCCACTCCGGCATATCGAGCACCGCGCCCTTGATGCCGAAGAACTCGATGCTTGGCTGCCGGCTGAGGAACCGGATCAGCTCCGCATCGCTGCCCACATAGCTTTCGTACGATTGCAGGGCGAATGGGCACTCGGAGAGCGTCCTCAGCACGGAGCGGTATAGCTCGGGTCTATAGAAGCAGCTAGTGAGGTCCAGCTCCAGGTGCTTGAGGTTCTTGAGCGTGAGGAGTATCTCATTGAGCAGCGGCACAACCATTGCGATGCGCCCGTTGTCTACGAGCCGAAATGTGTGGATGAGGGATGCGCGTCGGGGCGCCTTGGTCAGAGCCCGGTGTAGACTGCGAATGTGCGGTACACGGTATACAATGACCTCTCGATACAGAATGTGTTCGACCTCGTTTTGGAACGTGCGGCACACCCGGCTTGCTTTGACGAGCGTGGTGTTGGAATCGACTTCTGAGAGAACCAGCAGCAGCAATTCCAATGGTAGTTTCAAGGGTCGAGGGGACACTAGGCTCTGCCCCTCATGACGTTTTGATCGCTTGCGCTGCGTTCTGCTTCTGGCCTAAGACAGAAACGGCCACGAATGAGGCGGTGTGACAGGCGGAATGAACTGTATATGCTTGCCTTGGCTGGAGCATCCGGCCGCTGTTTACGCGGTCGTAGAACTCGTTGGCTAGGCGGCATGCTGTATAGTGCCAAGTAGTCGACTTGCAAGTATATGCCTGTTGCCTGTATATTTCTATTTTGAGAACTAAATTCCCCCGAGACACTTGCAGAGACAACGCACCTGAGACGTCGACGAAGGCTACAGAACAGTACTGCGCACTTGCTAATGATGTGCACCTTTCCAGAGCTGAGCGCTGTACTCTGGCCGTAACCGGTCACCAGATTCTGAGTTGTCAAACTAGGTGATATCCAGCCTGTCGAGACGCGAACAAGGTAGACGGAGAATGCAAGTCGCAAGCCCTGTATGACGACCTGGACGAGCGGGATGTCATGTGATCGTGTCAGAAGAGGTCTAGGACAGACGTTCGCGGCGCGCGTGGTGAAGTGCACCTTTGCACCATATAATGAAAACGAGGATTTCTCTCAATGCAGGCCATCGACGTTACATCTCAGTACATCTGTGTGAGCGGTCGTGTCCACACACCAAACAATTCGGAATCACGTTTGTCCAATGATCAGTCGGGCTGGAGCCTACATAGGCTGTAAAGCGGTACGTGCTATGATGAATGAGTCAAGGCCCTCGCCCACTCTGTTCCTACATACCAACGAGCTGCGACGTCATGCATCATAAACAACCCATGATACATGCTTCTAGATTGCAGACCAAACAGGTAAGTCCTTCGCCTCCTTCCTCTCCTCCAGAAGCATATCATCAGATGACAATGTGAACAGCATCACGCAGGTCGCCCGTATGCCTCCGGTTGCGTCCGTGATACATCGATCGACGTAGAAAAAATTTCTCAGAGAGCTATATCTCTCGAGAATATTCTTGGCCCAAGGACGGACACCAGCTAGCCGGGAGCGTTCAGTCCGGGGACAGTCGCCAATCTCATCGTTGTACAGCGCAGACCAGACGAGCGTGTCCAGCACGATGTCAGGCCTACCAGTATGCAAGACACTATCATCAGGCCGCTGGTAGAACTGGGGGGTATCAGCAAAGAGGACAACAGATGGCATGGAAGACGAATACATACACTGGCACCACTCAGGCTAGGTATATGGTCTTGGACCTCGAGATACTTCAATCTTGGCAAGGGGTTGCTATTGATTATACCCAATATGAGAGGCCAGACTGACAGTGGGTTTTGGCGTTGTACTGAAGAGTGCCGTTCGCACTTCAGACTGATCAATTGGTGCTGTACAACTCGAACAATGTCGTTGAGTTCCCGGTCATACCCACTATCAAGGGTGAGATCCAGGTGCGTTATCGCATACGGAGTACGGATGGCGCCCGCGAAGAGCTTGTGAGAGGTCACCACCTCTTTGAGGCATGGGAGGACATCGGGGGGTATCTCCCAGGTAGGGCCGGTGAAATCGCATCCCCTGAAGTGAAGTGATTGGAGTGCAGTCTGCTGTCGGAGAAAAAGGGAATAGTCGCTGTCCTCGCTTGCCCAGCTCTCGAATGACTTCAGTTTGAAGGTGCATTGTTCGAGGGTACGCAGCACGGTGTTATAGAGCGCGAGGTCCTCGAAGGTTGCATGCAGTTTCAGTCCCAGGTGCACGAGGTTGGGGAGCATAAGGAGTATTTCGTTTACCAGAGGAACAACGGGAGTGAACCGTCTGTTGTCTTGAGCCCGGAATATGGTGATGAAGGATGCCCGTCTGGATGATTTCGTGAGAGCTTGATGTAGACTGCGAACGTGCGGAACGCGTCCCACGTCGACTTCCCGATACAGGAGACGCTCGGCCTCGAACTGAAGGGTGCGACATGCGAGACTCGCATCGGCGAGCGTGCGCGGAGAGTCGGCGTTCTCGAGAATGAGCAGTATCAGTTCGAGCGGCAGCGGCTTGACTGGTGCATTACTCTGCTCTGCAGGTTGCTTCGATCGTGTTCGCCTAGTCCGCTTGACGCTGCCAGTGGGCTAGATACACGTCTCGTCATTTGGCGTGGCATGGTTTCAATGCCGATCGGACTTACCTTGGCAAGAACCTCCAAAGCCGGCTTTGGCTTTCGAGGTCGGAGACTTCTCTGAATTGAAGCCATGGTTATGTACCAGTCACTAAGGCCTATGTGTTCGTACATTTTCAGCATATGCAATGCTATGCTATGAAGCTTCAAATAACGAACCCGTTTGCCATACGCAATGCGGCAAACGCACTGACAAGGTTCGACGATTTGGCTCGTGTCTGCGTTCTACAAAGAGATCAACACTGCATAGAATGTGAAGAACATGAACTCGTGGTGAGGATCACTATCATATTCAATGCACGTACCTGATGACTACACATGCGTCTGTACGATTCCACAAGGTCGTCGTATTAAACAACCAAGTTGAACAACCGAACAGACGCTCGTCTGGAACGAACTTGTACAGCATGTGACTGGAAGAGGTTCGTACACCAGAACAGCCGAGTTGAACGGTCGATGGACCGTACGCTCACATTCATTCCAGCCTGCTTGACTTATGATCGCCTGTCTCTTCCAAATTCCAATGTTTCTGTTTCATGATACAAGAACTACAGAACCTAGCATGCCAGTGACTTGGCTCGAATTCACGAACAACTTCCCGTGTTAGGTGTACCTCCGTTCTAAGCATTGTTATATAGACATCATCCAGCTACAACGTTAACATGAACCAGCGACCTATCATTATTGGGCCTCAAATATCTGACCACAGAGGCAAGTCCTTTGCCTCCGTCCTTTCCTCCAATAGTGTACGATCATAGGGCGATAACATGAATCGCGTTGCGAACACTATTTTCATGTGTCCGTCTACCTCGTCTTCTTCAGCGTAAAACACGCGACGAAGAGAGCTGTATCTATTCAGGACCTCCTTTGCCCAAGGACGAATATAAGTCAAACGATTGTCGTGTGCGGTACTCTCGGCCCTTCCAAAACTCGCGGACCAAACAAGCGTGCCTAATGCGGTGTTTTGCGAGCCCATGTGCATATAATCAACGGCTGAGAGTGGCTCGAGCTGCGGGGAGAGTAGTCAGAGAGATGGCATGGAAAAACATAAACACATACAACAAGACTGGGTAAGACATCCTTGACCTCAAGATACCGCAGATTCGGCATGGGCCTCTGGTTAATCAAGTCTGACAGTATACACCCGGCTGGACGCCTCAGGTGGAAGCTGAACAGATTGCACTTGAGACTAATGAGCTGGTGCTCAAGAATCTTGAGGACTGCGTCGAGAGGTTGATGATCCCGATCAGTAAGGTTGAGATCAAGATGTGTGATTGCGTGAGCGGTGGTGATAGTGCGTAGGAAAAATGTGTGGTCGGTCCGGAGATACTTGACGTTTGGGAGGATGGTTGGTGATATCGCCCCGTCATCAGAGTACACATAGTAGCTTAAATCCGCGACATGGAGGGATTCTAGACCAGTCTGTTGTCCGAGGAATCGGAGAAGCTCCGGACTGTAGAAGACACGGGATGTGAATAACCTGAGTCGGAACGGGCATTTTGCGAGTGTAGACAGCATGGCGACGCAGAAATCCCAGTCTGTGAAGAATGCCGTCGATGACAGTTTCAGGACGTCAAGGTGTGTGAGAAGCAGGAGGATCCTGCTGAGGTGCGGGACAACGCCTTGAAGTTCCAGCCATTCACCTTCAAGTTCGAATGTGTGGACAAAAGATGCGCGCATCGGAAACTGGGTGAGAGCGTGGTGCAGACTTCGAATCTGTGGGACCTGACACACGTGGACCGTTCGGTATAAGAGACATTCGGCCTCGTGTTGGAAGGCGCGGCATACAGAACTTGCGATGACGAGTGTACGCAGAGAATCGACCTGCTTGAGAATAAGCTGTATCAGCTCAAGCGGGAGTTCCAGCGGCTGCGCTAGCGAGATGTCCCGCTCCCCAGGACCGCGACGCTCCACCGATTGCATACGTCCTGGCGTCTTGGCTCTAAGCTGGAAACCCATCATTAGCGTAGCGCAGATATTTGTGTGTTGGACTTGCTTCCGCGGGTACTCCTTCCGACATAGATGCCAGCCTTGTTCTGCCTGGCTAAAGGGCTCGTTGCGACGATTTGAAGGCCGTAGCTCCACAACGTCACGACTTCGAAGTCCTGGAAACGCTCAGGCAGTCTCTGCGATTCCAATTAGTTAGTCCCGCACTGTGTCAGTGTCCAGAAGACACACCTTGTCGGATACGGTTCGCACAGGGCCGTATGGCAGTTGTCTGGCCGACCAAGGCGAATCTTCTGCCTAGAAGGGCCACAACTTGAGAGGATCGTACGAGTCTATGGGTTGACTCTGACGACTGGCTAGGGCAGCATGCAGGTGAGCTTATACAAGAAGCATTATTCAAGTGTGCATACCTGAGTACACATCGACTGTATGATGACAACAGGCGCGACTCGGACGCGCGCCATTTGGGACCGATACATGTGACCATTCTGATACAGTGAGACGGTCACGGTGGCGAAACGCTTAACATTCAACGTACAACGTTACAACGTTAAATAAGCCTGCGGGTTCAGCATGGTCAGTGACAGCGGTAGATTCCTTCGTTGCCCCACGACTACGAATGTACATCGAGAAGCGCTCCACGGACGCCGTTTCGAGCATAATCGCTCTAACGGTACAAGGGCCACTAATTGACAGTGCTGCCGGAATTTATCATAAAGGATCACAGCTTGAGCGAGACCGAGGAGTGGTGAGGTTCAGACCGCGAATACAGGCCAGGTTCATTCAGATTCCTTTGCTACCACTTCAGTTATCAGACCAGAGTGGTAAGTCCTTCTCTCCCTTCTCCTCCTCTTCCAGCTCGCTATTGGCCGACAACGTGAAGAGTATAACAAAAGGAGCTTGATCTGTGTTGCGCTCCACGTAGAAGAAGCGACATAAAGAGTGGCATTCGCAGAGGACTTTCTGTGCCCAGTGACGGACATTGTCAAGTCGATTGAGCCTGTCGAGCAAGGTGACATCCCTGTGCGGCTCGGGACGCCAGCACGCAGACCAAACAAGCGTGTTCAACGCAATATTTGGCCCGACTGAGTTGCGCGAGGACGGTAGGAACTGTGATGACGATCAGCCAACCCGAGCGAGATACGACATAACGAGACGTACTATACCGGCCACGGTCTCGTTGACTTCAAGGAACCTGAGTGTCGGCATGGTCTTGTGTGCGAGTACATCCGACGGAGGCCAGATCGGAAATCGTCGATCCGTATACCGGTTGCATCTGAGGCTTACGAGCTGGTGCTGGAGAATCTGGAGCACCGCGTCGAGCTTGGAGTCCCGAACATCCGTAGGGAAACAGCAAAGGCTGAGGTGCGTTATCATGCGCGGGGCGGGAATGACGTTCAAGAAGAAGTCATAGTCGGTCTGCAGGTACTTGAGACGGGGGAGGACGTCTTGTGGCATCTCCCAGTCGGGCAGCTCGAACGACAGAGCCCTGACGTTGAAGAACTCTAGGTCCGCCTGCCGTCTGAGGAATTGAAGAAGCTGTCCATCGTAGTTTACGAAGCACTGGAGTTTCTTCAGCTTGAACGAGCACTCTGAGAGCGTGCTAAGCAATGTGGCGTAGAGAGGTGGGTCGCCGATACAGGCGTGCAAGTTGTGATCCAAATGCTCGAGGTTCGTGAGCATGGGGAGTATCTCGTTGAGTAGCGGGATGATGTGGGCGAAGCGGCCGTTGTCGTCCATCACGAAGGTGCGAACGAATGATCCGCGTACTGGGGCTTTGGTGAGAGCATGGTGCAGACTGCGAACATGCTGGACACGTGCCACACAGACCTCTCGGTATAAGAGACGTTCCACCTCGGTTTGTAACATCCGGCATGCACGGCTTGCATCAGCAAGCATGCGCAGAGAGCCGACGTGCATGAGAATCAGCAATATCAACTCTAGCGGGAGCCTCAATGGCTGCGCTGATGAATTGCCTTGCTCCCCATGCTGCCACGGCCGCACACGCCTTGACCTTGTCGCGCCAGACTGCATAATGCATCACATTTCCAGGAGTGTGGTAGGCCATCGTCAAACTCACCGTGACAGGTGCCTCGGACAACTTGTGTGGTCGAAGAACTCGTTGCGAGGAAGCCATGTTTCTTCTACTACTGCGACTCTGGCGTTCTCCAGGAATACGGATGTTCTATTCGTACTTGAACTCGCAAGAAAGCGAACTTTGGAAGCGTCCTGAAGACACACCTAATGATAGATTGGTGTACAATTGGGGTGGGTGATGATTGCCTTCAAGTTCGACTTGTCTTGTAGCCCGGTCGCAACGACTCGCAATTCATCCAGCCCGTTACGAGAGATCCGAATCGCAAGTGAGGCACCAGTGCTGGTACTGGCGGTCATCAAAGTTCGCTAGTGAACGGTTCGTGACAGCTATTTGGGTACGATGGGGTGGCTGTGCATACCTCCCGGGAGTCGCTGGTCGCTGATCATAAACAGAGGTGCGACCGACTCGCTGCGACGCGTCGCGCATCCATCAATATCTTGAAACGCTGATCGTTGTATTGTTACAATATCATGTAACTTACCTACTTTACTCAAGGACGTTTGCACCGTGCCTCAGCACGCCCTAGAGCTAGAGGCTGTTCGCGAGGGATTTATGGTGGCTTTCGTAGACAATGACATACCCCTGTGCAATTGTAGGGCAAGCCTTGCAGTAGCATCGCCATTTTATGTACATAAAGGTAAGCTATAAGCAACGCAGAAGACACGATCGTAAAGAGTGTGACTTGTAGTCCGCTCCAACTTCCCAGCATGAATGGGTTTATCAGCGGCTACTATGAACCAACATAAGAACGAGTGCAAGAAATCACTCCACAAATCACCAGACAGAAAACTAGAGCACACTGTCAATGTAGGACGAATCCGCATCCAAGTAGCTCCTCAAGCTCTTAAATCGCAGACAAAACACATCAAGACTCCATGCAACCTCAGCGGCGATTACTCCGGGACCCGCTGCGGCACCACTTCACGTCTCCGACTTCTTCTTGAACTTCAGAGCCTTCAACTTGGGATCGGGGGCATATGGGAACTGCAACGACTGCAGAGCACGCGAGACGTCAGGATCGACAGAGACCCGGGCAGTCGGCGCAGTCGAGGCCGAAGCCGACCAGCGTCGAGGTTGTGCCGAATGCGACGCGGCGCGGCGCGGTGCATTTGAATACGCCGGAGAGGCGTTTCGGTGCGATTCAACGTCGCGCGGGGGCGCCGGATGCGGGCTCGAGAGACGCAGAGCGGTGAACGTGCCCTCGATGGGGGAGTGGCTCGGGGTCTCTCTGCCACGTTGGGTGGGACTTGGCGCAGCTGAGCGTGACTCTAGGCGTAGCGATGACTCAATGGGGGAGCTCGGGAGCGAAGATGGCCCCGCTTGGGGTGCGGCGGGTATCGGGGTGCCTTCGTATTTGGGTTCTGGGATGGGACTGTATCCTCGTCGCTGCTTGAGCGGCCTGAACGTGTACGTCCCTTCGCGCCTCGGGATGGGCGGCTGATTCGGGAAGCGCTGTCAAGATGAAGGCATTGGTTTGTGAGACAGTATAAACCTAGTAGTGGAAGAGTGTCCGAACCTTCAATTCGAACCGGCAGACTTTGAAACCGGACTTCCCCGTCTCTAGTGATGCCTAGGATACCATGGATTATTAGCAGATGGATTGACCGCCCATGACTTGGTCTCTCACCCTGACTACTTCGTATAGTCCGTCGTATCGATATTTCTTGTCGCTGGGAGCTACTCAGGGGATACTTCCTGATCACATGGACGGCACGCTTACCCTCCAGGCGGCGCGAAGTCAGAGTCCAATTGACAGCCTCTGACGACTCGCACAGGTTCTCCAGTTTTCCATGATTTCTATATCATCGCTGAGAGATGTACAGGTGTCAGAGAAGACGTCACTTACCCACAGAGCAGCGTTCCTATAATTGTCGAAGGTCTGGTCTTTGGTCTGAGGCCCTGCGTGCCACTACTTGCGTAAGCATTGACAGGCCCCACTCCACCAGTGAAACACCACGTACCGTGCCATCGAGTGCCTTGTCGTTCCCGCCAGACCCGGTATATATGCTGATCAGTGAGTACGCAAATCAGCAACTGTGGTCTCGTGTAGCGCCGACTGACGATACGAACATTCGGTCTCCTTCATCCACATCGTCTTCATACCCGCCCGACAACACGATGCTGTAAGCACCCTCCTCCTTAGTCCCATATATTCCAGCAGCGATAAACGGGTGTACAGCTGCATCGCTGCATTCCTGCCTGGTCGCAGAGGCGATGGAGGTCAACGACCGTCGACCACAGATCCACGAGGCGCCGGAGATCACCGTACTCACCTCGACGCCCAGTACGTTCCGATCGGGACGTCAGGGATGTGTCCGAAGACGTTGCTGCCGACGCCCTCATTGTCAGGGACACGTACGAGGATAGCAGGATGTCTTACGGGCTGTGCGTGCGCCCTGCACGAGCGGGACTTCGTGCAGACATGGTAGTATCTGATCAACAGAGGCTATGCTGGTCCAGGTAAGTCTTCGACTCTTCGACACAATCGCTCACGCTCAATTCAGAACTCCGATGCGGCACCTTATTCTCAGCCTGAGAATGTACTGTACACATGCCCGGCATCATTATACTGACCTCTTTATTGTCAATGTTCTCTGCAGGGTTTCGTGGTTGTACCTATTCGCTGCAGAACTCTGCCTGACAAGTGAGCTCGGGAACGTCGATCATTCTGAGTGACACGGAAGCACCATTATCATAGGGACTGGTACAATGTATGTCTTCTTCTACGGATTCATTGTCACATTTACCTCGCCCTCCCGAGTGCATCCCCGGAACTTGGTAGAAATGGTATGCCCGATCTCGATGGGCTGACCGCCTTTCCCTCGAATCTCGTCGACGTCCTGCACAGCGGTAAGGACTGGGAATAGCGCGTCGTAATCGTATGGCGCTCCACTGACCGGCAATGTGTCTGGATTGAAGCGAGTTGCATGGTTATTGCTGGCTAGGCACAGTGGAAGTTTTTCTGAGGCTGAACCTGACTGGTGCGTGTCTGGTGCTCCGCTACGTGCCTACTACTCCACCTGACAATCCCGGCTTTACTCCACAGTGTGAAGTCATGGATGTCGATGAGGAGTGTAAGTTTGTCGACAGAACCTCCCCACTCGGTAGTAGGCGTCACTCTTCACAGAAGTCTCCAAGTACGAGGCGCCAATGGGGTGGTCGCCATACCTCACTGCTTCGCGTTGCCGACGGCACTATTAGTACTGTGCGAGGCGCGGAATGCAGGAGGTTCAATTAGGTACGATGCGTTATACAGTACAGGTTATACGGAGCCGCCCACGTCCTTCTAGCTCAAACCTACACCTCGACGCGCGGCCGGCTGGAGCTCAGCCAGAACCATCGAGATGAGTGAGCGTCCCCGGGTTATGTGCGACGCGATGGCCATGCTATCCAAAGCGTATCACAGTCAGTTTATCCACTGCAGCACACCAGCGCCGACGAGATCACTCACCTGGTCAGAGAACACGACCTGCGACAGAGCACGGGGATGTCAGCGATGCCGCGTGAGTATAGTGGTTGTGGTCCGCACCTTCGGCGGGTTCTTCACGCTCGTCCCCAGCTCTTCTGAGACCCGCTCGGCTTCCTCCTGGGTCTGCGCGATCGCCTCGACCTGCATCTATTCAGTCTCCGTACACCGGAAGCACAGCCGAGGAGGGTTGGTGAGGATGGGAGGGAGGTCGGCTCACCTCGCCTTCGCGCTTCCCGCCGCGGATCTTGGTATAGACGATGTCGCCGACCTCGGTCGGCTGGCCGTCCTTCTGCTGTTTGCGTCGACCTGTAGGAAGTACTGTCGAATGAGTGGCGCGTCATACGGCCAGTCGCGTACGCGGTGAGGTCATCGCGGTCGGGCACGCCACCTCCGGTCATCTCAGATCTCTCAGTGTGGATTCAAAGTAGTTCCGTTTCTGACTTGTTTGGGATGTCGATGTACGCGTCTGCGCGCGACGGACGGGGTTGGCGGGAATGGGAAAGCTTGCTATGACGCCGAACAGAAAGAAAGACGTGCTGAGCCATACTCAGCACACGGTGTCCGAGTGTCGAGAAAAGAGTACGAGCAACGACGCCTGTTTGACAGAAAGTGAGGCTGGCAGGGAAATGTATGGGCATCGGTTGGGCTCTAAGTACTCTTCAGAACGAGGAGGTTGTCGATATTATTGCAAGAACGTGGTACCTGACATACAGATGTACCGGACATGGCTGACGCCGTGGTACACGCTCGCCAGGCCAGTGATAATTCATGAGGACACAAGCGGCTCGCTGAGGCGTCCTCGGGTGGTGGGCCCTGGCTCTTCCCGTGTATACGGACCCGAAGTACCCGCATACGCCGCCCGAGGCTAAGTCTTGGCGGGCTACCATCTGCGCGATCCCAAGTGCTGAGAAGGCTGGTCAAGCCGAACACCGCGGACCCACGTCCCACCATATGCCCCTGTGCATTCCTGTGTGCACCCGTCGTTCCATGCGTGCTCGCGGTGAAGCCACGCTGGACTCAGGGTCGCGAGCGGGAGTGCCCGCGTCCACCGGAGGACGAGAGTTTGCTGGAGCCGGTGGACACGGGCCGCCGGGGCTATTCGGGAGCGCCAGTCGATGTCAGGAACGAAGTCAGCTTGGGAGCTCGGACAATGCGCTGTAGGCCGGGGGCCGGTGACCGGCTATCTCGCAGTCGAGTGCTTGGAGGGGATGGTGCGGTCTTATAACACGGGACAGACGCGGGCTGTCTGGTCAGCTGATGGACGTGCTGTTGGGATTGCGTTCGGCGCTGCGGTACGTAAGTTTGGCGTGTCCGGACGGAGGAAAGGTTACCTGGAAGGAGAAACGCTGTCAGCTTGTCTGATGAACGAACCTTAGCTGTAAAGAGCACGTACTGGGTACGTACTGCTATAAGGACCAACATGGACGAACGGGGAGAGAGCGGCCCACGGGGCCTCGTATGTCAGTCGGAGCGTTAAGCCTATCCGTCAGTTCTTGCGCGAGGATGGGAATGGTGGGATCCGCTAGTTCCTGAATTGGGCGGGTGAGAAGGTGGACGTGAACCTACGATGGTGGTACTTAGACGCTGCGCGGTCTGCATATAACGTATACGAGTGAACTGTGCTCCTGCCGCAGGTGAGACCCGTCAGGACTGAGACTGAGGCTGTCCGTGGGTTGTTCATCTCCGGCCGGGCTGTTCGTTCATCTCGCGTACGCGCACGACCGGAAGCGTGTGCCACGCGTCACATCGCCCCGACTTATCGGCGCAGACTCGTGTGTGTGCGGTTGCGTTCGAACGAGTCGCGGACAGAGGGTTTGGGGAAAGCCACCGCAGACTCATCATGAGATGCGGGTATTTATGTAAACCCCACACAGCACCCCGCGAAACGATCACACCGCAAATAGCCTGGAGGCTGCGAAGTCGAGGAGGAATGCCGTAGATGGTAAGGGCCGGTGCGGTTACCCGCTGACGACGGGTGGAGGAGGGCTGCGCGGATGAACTGGCCTGATATATAAGAGGGGCTGCGACAGAGGGCTGCGAGAGTGTGGCGAGCGGCTGCTGCCAGTGGCAGACGAGGCGGGTTGCCGGATACGGGGATCACGTGGGGGAGGCAGTGCATGTTTGGGGGTGTTGTGGCTGAGTCGAGGGGCTCGCTGTCGGCCGTTTGGCGACACCTTCTCGTCTGCCCCCGTTCTCGGAAAGCGATCCTCATCACGATATTTCCGATCTGCATTTGGTGCAGTACTACCGCTTCCGACCCACGTCGCCTCGCGAGTCTATTCCGAAGCCCCAGGCCGTCCGCCTGCATTGTCGACGTGGCCGCGCGTGGCCGTGTTCTGAATGTAACCGTCTCCTCCTTCTCATGTCCCGTAGTACACTCACCCCGATCCACCCTCCCTCCCAATGCAGATAGCCGCCACATCCCCGTCAGCTGTCCGTTCCCAAGCCTGTGTGCACGTCCACCGTATCATCACTCCCCCGCAGCATCGCCATGGCGCGCTCAACGCGTGTCGTCCCAAAGTCCAGCCCGAGGTCCTCCAAGACCTCTTCGGGCGTGAACCAATCCCAGCCACCCGTTTCTCCCAGTCCGAGACGTTCGTCCCGTTTGCATAGTAGCCCGTCTCGGCCTGCCGCCTCCCGCACGACGGCCACATCCGCGCCACGCGCTGCTGCCCCCACAGATCGAGAGGCCGAGAGCCGGTGCGGCGACAGCCGCCACCCGACAAATGAGCCCCCGTTCAGCCTGAAACAGCAGGCGGAGCCGCAGGAACAGCAGCAGCAGCAGCCTGTGCCCCCCGTCCTATCGGGGAAAGCTCCTCTCGCCAGGGGATCGGCGACACATCTGCCCCCAAATGCGGACAGCCCGCGCTCGCCCAACAAGCTTAAGCGGCGCCGCGGGCTCGATCATTACGATCTTGTCCCAATCCCATCATCTGCCCCCCAAGATTTAGACAATGAATTGACTACGCCCCGGGCCCTCCGCGCTCTCAAGCGTCAGCGCCTCCATCTTCATATCGAAGCCCCAGCAACTCCTGAGCCTTCCCCTTCTGGGGTTAGGCACGATAGCCCCCGCTCCCCAAGCCCCTCTTCGGGCGACATCACGTCCCAGCCCGAACCCGGGTGCCCAGAACCCCCGCCCAAGGAGGCCGATAACGATCTACGCATCGTCGAGACCGACGCCACCGCACCTGCGGATTCTCTTGGAAAGGAAGAGCATCATGCCTCATATGGCGACAATGAAGCCGAGCGGCAGCAATTCGGGAGTGGCCTTAGCCTGTCGGCCACGAAGTCGCTCTCGCCGGCAGTGGCGGTCGATGCGTCCGTCGCCACATCGTCACACGAAGACGACGCGCTCGCCGAGGTGAGGGGTTTCGTGCGTGCAGGTCGGGGACGCTGCTGATGGCTCTGCGTGTTCGTTTTATAGCCCTCAGACGCGAATGTGCCAAGCACCGGCGCTGCCAGAGATCTAGACACCGCTTCAGGGTAAGTGTGTTCGCTAACCACCCAGGCATGTGAGGCGACTGACACCATCCAACAGGGATACCCAATCCGTATCGGCTGATCGTTCTGCATCGCCGGCTCCCGCGTCTAACGACGCTGTCCCACAACCCAGGTAAGACATGCTTCCTGTATTCTGAGTTGCGATGAGAACCAACACGGCATTGTTCTCCCAGTGCCGCACCTGCGTCTGCGCAGAACGAGGATGCCCAAGAAGCGCCTGAACCGGCGTCTGAACCGGCGCCTATGGAAGCTCAGCCACAGTCGCCGTTGCACGGCGCGCCACCGCCCGCAAACCTGGCTGCCTACATGCCGACGCCGGAGGAGCAGTGGGCGCATATCGCTGCAAACTATGGTCTGACGGAGGAATCCAATATGACTTTGCCGTCGCACCGGTGGCGGGTGGCTGCGCAACGTGCAGGCGTGCGGGCGAGCCGCGGAGTGCGGCCGAAGAACCAGAAATTTGAGGCGTGGGTGGGCACTTGGAGGTATGAAACGATGGTCCGCGTGGAAGCGATGTCAGTGCTATGATTTGTCTGGATGTGTGGCACCTGTCCTGATGGGCCTTGCTTTAGGTTGGAGTGGGCGTCGTACGAGCTGGTTCGCGTGTACAATGACTTGCAGACGCGGGACGACCCTGTGGACTTCTACAACTTCTCTGCGGAGAATCTCCCGGATGATGTTGTGGGGATGATGGACGTCGACGAAGAGGAAGAGGAAGCGAGCGATGCCTCCGCAGAAGCCGCTTCCGACGAAGATGATAGCGACGACGATGAAGACGACGAAGACTTCGACGTCCCCGACGCCTCAAATGTTATCATGGAAGTTGACAGCATCGAGCCTGCTCCCGAGTTCGTGCAAGGCAGCTCGACAACGGCGACTGCGCTAGACGTCCCCGAGGAGCCGAACAGAACCCCCGAATCACCGCCAGCCAATCTGACGATGCCCCCATCGTCGATCCCTCCTCGCTTCCGAAGTCTCACCCCCAGGCTTCCAGGCCTTTTTTCTTTCCACTCAGGCACGTCCGATCAGCCTCAGCTAACACCGGACGGCCTCCCCTTCGTCGGCCGCGGTACGCCCGTCGACAAGCGGCGCCGCGACGACTGGGCGAACATCCGTCCCGCATCTCCCCGTTACCCCTCCCGGCCTCACTACACTACCTCTGACGAGGATTGGTTTTCGCTCGTCACCACGCCCTCCATCCTCTCGGGCAACACCTCGTCTCTCTCCTCCGACACTAACTTCGGCGTTCCGACCGAGGTCGGCCCGTTCTGCTGCACGCAAGACGGCCTCTACGGATCGGAGGGATCCCTGATCCCGCCTAAATATGATCCTCACGAAAGCGCCGCGGGTATGAGCACGGACGGGAACGCTGGCGCGTTCGATTACCCTGCCCCGCCGCAGGCCTGGATGCAGCCGCCCGTCCGCGAGTCGACGACGCCTTTCCCGGAGTTTCCCCCGCAGCTCACGGGCGACTTCCCGGGGAATGCCCCCGAGGCGGCGGCGTTCCCACCCGCGCCGCAGACGCAGGCGACGTCCACGGGCTGCATCCTCCACCACAGTCTGCTGGAGTGCCTCACGTCGGGCCTGGGCTGCGTGTCGGGCCCGTTCGCGGGCGTGCAGATGCAGATGCCGACGCCGCCCCCGACGCCGCCGATGGTCCCGTGTAACGTGGAGGCGGCGAACCCACCCGGCGTGCTCGGTGGGATGGACGTCGGTCCGTATGACGTCGCGATGGAATCGGTGCCCGTCCAGGCGTCCAGCGCACTGAGCCATGCCCTCGGTTAAGCGGTACGGCCCTGCGCGTCGTGGCATTGTTCCACCCCCGCCCCCACTCCTGCTCCGCCTGTCCGCAGTCCATGCTTACTGTCTCCTCCCTCGCCTCGCTCCGTGCCCTGTGCATCTCCTACCCGGTTATTGCGCCCGCGCTAACGTGGCGGTGCACCCCTTCATCTCGCTTCCTCCCGCAATCATCGTGTCGTCTGCACCATCGTGTCCCAAGCTCGCGCTGTCGTGTCGTTTTGCATCGCTTGCACTCAACTCTCCCCTGCTCTGCCAGTGCCACAGCGCCGTCCTCGCTCATCCTCATCTCAGTCCGCCCAATCTCAGTTATAGTCTTAGTCGTACTGTACCCCCCGCAATCTGGATATTAGTAGTAGTTGGTCTTTTATGCTGTACTCACATCGGTTTCCCTGGTGGGTTCGGACGTTTACCCGTTATCGTGCCCCGTCGCATACCCTGCTGTTGTATTATCATACCCGCGTGTCTGTACCTAGCGGCGTGACCATCCTTAATCATGTCCGCCGAATACACCTCCGGATCTCTGCTGCTGCCGCCGCTCTGTCTGAGTCTCTTCGCGTGCCTTGAGCTTATTGTGGGTGGGTGAGGCGAACCCACGTCGCGGGGCTGGACAGCGTGGTGGGTTCATTTTGCGCCGTGAGTACGCGTGTGGTCGTGTGGTGACGCACGCGGTGGTTCCTCGTTCATATCGCGGGGCGAGGCGGGGGCGATGGTCCGTGGATAAGCCTAGCCTGCGCAGCGGAGCCAGATCTCGCCCCGCCCTGTCTATTACCTTCCGCGTCGTTCGACGTAAGTACGCGCGGCGTGCGCGAGGCGGGAGCCTACTCGCAGCAGCTGGCTGCGTCAGGTCGATGCTGTACTGTGTTGGGCTCGTACCGCTCGTGCTGGCTGTGCGGGGTGCGAGGACCGGACCGCGGGGGTGTGCAGTCGAGTCGTGTATAACCAAATTATTAAGAGATGCATAGTATCCGAGAGAGCAGTCCTGATGGAACAGAATACTACAAGCAAGAGCACTAGAAAATGCAACAACGGGAGCCTGTCGTCTTAAGGACCGACGGGCTCTCCGTGGCATGAAGAGGAAGCGGGACCATAGTACTGTTAGTGAGTGCGGTGTGAGTACAGATGCGCGGGAAGGCTGAGCTGAGGTATATCTGTATGTTGTACGGTATCCGAGGCGTGGAGCGATGTAATCCGGGGAGACGATGGGGTGATGCGTGCATGCTGGGTACGAGGGCACTTGGGATCCGGTTCCGGGATCATTGTCAGTCATCAGAGATGGAGATGGGAGAAGAGCAATAGAGCGAACATTAAACCCGCCCGCGGCGCGTTGGCGGAGGCGAAGGGCGATTAAACCCAAAATGCCGTCGGATTAGAGGAACGTCATCGTTGACGAGGATGAGGGCGGCGCCCAGCTCTGTGAAAGGCATGAGTATGCTGGAGCAGGAGACGCGTGCTCGACATACCTTGTGCGCGGAACGCCCTCCGTGAGTCTGCCAGGGCTGTCTGGCTGGTGCGCCCGAGAAGAGGCCCAAAGCGTCGGTGTCCTCCTTGCTCCTCAGGGCTACGCTGACCCGCCGCGCATGGCCCGCGCGCTGCGTCTTCGGCGGGACGTACGGGAACTGCTCTTCCCCTTCCTCGGCGACACTCAATTTGTGCAGGTCCTCCATGATCGACTGCGGCACCGGGACGGTCGTGCGCGGGATGCTCGGGTCCCGGCGGTGCATCGGCTCTGCCGGGGTAGGAGTCGGGTGCCCCAGCAGCGGGTTCGCAGCGTAGATGAGGCGGTCGCGGAACGGGGGCGTCCTTGGATGGGGGGCATAGCTCGGGTGCATGGGCGCTGGCATGCGCGGCACGTCCAGGGCGAAACCCGGGGCCTCCAGGGACGACATGGACGAGTAACTCGTGCTATACTGCAGAGGGGACGAGAGCGCGGCGGGGGAGACCTGGTGCTGCCATGGAGGCGACCCGAGGTACTGTCCGTAGCCCATACGGACCATTGGCTCGTTGCTTCGCTGCGGCTCGTAGATGTGCAGGGACGGGACTGGCACGCTCGGAGCAGGGGGAGATGCCGGAAGCTGTGGCCGGAGAGGGAAGTAGGTGGTGCCCTGATACTGCACGGCTCCGCCGAGGGTGGTCTCGACGGGACTCGGTGGTTGCGCTCTCGCGGGCGACTCTATCGACGCCGGAAGTGTCCGCACTTTGGGTATTATTGGCTCTGGGTGCTTGTACCGGCAGAGCGCGCCCTTCGTGCAGTTCGGCCATTGGAGGCATGGCGTATGTCGGATGACTATGAGCGAAATAACGGTCAGAATATATCAATATTTGGAGAGACGATTATACGCACACAGATGAGCCTGCACAGGATGGAGATAAGGGCAGGCTTCAACGTGGCAGAGACCTTGGATGTACGCCCAGCAGTGGCTGTGTTTGGACCCAGCCTGCGGTGGCCCTTCGCCGTGGTTCCCTTCAGGAGGTGGCCGGCCGTCGGGGAACCTGACGTCCTCGAGAGCTATAGCTGCCAGCTCAAGATCGTGGATGCTACACGGAAGGAAGTCAAAGTCCGTAGACGGATGTCAGATAGCAAAGCACGTACTAATTGCACTCGTCGCCCAGCGGACACCATCCATGGTGTCGAGAAAAATGTCTGCACAACGAGGTTCGCCACGAAAGAGATCTATACTGCGGTGCGCTAGGCGGAGGCACAGAGATGTCCCTATTTACTTGGAACGTAGGAGGGGATGCCCAAGGTCGCGCAGTCGCGTTCAGCGCGTGTATAGGTCGTCCCATTTGAAACCATTGCAGAGGAGGAGCCGTTGAAGTTTGCGTTGACAACAATTGCGTGGCCTCTGGTTGAGTCTGAATTATCCGCAGAAATATTGGACCTCTGGAAGCGACAGCCGAATTGGCTATACTCACTGGTGGATATGTGGCCTGTGGCGTAGAAGAGGCCGGGAGTACGACGTGGAGGTACTTGCATCTCTCTCCCTGAGGGCAGTACCCGAGAGTATAATTGCGGCAGAGTTTCGGTGCTGGGACGCGTCAGGATGTGTGATCATCTATCATGGCAGTCATGGAAGACGTACTGCGAGCCCTGTTATTCCTCCTGGGAACCATGTCCGGAATCCAGTGCGACGACGAGAAGCAGGAGTCGACTCCTTCCGTCCAGGGCGCTCGACACTTATATGTCGGCGAAGGGCACAAAGCGTATGGGCGCGGATATAGATGGTCAACCGCACGTGCTTGTCACGCGAAGTATCAAAGCTGAAGTCGCGGGTCAAACAACAAGCAGTTGTCAAAGCGTACTGTCTCTAGTAGACATATGAAGCACTCCGCAGGAGACAATAGCTTTGACCCCGGGGATTAAAGCCACGGATGACCCCGAGGCTGTGAAAGGCTTCGGCCAAAGCGTCGAGAACATCCGGTGCGGTGGCCTGAAAAAATTGACGTTGGGGGAGAGGAGAGCGGACTTGAACAGCCATCGCAAAGCAAGAGCCGGGGGAGTCATTCGCCCCGGGCTCGCCATGAAATGCAATGCTGGACACCACGAACACGCCTTCTACACGAGCTGACCCGGTTTCCTAAACGGGGCAAGATCGTATCTTTACACGGCTTACATAAGCGCTGTATCGGACGCCATCTTGCCCCGTGTATGCGAACACGCCCAAGCGGCCAGCAATGCGGTGTTCGGAAGACTCTGCCATTGCGTAAACTCGTCAGTCGCCAGCCATGCCGCGGAACGCACGCACAGCATCACAGCTGAACCAACGCGGCCCTAAAGTGCGGTGTGTGAGACGCCCATTTCCATATCGAGTCCCGCGGAGACTCACAGCCAGATTGGTAGCAGTCCCGACGCTGGGGCCACAGTATCTTCGTGAGCGACAGAATATTGACAGAGCACGGCACCTTGATAACCTCGCTCGCGGATGGCGTCTGAAGATCGTTCCGCTGGTCGCAGGCACGGATCGATCGACATTGTAAACGTTTGTCCCGGCTTCCGTCGTCGATCCCGAGTTCGAAGCCGCTCAGCCGTCCCAGGGTCTCGAGGACAAGGACACCCCAATGGTCAAACAACCAAGCACACTCATAGAACCGGTGCACGTCCCCTGCATTACCAGCGACGTGGCTCCTCAATAGCTTGCACAGTGCAGGTGTGTTGTCCAGCGTGGAGGTATATCTTGCTCAAGACTCAGTAGATGCAGACGGACGAAGAGACTCACAACATCGAGATGCTGCGGGTTCCCCGTACGAACTGGGATCCGCCGCAGCCTTTAGAGAGGACAGCGACATCTGATACCGAACCGCGAGTGCAGCATCCTATTCAGGGAGGAATAGAGTCGTACCATTCAAACCATCCCATGTTGCCATTTACGGAATCCTCACACAGAGGTGGTATCTACTGTACCTGGCCGGCGCAGAACGTACATCTAGGAAACCTCATCTCAGTCCAGACAACCATGCATTTGAAAAGCGTAGTCGAAAGCTGACAAGTGATGGGAGGGTCCCGATTATGCGGCGTTGGTGATCAAGGTTGGGGCAGTCAGGGCGCGACTGAGGGTGAGTGCTTGAGTGCTAAAGGCAGGTCGAGAGCTGAACGACGTTGAAGGGAACCGATCAGACGCACCGGAGTACGCCGGAGCGTGTGGTCTCACATGTTGCCCATATGCCCTTGCTGGGGGTTCGGCATGAATGAAACACTGTGGTCGACGCGTTGCGGGTCTGATACGGCCATCGGCATGCCAGTCTGGCGGAATGAAGGCGCCAGCGAACTCGTCGACTGCATTGCACCTCCCGATAGTTGTTGACGCTTCATTGGGGGTAGCGACGCCATGTCCTGCAGTATCGTAAGCACGTATGCACCGTGTACATGTGGACACTTACTTCGAAAACATCCCGGCCTGGGATCGATCGGTAAGCGAATACAGGTCAGCGAACTAGATCGGGCAGCAGACATACCTGCCAGCGGTTCCCAGCTCCGGGGGTGCTTCCGATCGGCACCCATGGGATCGATCTGCATGCCATGCTCCCGCGATGTCGCAGCGAGACTCTGCCCAAACAAACGGCTCAGATGCGATCGCAGCTCACTCAAACACCATACGCACTTCATCCATCATCGTGACATTATGGCCATGCGCCATTGGCGCGCCCATAGTATCTACTTGAGACCATGTAATATCTCGCATATTCCGCCAACTGTTTGTATGGTCGGGTATCATGACGTTGTGTGGTCTTGGGGGAGCTTAGCATGCGGTATATTGACGAACAAGAACTGCTCACAGAGGGCTCATCCCACTTCCTCGGGAGTCGCTTGTGCTTGGTCTGGATTGTGGTCGTTGCTGCATTGCAGCATTCGCCAATAGCTGGTTTCTGGGAGACGTTCTGGTGGCCTGCAAAGCTTCTGTTCGGTCAGAAAACAATCCAGTTTCATTATGAACTGCCACACCTTCGCCTGCATCGCCCGGATAGCTGTTCATGAGTTTCGATACTGTGGCAATGTCAGATGTAAATCGACACAAAAAAAGGAAGACCAGCCGCACTACCTAAGGTGTCCCGCCGCTGCTCCGCCGCCAGAACCTGCAGACGAGCCCTCTCCTCCGCTTCCAAATATGCTGTGTAAGTGGTCAAAGCTTCTTGCGAGTTCTTCCGTGCGCGTGCAAACTCAGCGCGCGCATTCCCCAAATGGTTTCCTAGCACCACCTAAGTCAACGCGAAGATCAAAGGCCGTGAATACACTCACGGGCTACTTCGAGATCGTTCATGACGGTTTGGACGTCGTCTGTCGCGCCGGAGCCTGGAGAAGCACCGCCTTCATCATCTTGCTCTTCTACACCGTGTCATGGAACGAATCTAGCTTGAGCAGAGGGCCTACGCACCTTCGTCATCCGCTGCTTGCCAACCTGAGCCAGATGCGATCGCCGACGACGTGCTGGGATGTTGCAGACGCATTGCTGGGTGTTCTTGCTCTCCTGTGCTGGTGTGCAGGAAGGTCCGCCGTAGTCGAGGGTTGTGCGGAATGCCAGCAGCTTGTCGCTCGATGAATTTCCGTAGGAATGTCAGTTCCACGTTGTCGGGCATGACGTACGGTGGTCCTTGGATCTCGCCTTTCTGCATGAGCAGTTCGAGATGCGACATGACTTTATCCTTCAGTTGCTGCAGCCACTCGTGCAGCTCCATGTGGTCCTGATCAGCGCGGGAGTCGTAGTCTTGGCGTCTCCTCGCTTTCCTCCAGTAGGTCTTCGTTAGCTTGAGCGCACGAGTGACTTCCCCGTCGAGCATGCGATACCAGTCGCTTGCTTGCCGATTAAGACGGACTGCCAGAACGCCAGGCTGCACTCGCAACTGCAGAACGCAGCGGCCCTCTGGATCAGGTGCGCCGAGAACACCTTTCTGGCCTTGATTGCCTCTAGTAGCCCCACGTGAGACGTTCCCTAGTTCGGGCCAGGGAAGGTCGTCTGCCAGGATGTTGGATGTCATATGTGAATGTCCAGATGGGGGGCCTCAATCGGTACGGTGAAACGGAGCAGCGTAACTTTTCAGCTGTTGGGCGTTGCATTAGTACGCCGGAGTCAACCGAGAGTGCGGAGGGTACGTACCTGCGTACTGAACGCCGCGTGTGGGAGAGAAGTCGGCCACTCGCGGTTCCTGCCAGTATGATATGGCTGCCCTGCCGGCCGTAACAAGCTCTGCACAGCCCACTGGTTTCCGCCATTTCCGCCGTAAAGATGGCGGAGACATCAATCAAAGTGGGCTATGTAAGAGATACCATGTATGTCTTATAAGGGGCACCAAACTGGACCTGCGCTCGCATAACGTACGATGGGAACCTGGGTTACAGCCCGGGTTGTTAGAATTCGTGTAGCATCACATCAAAACACTTGCCACTTTCACACCATCAAAAAGTTTCCTAATTCGGCATGACGAGAGCCGGAGAAGCGTGAGTACAACCGCTCGCTAGCCGCTGCTCTTGGTAACTGAGTTGAATGTATCCATGTTTCACAACAGCGGCACCAATCCACGTCGGAGAGTTGCAATGTACCTTGTTCGACTTTAAGGGGTCAGAGTTCGAAAACGCGACGGTGAGATAATCTGATAAACGCAGGTCGCAGACGAACACAAGGAAGCGGTGGCAATCAAGAAACTACCATACGGGATCTGCGAAAGGTATACTGAGAGTCGTCGAGGAGTCGTCGCGCCCTTTCGCCGCCGTTGCACAGAGCGGCAAACCCCCATCACTGCGAGGCACCGCCGTCGGCTGATGTCCTTCTGCAGTAAGTCATGCTGCCGCCGGCATTCAGGGTCTCGACAGCCGTCTCATCAAGGGCCTCGGAGGCCTCCGATGCTGAAGTGAGCCACAAAGTGTTACAGTGATGGGCCGGTACAAATATTCTTAATACCGGATACCAGTAAAAGGGCGGCGAGATGGAACTTGGATGGAACCCATTCCAGACGAGGTTTCGTATTACGTGCAGCATTCGAATTGGACGGCCAGCCAGCCGTCTTACTTCGCGCCGTGACTCCGAATAACACCCGTTTGCACGTAGCGCCTACGTGCTAACATCAATTGATGATGCGTCAACTGTATTTGGCACGACAAGGCGTCGTCTAACTGGTGTCTAACTGGAACGCCCGACTTGCCAAGCTTGACGCCTGCATCGGGGAGTCCACTGCGATGATAGCGAGGCAACCGCCTGTAGGTGAAGATGTACAGGCTGAAGAATGACACTCACAATTGGACGGCAGCAGATCTTGGTACAGTGATACGACACTAATGACACACATCTCAGCGACTTTCCTCGTGAGGTGACCGGTCATACCGGAGGCTTACTGTGATAAAGACACGGGATGAGTTGTTTCACGTCGACCAACGTAGAACAGCGGTTACTATACAGCAGAATATTGCCCGAACTGTGTCATCCGTCAGTTTGTCCGATGAGCACAGCGGAAAGATCTAGATGTATTTGAAGCCAGACAGGTCACTTCACACGTTAATATACAGTAGTCCAAAACAGCGGGCTTACTCACAAATTTGCTATATTCCCATTCAGTGTTCCGCTACATGGACCTCGCAGCAGAAGGCCACGCAACTGACGCATTTGTGATAACTTGCACGAAAGAGAGCAGCCCGAGTGTTGATTTCAACTACCTCTGTAGGCCCTAAGTGCACTGAACACTCCTCTTCTCTCGAGGTACAGTCTCAAGAGTACAGACGGTCCTGGGATTGATCAGAATAGGTCACTTTCAGGGTGTGAAGTAGCGGTCAAAAGGGTCGACAAAATTACCAAGCTGGCGGCCGAGAACACAGATGCCGATTCAGGCTGGAGAACATCGACTAGGAGATGGATTTATGAGTGCGCATCTGTGGCATAGATCGTTCTCACCTCGATAGTTGGGAGCATCAAGCGATGCGGAATTCGTTGATCCTGCCCCACAGGAGAGGAGCAGATGAAGTGAAAGACATGGTCACAAAGTGACGTACTGTACCTTCGGGCGGCGGTTTGGCGGTGGAGGAAATATCTCAGCGCATTCGAGCGGAGATGAGATCGAGATCGTAGCTGTAACGGTTCCGCGATTCGCGTGGTTCAAATGCGGCGGAAACGCGCGTGTGCAGAGCGGCTGTAGTGCTGCGACCATATGAAAGAAGCTATGTAGCCAGCGAATGCCAATTCAATAGCTGTCGTCCGGCCATCGGCCTACTCGTTGAATCCCTTCCTGGTGGTCACCTAGATCTGAAATCGGGAACGCCTCTTCATACATATGAAGCGCTCACCGGCTGACCCTGAGGTCGAATCGAGTTGGCACTGTAGACAGTAGGGAAACTGTGAATGGTGCTTCCATGGACCTCGTGCAACAAGAACACAATCGCAAGGGTAGTATCTTGCTGATTATCATGACAGATAGAAGGAGAACGAGACGCTCTCTGGGTTCTACTATTGGGAACCGGATGAGAATTCGAGGAAGTAGCTTAGCACATGCTTTGCCTTCAAGATGTCCAACACGCTAGTGAAACATAGAGACGCACTTGTCAGCCCTTGAATCAGGACGGCCACTGATACATGGAAGAAAGCACTGTTGGTGCGCATGGAACCCAGGGAATAACACCTGTAGCATGATGAGCAGTGAATTGGTGGTGATCTCGGCGATCCAGGAGCAGAGAACAGTCTCGCACGCACCAGGTATTCAGCGGCTTCGGTATCCTGCCTATAACGCAAAAACGCTTCACTCAGAGCCAAGGACGAGCGGACCCATCCATATGTGCGCTCTGCGTAAAATCAGCGTCTGACAGATGGTAGAATCAATGGAGACTTGAGCCTGGGTTGAAATTCGACGCATCTGGGCCCTGGCATTCTCCGTCGTTGTTTCCATCGGTCCTGGACAAGTCCTGGAAGGGCAAATACAATGGTTCGCGCTTCGGCTATACGACGGAGCCCCCTTCCAGCGGCAGGCAGCATTTGAATCCCCGAGTTGTTGTGACGTACAAGTATAAGGATGCATGCCCCGTTACTTCCTACCCGCCTAGCATTTTCGGTTCTGTGAGTACAAAACCTAAACAGTTCAGCACTAATTCCCTGAGTCTCCAACCCACAATACATAACGTGGCAGAGCGCGACAACCGGCAGTGCATATATTCCGTATGGAGTATGTTGTAGCCGCATCATTGACACTTCTTGGCAGGCGTGCATCTCATCATTTAGACGCATGCGCGCCGATTTTGATGGTCGGTAATGCGGAGGACACAAATGTATGAGGATCGAAGTCCAGGAGGAGATCGAGGGGACCGCACTGGCAAGAGTGTACGTCACGTTGCGTCCACCTTGATGAGATGCCAGGCACAATTTCATTCTGAACCAGTCAATGCTGAGCAGAGATCACATCTCAGTTCAAACACGAGACTTGGTGTCACGCCAAAAATAAGACAAGAGGCTTACCAACGGAACCCCCATCCAGCCCGCTCGTCCGTAGGTGGTACGGGACTCTCATAGGCTATACACTAGCTTCGGCTTCAACCCGATGACACCCCCGCCTCTTCCATCCCAGCCCGGAATAGACGCGCGACACACAGGACATCTGCGAGTGTCCCGAGGAACCAGAGCACAATTTATTATCCGCATCGGGACATAGAAGCGACACGCACAGCCAAATGACATTGTGTATCAGTAAGACCGTATTCACCGTCAGCTCGGCAGACTCACCGTGCGATCAATCTTTCACCTATTGGTGCGGTGTATGATGCTCGTTGCATTGTTGTCTTGATAGCGGTGAAGAGGCACTCGCCGCAACAGACGTGTCCGCAAGGAGTCATCGTCGCCCGGACGGGCGGTGAGAAGCAAATGGGGCAGCTATACGCAGAGAGTGGCTCGTCGACTCGAGAGGCGGAGCGGGTGCTTGCTCGCGCACTGACGACTGCAGAGTGGGGGTGGCACGAGTGCGTGGCTCTGACTGCTGCTTGGTCCGGGGTCCATGGCGGCCGAAGAGGGTCCGGCGATGGGAAGGTCAACCATGAACGCGTCCACATCAATGACCGCGTTGCGCTGCTGCGCCATTCCACTAGACTCGGCCTCCACTGCGGGGCCGTATGGATCGACAGAGCTTGAGTAGGCGTCCGACATGACGACGGCAGACGAAGTGCTGTCGAGAAGCGGCTCACTTGCACCGAGAACGTCTCGTTGACTCTGTGCATCGCCAGCTCCTAGGAAGCTTGTGCTACTAGCATCGCCATGGACGCTGTGTGGTTCCGCCCTGGCTTCTAACTCTGATTGAGTGATCATTGTGTCGTCTGTGTCTAGATTTATTGCAGCTGCCTCTGCAGGGTCATTCGATCGCTGAGATCGGTCTACAGGGCTGCTCGATGGTTCCTCGACTTTGCGCCGCTTTCGGGGTCCTTCTCCAGCTTCGCCACTAGGGCCGGTAGGCGGTGAAGACAACCTGACAGACGCAGATACAGGCCCTGTAGTTTCGGCGTTACGCAGAGGCTCCGCTTGCACGTCACTTTCCGGAACGGGCTGCGAGCGAACCTGAGAGGTAGCACGCGACTGAGTGGCAGAATGCGTAGTCGACCTAGAGCCTGAACCAGAACGCGCCGACCCTGCTCTACGAGGTTGCAGCGATCTACTAGAGACCGTGGTAGGCAATGGTAGGGGCACCTCCGATTCGAGACCTGTCAAATCATGCAACAGATCGCTGTCCATCGACATGGCTTCTTCGATGTCGCAGAACGAACAGATCGTCACCAGAAGGTCTAGCACAGCAAACAAGCGTGACTTACTTTAGTAAAGCGGCACTGTTCTTGAGAGACTGCTTAATTGTGATGCTGAAGCGTCCAACAAAGGTATGTAAGGATAGGTGGTCTCATCTAGACCACAGCGTAGCAGGATAAATCACCTTGAAGCCGTGGGGAATGTGTTCGAATTCGATTTATCAGATCAATTTGGATGGAGGAGAGGTCAAAGGAAGGACACAAGCGCCGGCGAAACACAAGCAGCAGATGTGCACGTGACCGACATGGACACGTCGCCGTTACAGAGTTTGTGCTCTGCCACCGACTCTACACCGCTGCCCATTGCCCGCTCCGTTGTGCTGGCAGGCTAGCCGACTGCAAGACAATCTGCGCGAGCAGGAGCGCCAACATGTCCTCCACGGATCGCCCAGGCTCACCCACTCTCCTTGAGAAACTCGATGACATCGTCCCGGCACCACTCGCTCAATTCGACGCGTTCCCGAAACTGCCATCTACCTACAAGGCACGCTCGGAATCCCGCGGGTTCCTCACTGTCTTTGTTGGTCTCCTAGCACTTCTACTCGTCTTGAATGACATCGGTGAATATATATGGGGCTGGCCGGATTACGAATTCAGTGTGGACAAGGAAGCGGGAAATAACATGAACATCAATGTGGATATGGTGGTCAATATGCCTTGTCGCTGTAAGTCCCATCAATTGTGGTCCATTGTTAGGGTGGTGTTTATGAGCAAATAGTTCTCAGTGTGGACCTCCGGGACGCTGTCGGTGATCGACTCTACCTGAGCAGTCGCTTTCGTCGAGACGGGACGAAATTCGACATCGGTCAGGCGACTTCGCTGAATGAACACGCCGCCATGCTTTCGGCTCAGCAAGCAGTTGCGCAGTCTCGGAAGTCCCGCGGATTGTTCTCGACATTATTCCGAAAGAGCAACAACCAGTATCGTCCAACGTACAACTATCAGAAAGACGGCAGTGCATGCAGGATTTATGGAACAATCACTGCTAAGAAAGTGACCGGTGAGTGACCCCTCCTATGTCCCATAACGCAGGTTGCTCCGATCACAAGAGGCATCTCAAGGACAGTAACGAGTGGCTGATGGAGTGGACGGACACTGTCTAATACATTGACGGGGTTATGGACTGTTGCCGGGGTTACAGCCACTTTGTCATATCCCGTTCTGTGGCCCTTAGTTAGGCCTGAGGCGTGGCGTCTTGCATTCTATGCCTTGTCTCCGCAGTGGGAAACTAATTCTCGCATTTGTGACCCAGCAAACCTACACGTCACAACCATCGGACACGGCTATGCAACCAGGGAACATGTTGACCACAATCGTATGTCAGATTAATTACCTTCCATTCCAGTGAACTGAGGTGTAGATAGTTATGAATCTGTCCCATGTCATCACCGAGTTCTCCTTTGGACCCTATTTCCCAGAGATCACGCAACCTCTCGATAATTCCTTCGAAGTGGCCTACGATCGTGAGCAGCTCATCTATATTTGTCCTGCTTCGCCTGACTGACAGTTCGCGAAGCATTCATGGCGTATCAGTATTACCTCCATGTTGTACCGACGACGTACATTGCGGCGCGATCAGCACCTCTGTATACTCATCAGTACAGCGTTACCCACTACACTCGCAAGTTGGACAGTCACCATGGTACTCCGGGTATCTTCTTCAAATTTGACTTGGAACCCCTTGCCCTTACCATACACCAACGCACAACCACGCTTATCCAGCTCTTGATTAGGTTCGCTTTCGTATCTTCCTCATAGCAATCTGTCTGACGAATGGATAAGGTGTGTCGGCGTTATCGGTGGCATCTTTGTTTGCATGGGATATGCTGTGCGCATTACCGATCGCGCAGTCGAGGCCGTCTCAGGCGTCGACAAGTCACAAGGGATTGTCGCCGCAGAGGCAAGCGGGGTCGGCGTCGGCATACGCAAACGTCTTGGCAGCGCCGACCTCCGGCTGCGTGGCAACCGACAGAGCTGGGCCGACGGCGGCGGAAGTGCATACTCGAGTTACGCTGGGACGCCGGTCTCGGGCGCTTTCCCTAGCCCTCAATTCGCAGGATATCCATCGTCGCCGTACGCCGCAAGCATTACGAGCCCCCTGCCGAGTGCCCCGCCTATCGACCGCAGATCGTCTTCCGGCCTGGGCTTTGGACTGAACTCACCGTCTTTCGGGCCTGCCCCAATGACTGCTCCGCCTCAAGGTCGACGCTCTCCGCATCCGCCATCATTCCCGACGGCGGCGACTGTTGGGTCGCCATACGGTGGGACCCTGTCGGTGCCGCCCACACCTGGCACCGCGCAAAGCGGGTTCTACTCACACTTCCCGCCGACACCGAACCCTGTGAGCGCGGGCTTCCCCCGCTCGCCCATACCAGGGAGCACGTTCGCCACACAGCAAGCGCCGACGTCGCCGAGGCCAAGTGGGCTCCGCCACCAGAGTAGTGATGATAGGCGAAGGATGACTGAGGGGTCGCTTAGTGTCTTTTCCGTGTCTAGTGGAGAGGGATGTGATGGGACATTGGTCGCTCGTACTGTGTGCGGGACTGCTATCTGTGCTGTGTGTATGTTATCGCTTGGATCGCTTTCATATTCATCCGCGAGCATATGTACATCAGCTGAAGCTCTTAGAGCTGGTAGCGGACTTGAGGCTTTGAGGGGACCATGGCAGGCATGTGGGTAACACGGACGTGACGCGATCATGTGATCGCGTTCGTCACACCGGTCGTGCGGCCTTGCGCTGTATGTCTTTGTCTTCGAACTTGAAACTTGCTCGAAACTCCAAGACACAGCGATGCGCTTTCGCGCAAACATCGAGCATGTCAACACTTTCTATAGTACGTGACGACTTTGTAACCACTACTTGGGTGAATGCTGAATGTGAACGCTGCTAGAAATCAGCCAGGCAGTAGAGAAATTGCAGAAGCGCTGCATCATCAAGTTTAGCGAGAACGAGATGCACATCATCTGCAAAATGAGGCGGGCGAGGGCGGCGTCCAAGTGTGGTCGTAAGTGCCCGCGTCGTACGCCGCTCACACACCGGTGATAGCACCAGGCTCGCAGGCAGATCAAGGTCCCTCCCTGTTCACAGACTACCGCATACAGTCGAACGCGAACAACGAATCTATTTGTCGCTCTCCACGGAGGCATGCGGCCGCGCTCAGGTCAGCAGCGGCACCGTCGGGTCAGCAGGCTGCGCTTGCGGCAGATGCGGAGGTGGTTATGAAGTGCGTAGCCCTCCCCATCCCCGAGTGATCCCCAAGTTTCCCCGGGCGCGCTCCAGGCGGACTGTTCCGTGATTTTGTGTGTCTGCTTGAATGCTCATGCGGTTGACGAAACAGGCTTGCGAAGAAGGACGAGGTTGCGGTCTGACGTTCGAGATCGCGACGACGACACGGATGGGCCGGTACGTCCGGATGCGCACGACGTCCGATCGAGTCCTGAAACTTCAAGACGTGGGCCGGCTCAAGGAGCCATGTGCCCTGAGCCTGAGGTCCGTCACTACGCCTGCATTCCCCTGATGTCGGTGAATGAATTTGTATCAAGGTGCATATATTCTCCCCCCCTTGCGAAGCTGCGCGCCGTCGTGGAGCGTATGCGCCCGCTCGCGGCGGACGTGATCGGTATCAGAGCCAACTTGTCGGGGTGCTTGCAGCTGTGCGCCCAGACCGACAACTCGCGCGTAGACGTGTCGTGGAACGGGCTGTCTAATCCCAGATGGGTAAGTCGTTTTCCGGAATTTCTTGACTTACTGGGATACGAAGGGCGTGTCGTCCGTCGACGTTTGTTTCAGCGCAAGATCCGAGCACGCAGGATCCGGACAACTCGGACGCGCGCGACCCGACGACGCTGTACGGTGTTCTCGTGTCTCTCAGGAGCCTCCAGAAGTTCCTGAGCAGTCACGTCGTGTCGACGACGACCATCGCGTGTGAGTCGTGCTTGTCGGAATGTCCTAGCGCCACCATTGCTCACGCACCATGTGTCCGTAGGCATATGCCAGAACCACTGCATCATACTGTATGTGTACATCGGCGAGATGGCGGAGGCAGGTGGCATCCTGACGTTCTACATCCCGGCTATCATCGAGTGACCTCGCCACCTCCGCGCGTTTCTTGTCCTCCGCGTTTCGGATCTTGAGTGATCATCCACCGTCTGTTTCTGTTGTTGGTGCTCGCCCCATCGTGATATCCGCCTGCTGTATCTATAGCTTCCTCTCGCTGCTGTGGGCGTGCTCGCCCGTTGTACTAGCTTCATCCGTTGTCGCATCCCATCGACTCCTAGGACTCGGCGCGGGATGCCAGTATACTTGACTGTGCCACCGCATCGCTCTACTCGGGATTCGCAGACAGCCTCGTCCGCACACGCCTAATTCGTTTAACCCTGGGCTACATGACAGTCTCGTCATCTATAATGAAATATGACCTGACATGAGACGCGTGAGCTCAAGACGAGGACGACTGTAGTATGCATACCCGAGTATGCATCTATGTCACGGTGACTAAATATGTTCTATCATACGGATTGGTCGCCAGCAGCGAACAAATGCGCGACGGAACAGGCCTGAAAGCATGCGACTGCGGGGTGCCGAATGAACCGCCCACATTCAACGTTCCGCATCATGGTCGACTGTCTCTTCTATGGTGCACACTTAACTAGTCGCTTAGCTACGATGATGATTGGAACACGGTTTCAGTGTCAGAGATTCATTTGCCCATCCTGATGCTCCACGACGCAGACGAACAGCCTCAAGTTGAAATACAATAGTACGTTGATAGTATGGTGCAAACATTTCATATCCCCTCAATGATGAACTTAGACATTGCATCACCATTGATAGTAACTTCATGGAGCACTTGAGGCTTGTATACGTTGAGTTTGGCTGAAATGACAAGTAGGTTGTGAAGCGGCATGTCAACGAGTTCAAGAGCCACCCCACTCAAGCTCGGTTATGTACTGCGCACCGTTGGGCCACGACGTTGACGTTGACGGACCACTATAATACATGCTTTCAAGTATCTGACCAAACAGGCAAGTCGCTCTCCTCTTTCCTTTCCTCCAACAGCTTGTCATCAGATGACAACGTGAACAGCATCACGGAAGTCGTCCGTTTGCCCCCACTTTGTGGATCTCGTTCGACAGAGAAGAAACGGCGCAGAGCACCATTTTCTGCAGGAGTTCCTTGACCCAGGGACGGATACAGCCAGGCGGCCGTGTCGGGTGAGCGGAATGTCAGTGGCTCCGTCGAAGTAATACGCAGACCAAACGAGCGTGTCCAACGCAGTGGTAGGCCCACCCATGTGCATTTGACCGTCTTCTGAGCGTGGTCGTAACTGCGGAGAATGTATCAACAAAGAGAGCGATGAAACATTTTTTTGGCAAGCGAATGCATACACTAGCACCATTACACGCGTTGTCTTTGACCTCGAGATATCGTAGGTTTGGTATGAGCCTGCTGCCAATTATATCCGATATGAGAGGCCAGACGGCCCAAGGCGATGGCTCCCGTCTGCACTTCAGACTAACCAGCTGGTGCCGCACAGCTCGAAAGACCTCAATGAATGTCTGACGACTCGACTGGTTCATGAACAGATCGAGGTGTGTGATCGCGTGAGGGCCTCGTATGTGCCGCACGAGGAAGCTTGATATGTCTTCACATATTTGAGGTTTGGAAGGGCGTCTTGTGGGATGTCCCAGTCGGATCCGCCTATGTGGAGTGACTCTAGACGAGTCTGTTGTCGGAGGAAATGAACGAAATCGCGATCCCTGACCACCCCACTTTTGAGTGACGTGAGTTTGAATGTGCACCTTGCAAGCGTACGCAGCATGGTGGTGTAGAGTGCGGGATTGTGAAGTTGTGATTGTCCACAGAGTGTGATGCTCAGGTGCGCGAGGTTCGTGAGCACGAGGAGTATTTCGTTCACCAGCGGAAGCACGGGCGCGAATGTTCCATTAGCTTGCATCCGGAATACGCTGACGAGGGATGCACGTCTGGATGAGTTTGTGAGAGCTTGATGTAGACTGCCAACGCGCGAAACGTGCTGTAGGTTGACTTCTCGATACAGAGAGGCTCGGCTTCGAGTTGGAGGATGCGGCATACACGACTCGCCGCGACGAGCGTGTGCGGAGAGTCGACGTTCTCAAGGATGAGCATCATCAGTTCGAGCGGCAGCGACTTTATTGGTGCGTTGCTCCGCTCTGCAGGTTGCTTCGGTCGTGCACGCCTAGTTCGCTTGATGCTTGGCTATAGATAATAGCCTCGTCACTTGGAGTTGTATCAGCGAGTGGGCATGAAGTTGACTTGCCTTGGAAAGCGCCTCAGGAGTCGGCTTTGTCTTCCGGGGTCGGAGGACCTTTGCGAAGAGGACATGGTTCCGTATCGCTGTTCCAAACCCGTACAACGTCACGCATCGTCAGCTCGTACAATCCTGTATAATGCTACTTGGAAGAGCCATACCTGACTATGAGAAGGGGTTCGCCTTACCCAATGTGGTACTCCTGCAGGGTGTGACGGTTACGCTATGTTCAACTCGGTTCTGAAACGCGTGAGCCTGGTTTGTAATCAACTGTATTGCGTAACCCACATACCTGAATCTGCTCACAGGAATGGTCCTTGTCCAGGTCGAGCGTTGTAACCGTCGTTCGCAGTACTGACTGCTGGGGTTCGAGCTCAGGAATGGCCCTGAGATGAGCGCGACTACAACTACGGATGCAGCCACCGAGCCACAGTTGGCCACACGCCACATGGCCCAGTGTCTTTGTCAGCAGACATGACCGAAAAGAGCAGCGTCACCGGCAGCGCGGCGGCACGGGCCTCGATCGATCCAGGCGTGTGTCACGTGGTGAGCAGGGAGGACGCGGTCGTATCGTCCATCTTCTGGATCTCTGCCTCGTCCTCTCCCTCCGTCTGCCTGCCATCCGTGCGACGGCCTCCCCGCCCCTCGCTCGCCATGCCCGCAGCCTCCGTCCTCTCCGCTGCCCCCACCCTGTCGGCAACGGCGCGACGACCCTGCACTCTCACACCTTGCTGCATGGTCGCTACCACGCCGACGCGAACGGCCTTCACCACACCATGAACAGCCATTCGCATTACACTCCAACGGCAACGGCTACAGCTCAAACGGCAACGGCTACACCACCAACGGCCACACCTCGAATGGCTACACTACCAACGGTCACGCCTCGAACGGCCATACCACCAACGGCCATACTTCGAACGGCCACATCACAAACGGCCATAGCCATAACGGCCACGCCGCGAACGGCCATACGCTGCCCTCGCGCGTCCTCCTCCTCCTCGACGTCCAAGTCTCCCGCCTCTCCGACCCCCCGCTCGGCGTCCCCTCCTCGCGCACCGTCGGGCCCAACATCGCCAAGGTCCTCGCCGCAGCCCGCGCGTGCCCGCCCCCGTCGCGCCCGCGCATCATCCACGTCCGCAAGTGCGGTGCGCCCGGCGACCCCGACGAGCCGCGCCTGCCCGGCTGGGAGCTCGTCCACGCGCCGCTGCCGGACGAGCCCGTGCTCGATAAGCGCAAGAACAACGCGTTCACCGGCACCGCCCTCAACGAGCTCGTCCACCCCGACGCCGAGCTCGTCGTCGTCGGGCTCGAGAGCGACTTCTGCGTCCGCGCCACCTGCTCCGCCGCCCTCGCCCGCGGCAACGACGTCCTCCTCATCCGCGGCGCCCACGCCACCTACGACCGCGTTGAGTACTGGGACGGCGGCACCAGCACCCCTGCGGAGAAGGTCCAGCGCGAGATCGAGGAGGAGCTCGAGGAGGCCGGCGTCGTCCTCCTCGACATGGCTGATCTCCCTAGCCTGTATGAGGACCGTTGATGGCGGTGCGGCCTAGGCCCGCGGCGAAGTGGGTGGGCCTTGGGGGTTCGTCTGGGGCGGTGGTCCTCTAGGGTGGTCTCGGCTCGTCTGGTCGTCGGCGGTGACGTGGACGCCCGGGAGGTCGGCTGGAAGCATGCAGACACGGATGGACGCGCATAGTACATACACCGCGACACAGCTTGGAACACTCACCTTCGCTCCCTCCTCTCATGTTTCTATCACAGGGTCATCGGTGTTTCTTCTTCTTCCTCCATATGTTGCCAATACTGGGTTCTCGCACGATACAAGATACACGACACACTCCACGACTCCGCCCCGCCGACGACGCCGACGACACCTCACACGCACCGCACGCACCATACACTCTGTATCTTTAGACTGCTTTCGCTTTCGGATACTTATCGTTTCTGGCGGCGCTCGACAGACGTACATATTTGTTGCCCCTCTCCTACTTCCACTTCTTTGGCTTCGTGACCGCTCTCGCCTGTCCCCAGTGATGCGTCCGTAGAGGGGTTGATATATGGGATTGGTTTCTATCGTTTAGGTCGAAGCGGGTCACCGTCTGCGTTGGGTACCTGTGAAGTGAAATGGGTCCCAAGAAGAAGAGGCAGAGCTGTCAGTGTGTGAGAGGGTGTCCTGAGGTACTAGACGGCAGGTATATGTACATACGCGCAGCGGAAGACAGACTCCGACAGGCCCGTGAAGAAGAGAGGCCAGGGCGACTGGACCGGTGTCAGGACAGGTGACGTGCCTTCGGTCTGATCTCTCGCGGATGATAGGGCGAGGCAAGGGTCCGGGTGAGATAGCGGGGGTTCTTGCTTTGAGTGGGAGGTTCATTGCCCGATGGACGGGGAGAGCTACTGAGACCGCGGCTCTGGGTGGTAGAAGAAGCGGGGGTTGGGCGGCCTGCGCCGGACGGACCTCAGCTTGCGAAGAGCGTTACGAGAGAGGTTTGGCAACAACTGCCGGAGTTGAATCGAACGGTCGAGGTGAAGCTGAGGCCTGAGGTCTGGTCGTCGTGATTCGTGAAGCTGGTCGACCAGGGTTTCCCACTGTAATCCAAGGGAAGATTGGTCGCGTCGGAGCTGCGGTCTGGCGGTGGCGTGAACTCCCAGATTCGCTGCTAAAACTACTCTCGTGAGACTCAGAGGGAGGCGACTGGGTCTCGGACGTCGGGAATTCGAATGTCATGGTCATGCGTACCTGGAGCTGGGATTGGTAGCCCAGTACTTACGGGATCTGATTGTGTGCGTATGTCGGCGTAGGCGGCGACGGGCGAGTGGGCGTGGGGTGCCTGCCAATGTGCGGCCAAAGACGTTCTGAGATTGCGAAACGGGATCCGGCACAGTGACCTGAGGTTTCCCTGCGCACCCGGAGGTCAGAACGACCCACGCAGCCCGTTCTCCATGTCCGGTGCAAGGGATGAGAGGAGAAAGGGTGGGACCCTCACGATTCCGTCAAGACGAACCCAGATGCCTGAGCGACGGAGGGGAAGGCAGCATGCAGCGAGCGACGAAGCAGCCCCGCACGAATGCGGCCGTCGACGCGGGGTCGTCCCGATCAGGCACGCGGATCACAAACTGGCATGCCGTCCCGACGTCGACCGAGCCCGAGCCCGATCGGGTAATGCGCCTCCCAGCGTCGCGCCTCGAGGAACACGGTCAGTGGGCGCATCGGTGGCGAGTAGTGCGGATTGCACATGTCAGTAGTGCAGCTGTAGAGGGGGACAGTAAGCGCAAGGAAGCGGTACCCGGGAGATGGGAGAGGGGAGAGAGAGGACAGAGCTTAACTTAAGCCTCAGGCTGCCGTCGAAGACGCGATGAATGCGTCCGAGTCCGACTCAGACTCAGCGGCCCTTCTGCTCAGCACCACGCGTGGTCATCACCGCTCCTCGCCCATTCAACTGTACGACCGCGCACGCAATAGAGTCGTGCTGGGTATTGATCCATGATTAATGAACTGTGGGGGATGGGCGTCTGGGACGATGACGCACCCTCAAGCCTCTGCGTAGCTGCAGGCTCTCGTTTTCCGCGCGGATACGTGTGAGGTAATTGTGCCGTATGCTGGCGGAGACCGGCTATCCAGTCATTCGCTCTTCTGCAAAGGTCAGGGCCTAGGAGCAATACGGCGGAGCCTCTTTGACAGCTCTGTTGAGATGACTGATGAAGCGGAGCATGCGCGCACAGATATCGATAGCGCATTAACCACGGTCCACCACGCGCAGACACTTTCCAACTGGCCGCAATCACCACCGTGACCCACTAGGAAGGCATGATGAGCTCACCGGACATTCCCCATAGGCTCTGAGGATGATCCCCGTCAGCAGAGTCCGCCACATCCACACGCACACGGGGCGCGACCCGGACGCTCCGGTGTCAAGTATACTGGCATCCCGCGCCGAGTCCTAGACAGTGGATGAGATGCGATAACGGATGAAGCAGTACAACGGCGAGCGCGCCCACAGCAGCGAGAGGAAGCTATAGATACAGCAGGCGGATATCACGATGGGGCGAGCACCAACAACAGAAACAGACGGTGGATGATCACTCAAGATCCGAAACGCGGAGGACAAGAAACGCGCGGAGGCGGCGGGGTCACTCGATAATAGCCGGGATGTAGAACGTCAGAATGCCACCTGCCTCCGCCATCTCGCCGATGTACACATACAGTATGATGCAGTGGTTCTGGCATATGCCTACGGACACATGGTGCGTGAGCAACGGTGGCGCTAGGACACTCCGACGAGCACGACTCACACGCGATGGTCGTCGTCGACACGACGTGACTGCTCAGGAACTTCTGAGGCTCCTGAGAGACACGAGGACGCCGTACAGCGTCGTGGGTCGCGCGCGTCCGAGTTGTCCGGATCCTGTGTGCTCGGATCTTGCGCTGAAACAAACGTCACGGACGACACGCCCTTGTATCCCAGTAAGTCAAGAAATTCCGGAAAACGACTTACCCATTCTGGGTTAGACAGCCCGTTCCACGATACGTCTACGCGCGAGCTGTCGGTCTGGGCGCACAGCTGCAAGCATCCCGACAAGTTGGCCGGATACCGATTACGTCTGCCGCGAGCGGGCGCATTCACTCCACGACGGCGCGCAGCTTCGCAAGGGGCGGGAGATAATATGACCTTAGGTATGAAAATCCATTCACCGACATCAGTGGGGAAGCGTAGTGCGAACCTCAGGCTCAGGGCACATCGGCTCCTGAGCCGGCCCACGTCTTGAAGTTTCAGGACTCGATCCGGACGTCGTGCGCAATCCGGACGTACCGGCCCATCCGTGTCGTCGTCGCGATCTCGAACGTCAGGACCGCAACCTCGTCCTCTTCGCAAGCCTGTTTCTCAACCAGCATGAGCATTCAAGCAGACACACAAAATCACGGAACAGTCCGCGGCTGGAAGCGCGCCCGGGAGAAACTTGGGGATCACTCGGGGATGGGGAGGGCTACGCACTTCATAACCACCTCCGCATCTGCCGCAAGCGCAGCCTGCTGACCCGACGGTGCCGCTGCTGACCTGAGCGCGGCCGTCATTGCCTCCGTGGAGAGCGACAAATAGATCTCGTTGTTCGCGTTCGACTGTATGCGGTAGTCTGTGAACAGGGAGGTGACCTTGATCTGCCTGCGAGCCTGGTGCTGTCACCGGTGTGTGAGCGGCGTACGACGCGGGCCACTTACGACCACACTTGGACGCCGCCCTCGCCCGCCTCAGTGTTGCAGATGATGTGCATCTCGTTCCCGCTAAACTTGATGATGCAGCGCTTCTGAATTTCTCTACTGCCTGGCTGATTTCTGGCAGCGTTGACAGTTTCACCCGAGTAATGAGTTACAAAAGCCGTCGCGTAATATAGAAATGTTGACATGCTCGATGTTTGCGCGAAAGCGCATCACTGTGTCTTGAAGTTTCGAGCAGGTTTCGAGTGTTGAACGTTGAAGACAAAGACACTCCAGTCTCAGGTGGGGAGGCGCCGACACGACTGTGTGACAAACGCGATCACGTGAGCATGTCACGTCCGTGTTACCTTGCCACTGAGCCCAGTGGCTCAGGCCTCACTGGCAGGAGTGGCCGCTGCGTCGCACCACCTCTTGCTACTCGCGCTCATCTCAGGACCATTCCTGAGCCCGGACGTCAGCGATTAACGAGGAGGCGACTTTGTCGACTGCCAGGTCCAGTACTGCGAACAACGATACAACACTTCACCCGACAAAGGACCATTCCTGAAAGCGGATTCAGGTATGTGGACTACGCATACAGTTGATCTCAAACCAGGCTCACGCGTTCAAGAACGGAGAACACAGCGCAATCTCACACCCTGCAAAATTACCGTATTGGGTACGGCAAACCCTTTCATATCCAGGTATTGCTCTTTCAAGTAGCATCGTACGGGATTTAGCCTGACGAGCTGATAACGCATGTATTGTACGCGTTTGGAACAGCGATGTACAGAAGAATGTCTTCTTCGCAGAGGGTCCTCCGACCCCGAAAGACAAAGCTGACTTCTGAGGCGCTTTCCAAGGCAAGTCAATTTCGTGCCACTCGCTGGTATAACTCCAAGTGATGAGGCTATTATCTAGCCGAGCGTCAAGCGGACCAGGCGTATACGACCGAAGCAACCTGCAAACAAAAATACAGCAGTCAAACCCCTGCCGCTCGAACTGATAATGTTCATTCTCGAGAACGTCGACTCTCCGCGCACGCTCGCTGCCACGAGTCGTGCATGCCGTACTCTTCAATTTGAGGCCGAGCGGCTCCTGTACCGAGAAGTCGACGTGGAACACGTTCAGCATGTTTGCAGTCTACATCAGGCTCTCACGAAGTCGTCAAGACGGGCGTCCTTCGTCAAAGCATTACGGCTTCATTTGGACAGTGGTTTTGGTCCAGTTCTTCCACTGGTGAACGACATACTCCTTTCTCTCACGAAGCTCACGCACCTCGAGCTCAGAGACTACGGAGCTTAGGCGAGCGTTACGACACCATGCTGCGTACCCTTGCAAAGTGCACCTTTAGACTCAAGTCGCTCGATAGCTGGAGAGTCGAGGATAGCGACTTCGTTCATTTCCTCCGACAGCAGACTGGTCTGGAATCACTTCACATAGACGGACTCGACGCCCCTGACTGGGAGATACCAGAAGACGCTCTTCCACATCTGAAATACGTGCAGACATTTCAGATGTTCTTTGTGCTCAGCATTAGTGGCCCTCACGCGATCACACACCTCGATCTTCTCGTTACCGAGTCGAGTGACCAGATGTTCGCTGAGACCTTTCGAGTTGTGCGGCACCAGCTAGTCAGTCTCAAGTGCAGGCGGTACACCTTTATCCGCCTCCGAGGATCATTCTGGTCTGTTATATTGGACCTACTCAACTGTGGGCCCATGCCAAACCTAAAGCATCTCGAGATCCTCGATGATGCATCTACTAGTGATGACAGTGTACGCATCCATTTTGCCAAGTCATTGGTTTCTCCACTTACATCTCTTTAGTTCCGGACAAGCCCAAATGACAGTTGTGTGCACGAAGGTGGGCCTGCCATTGCGATAAAAACACTTATTTGGTCTTCGATAGATTACCGCGGAAATTTCGACAAAGCTACTGAACGCCGCCGGCTGGCCGATGTCCGTCCTTGGGCCACAGAATTTCTGAAGAGATATAGTTCTGTGGGCCGTGTCTTCCGTGTCTATAGAAACATGACCAAGACACTGTGCGTGACGCTAATCACGTTATCATCGGACGGCAGGCTCGTGGAGGAAACAAAGGACGCGAGAGACATACCTGATTGGACTGATATCTGAATAGATGTACTATATCGTGGGTCAGTACTTCAGTCGTGGTTGCCGACGTTGTAGCCCATTGGTGTGTAGAGCGCTGTGAAGTCGTGCCTCGTCACGACGATTCGTAGTCGATTTATATGAAGCAGACCAGAAGTATGTATGTACGCAGTCCGCGCATGTACTGTACTTTTATGTAAAGAGACGATCGACCACTAATACTTGGCGTAAGTATGTACTGTCTGGCGCTCTGACTCTCAGGCTGAGACTCGTTGCGGCTGCAAGGGCCCACATTGTGCCACAGATGTGATCCCGGGGAACTACATAAGTAGGTAATCCATTTGGGTCGAATCGGTCGATTTGGCAGTTCGAAAAAAAGTCACATGCCTGTCCAGCCGTTCGCCCGGCGCGCGTTCATTTGCGTTCGCCTGCTTGCGACCATCCTTGTGGACGTTGCAACTTGTTACACAGATGCATCATATCACTCAGGTTAGTACGGTACATCGGTCCACGTCATAATCTCATGGCTTTCACTTTCCTTTTCAGCCTTGTTCTCTATAAAATACACGAGAGTAACGTTCACCGAACCGTTTCGCGCATTTGCCGCATCGTCCACGGCGAACAGGTTCGTTCTTCGAAGCTTCATAGCACGGCACTCAATGAGCTGAGAAGGTTTGAGGACACAGGCCCTGGGAACTGTGGCACATAACCATGGCATCTTCGCAGAGGGTCCTCCGACCCCGAAAGCCAAAGCCAGTTTCGGAGGATCTTGCCCAGGTAAGTCAACATTAAAGTCGTTCCATCCCAAATGACGAGCCGATACACTAGCCCAGCGTCAAGCGGGTTCAGCGAGCACGACCGAAGCACCCTGTAGAGCGGAGCAACGCACCACTGATGTCGCTGCCACTCGAACTGATAATGCTCATACTTGAGAACGTCGACTCTCCGCGCACCCTCGCTGACGCAAGTCGTGTGTGTCGCACTCTTCAACTCGAAGCCGAGCGTATCTTATATCGGGACGTATACGTGGGGCGCGTTCCGCACGTTCGCGGTCTGCACCGGGCTCTTACGAAGACCTCCAGACGGGCGTCCCTCGTCAACGTATTCGAGGCTCACGACAATGGGCACATGACTCCCGTGATTCCGCTGCTAATCGAAATACTCCTCATGCTCACAAGGCTCGAGCATCTGAAGCTCGACCTATGTGTATGTTACGAGAAGCCCGCAATCTATACCACCGTGGTGCATGCGCTTGCGCAGTGCACGTTCAAACTCAAGTCATTTGATGGCTGGGTCGCCCATGATAGTGACTTTGTTCACTTCCTACGACGGCAGACCTGTCTAGAATCATTGCACCTACAGGGTTTCAAACCACCTGCCTGGAAGATACCACCAGATGCCCTCTCACGCCTCAAATATATGCACACATACCATTCGCTCGTCGTGCACAGCATCTGTGCCCGTCACGCAATCACACACCTTCATCTCTCTCATTCCAGTTGGGATGACTCCGAAGATCTCAAAGACATTCCCCAATTTGTGCGGCACCAGCTAATCAGCTTCAAGTACAAACGGTCATCTTCATGCCTGGTCCGAACTTCCGTTTGGTCCTTGATACCGGACATGATCAATCGCCAGCTCATGCCAAATTTGAGATATCTTGAGGTAGAAGACCCTAGTGATGCCAGTGTACGCATTCGTTTCGCCGTCTACATTCACTTTGCTAATGCTCTCCACAGTTCTTGCCATGCTCAGATGTCAGTCTCATGCAGATGGACGGGGCCAACATTGCGTTGGAGACACTTGTTTGGTCTGCGTTGCATAACCACTACCTCTATGGCGACGCCGACAACAATGCCGCCATCAGCCGCAGTCGGCTGGCCTTTGTCCGTCCCTGGGCGAAGAAAGTCCTCACAAGGTTCAGCTCTTTGCGACGTTTCTTCTATGTCGAGCAAAACATAGGGGATGGCAACACAGGACGGACGCTCTACGTGTGGTTATTCACGTTATCGTCTGATGACGGGCTTGTGGAGGAAAAGAAAGAGGCGAGGGACTTACCTGTTTGGTCTGATATTTGAAAGCATGCATGTATCATGGGTGGCCCGTGGGCGTCGTGGCTATAGAAACAGCGTGAATTCGCCCTGAAGCTCGTCATGACTGAACGCCAGCATAGTGAATGGATTGTTCATCGGCGAATGGATGAGGCATTCCAGATAGTATTGTACCGAGTCTGCACCGAGCAGACAGACTAGGAAACGCGGACCGAACCCTATGCTTCGATGTATTTCTGATAATGTGCCCGGCCCACAATGCACGAGGTATTGCCTCCAGTACATAGGACGATATCCTCCCTGGTGTGGCTATCGTCGCGAAAAGCGCAGCCATTATCAAAGCAGACTTCTGCTCGATACGGGGCATAAATATGGGCTTTGGCGTGCGAAAAACAAGCAGCTTGCGGAATGTCATTCTCTGCCTAGAGAGGCATGTGTCCCGACTGTGTGAGCTCGCCTTCGTACAGGGTCTTCCGGAAAGTGGGACATAGGAAGGTTTGTTCCACAACAACTTGCGAGTATCGGCTGACTTCGGCCCGGGCGTGCAGGCGACGTCGAGGACGGGAGATGGTAGATGGACCAAAAATGCGGTGTATTCACCATGTTTACAAACCACAAGTAGTTCACAGTGATGCATCAAAGGCAAAGCTCAGCGTACTCAGCACCGTACTGCAGCTGTAAGACATGACTGACTCGGAGGTCCGTCCGAGAGTGGCGGAAGCGCGCAACGCCACAATAATCCAACGCGTCGCGACGCGTCTTGCCGCGTGGCCGACTTGCCCAAAACCATGGCGCCTCCTAAGAGCACTCTGCACAAAGTACGCCCCGCGCCTTGGGTTTTTCAGCGCACACTCACATCTTTGCTAGTGCAACACCTGCTACGTTAGCGGCACTGACAAGACGCTACAGAAGTGCGCCAGATGCAGGGTTAGTTCACCGAGGGCCTTTGTTTAAATGAATTTCATTGAGTTGTTCAATACCAGGCTGCAAAGTATTGCTCTAAGGAATGCCAGCGGGCAGACTGGCCGGTTCGTCTACGCTTTTACATGAACTTCCACTCTACTCATACCCCGTCCTTAGAAACATAAACGTAGCTGCCAGTACAACGCAGAGCTCGAGAATGCGCTCAAAGAGCACGAGGCTACGCCTCTAGGGGTCCTCGAGCGACTGCTCCTCCCGAACGGTATCTCGCTCTACGAGCTTGACCAGCGGCTCGAGAAGTGGGTCCGGTGGCAGCACCCGACGCTCATGTGGGCAACCATTCACGCGCTCCGCCTCCCCGACGACATCACCCGCGCGCGCACACACGTCCTGCACATCCGCCTGCAGGCGCGCGATGACCACGGCGACTCGACGGCGAAGTATTTCCGCGTCCTCGACGCGAACGTGGTGGAGGTGGAGGAAGCGCGGAGCTTCCGCGAGCCGTGGCCCGCGAGCTTGGTCGCGCTCAGAGACATGCAGGAGGATAGCGAGAGGATGGGCAGAGGCAGGATCGCGGCGTGTATGGTGGAGTGCGATAGGTTGGCGGTGCAGACGGTGCCGTTTGGGTCGATCAGGAACCTCAAGCATCCCATTGAGTCGCGCTGGAAGGAGGCCTTGATTCAGGACGTGGAGTCGGGGAAGAAGTTCATTCGGCGTGGGTGAGGGCCGCTGCTCTGAAGCGAGTTTGCGAGGCTACCGTCATCTTGCAAGGTCAAAGACTTTCTCCTTGGGTCCGTCGAGGACTCAGCGGGTGCTGCTACGTCTCTATCTTCCCTGCGCATTTACTCCCTGACATGTGTATTATACCCTGTTCTGTCAGGCCAAACGGACGCTTGTGCTCACTCGCGAATGCGCTGTAATGCAATCCAGTGACATTGTTGAATTGTATAAGACAGCTGGAGTCGCCCACACGGGCAGGGGCAAGAGATCCGCAGAAATCTACCGCTAGTATTTGCCAGCATCTCATCCCGGGGCCCAAACCGAGAAGGGTCAGCCGCACATACTTAACTCAAATGACAATTAGGGATGAAACCCCACCCACATTTCCCCCGCGTTGCAAAAGTTCAGGCCTCAGGATTCCTTACATTCTTTTCTCCCCATGTCGAGTGACGGCGCAGTATGCATACTACCGAGTACTCATAGATGGTAAACTTCCTGAGCTGATCGTACTGCCCGGCGCTTCCCTCAGCTATTGTGTTTGCCCCAGCTGGTACGTAGCAAACGCTCACGTCGAACCCTTCAGGGTCGCCCAACCAACCCGATATCCATATTCGAATGGCGCCGCGGAGACGAACATCTTGCTGGGAACCGGAAGCATAGGGAGCCTCCGTCAGGACTCAGGATCGCGCCGGGCGGCCCATCGCAATTCCATTCCTCGCTGTCGCCTTCCAGTTCACGGGTGTCCCCTGCCGGGGCCTGAGTCGGGCTGATGAGATCTAGGGACTGCAGTGATCTCACCTTTTCCTGCGTCAATCCTTCCCGGAGATCTGCTCGCGCTCCCGAGCCGACGCCGGTGAGGACTGTTTGAGTCGTGAGCGCCGTTAACGGTGGGGACAGAAGGCCGCGACGTCGGGCGCGTCTGTGGAATCAGTGGCTTCTCAGGATGTCAAACTGTTATGTAGCTCGGGTAGCCTGGGGACGGGCACTTCGTTCGCGGGAACGTGTTCTGGGGTACTTAGCTTCTTAGTCCGAGGGACGCGGCTGTAGGGTCCCAGCGTCATTCGTGAACAATAAGATGACTTACCACAGTGGAGCTCGTAATTCAACCTTGCAACGACCTTGCGTCTCGACAAGATGGGTGACAACACTGCGCAGGTACTTGGGTCTGTGCCGCATCAGTGCTTCTGCGAACGATGGGTGGGACAAATTGTCCAGAGTGGTCGCTCTTGCCAGCGCAATTCAACAATTGCATCATGTCGAAGCACATACAGTACAAGCGAGCCCGAAGAATATCCTTGGGGTGCGCCGTCCATCAAGTGGGATGCACCGCGGAAAGCCCTGGTTCCCGTTTGCAAATGCGAGGTCGGCCGAGCACCGCAAGCGTGGAATGTCCGGTGCGCAAACGCACGTCCATAAGGAGCTAAATCTCCAGGAAGTCCTCCTCCTCTTCGATCAGCAGCTCGAGGAATTTGACGAACGACGCTGCGGGGAAGCCGACGACGTTTTGGTAGTCGCCGTCCACCTTGCGGACAGCATGCCGCCGAGACCCTGACGGCGGTGGCACCTCTCGCGTTAGCACCATCGCCGCAGTTGCGGATTGAATGGACGGAGTGCAGCGTACCTGCACGGCGAAGCCACCCGCACGATCGAGCCCCTCCCCACTCTCGACGTATGCCTCAAGCAGCTCCTTCGGGTTCTCCGCGAAGTGGACCAACGTGCGCTCGTCTATTGACCTGAACAGTATCGGGCGTGCCGAGGAGGGTAAACGTTAGGATTTGACGTGAGCGATCATCGCACGTCTAGAGGTATACGTACTTGATCTTGTAACCTGGCGCCTCGAGCACGGGGTAGACTGGCGGCGTGACGGCATGAGACTTATTGCCAGGCGGACGGGTGGACTGACGTACCGACTGAGACTCCAGTTACGACCTCGCAGATTCCGCCGTTAAGGTCAAGAAGCATTCTATAATTGTCTGATTTGTCTATCGGCTTCTCGAGGAGGTCTTGCGATCCGAGGGGAACGTCCGAAGGCATGCTTGATAGCCCCGGAGAAGGGTGCGTGAGGACGACCGTGTCGGCTACGCATCATGGTTCAGTCCCAGATCATCGAGCATACTGGGTTCCGAGCAGCATCACTTACCGCCTATGACCAAGTCCGGCGCATCGTCTGGGTTCTCTCGCTACAGCGTAAGTTGAGTGTCACGCATCACGCAAGCATTACAGATTCCACCAAAGTCCATTACTCACCACCAGCTTCTCGTAGACCTCTACTGCTTTATGCGTCGCAGTCGCCACCGGGTACTCATGGATGTCCTCGAATGAACTAGCAGGCAACGTCTCCTCGAACGTAGAGGGTATGATCTCCGGTGAGAGGCCCTGTTAAGCACATCCGGCATGCGATCAACAGTCCGATGCACACGTTCAAGCTGCCGTACCCACAAAGGTCTGCAGTATATCTTTTCTCCGCGGGCTGGCCGACGCAAGAATCACTCGTTTCCCGACTAGCTTCTTGAGAGAGGGGAGCTGCAGCGCGTGCGGGAGGACGCAGTTGTGGTCCGGGAGCGTGATCTTCTCGCTATTTGAGCCGAATAGCCCGAACATTGTATTGAGCAGTGTGCTCTATATGGGGGTATCCAGTGGTCTTATAGGCTGGTTGGAGGCAGAGACGACGAGCACAAGTAAGCGGAGGTTGCAACGGAGAACGCGGTCGTCGCAGTGGTGCGGTACACTACGCGATCTCGATGAAACGATCACGTGCCGCTCGAATTGACGTCTCCGAGTCCTACACGTTCGTCTGGACTTGGTTGGTACTCACCACTCTCACTGTGCTCTGCCATACAACCCAGTCAAGGCCTCGTTATGCGCGGCTAGCCTATCATGAGAGTGTAGGTATCTAATCTCCTCGAGAAGGGAAAGCTCGCCGCTGGCTTGAGATACTAGTCAGGTACAGTTCATGTCAACTTCTTCACCGTGCATGCTGATTACATTGCATCACACAGCTGGCACTGGCAGGCTTGCTCGACTATCACGATTCACGCGATACACCAAGACAGTCTTCTTGTTGCAAGGTATCGCCAGGGTATCGCATCTGTTTTCTGCCTCGAAGGTACTGTGATGCTCGTGCGCACTTTCTGGGATCCTCATTCTGCCTGTATAAAGACGCAGGCGGTATTCGTTCGCAGTCGTCCATATAATCACATCTCGAACGGAGGCTCCCTTCTAGCATTCGCTCGTCAAGGTACCGATGAGGTGCCCAAGGGCCAAGAGGCTCGCGAATCCGATCGGGGACCTGCGGGCTATCCTCGTTTGAGACATTAGGTATTCGTGACGTCCACGCCTCGTCGAAACTCATCATCCACGCGGTCCCAAGCAGATTACTTCTTGGCTTCATTCGACCCCCGAATCTTGTGCCTGTCTTCGCATCTCACTGCTAACCAACTATAGGCAATCCTGCAGTACCCCGAGCCGGAGTGATGGGTCGAGTGCATCAACGGTACCTGCGGTAAGTTTGAATCTCATGAGGGGCTCATTTGACTAGCGCGTATCGGGTTTGGCTGGCAACAAGGACCTCAGTCCCTGTCGAAGTCGGGCCACCTTAGCCTTCTTCGGATCCTGCTCATCCATCTCGACACCTCATTGCGTCGAGGGTAACTACGTACCAATCGCTCATCCTCCGAAGGGCTGCAGGTAAGGGATGCGTCATCTCAAGAAACTCCCGACTACACCGAAATCACACTGTTCTCGCACCCCCTCAGCCCCCTGCCTATCTTGCTGAGGCAGCAGTCAGTATGTAGGTATTTGCGCGCACCCATCGTCCCCTGGTTTAAGTTACAACATGCTCTACCTGTGCGCAACAGCAAGCAGCGCGCTGTCCTCTGACGGCCCGTAACCGACTGCACAACTGGGCTCCGTGTCCTGAGATATGGTTATATGGTGAGTTACCCGTCTATTAACTTGGAACTTCCCGTAGAACGCTTCGGCTGTACATCAAAGCTACAGTGTCATACACGAACAAGATAAAGAAAGAAATGCTACAGAAATCATGTCAATTCGTACATCCTTGATCGATCTACGATCGCAATTACTGCACGAGCAGCTCCTTCAGCTCGCCGTTCTCAACCATCTCCTGGATGATATCCAGGCCGCCCACGAACTCGCCGTTGATGATGAGCTGCGGGAATGTCGGCCAGCTGTTAAGCACCTTCAGGCCCTGCCGGACGGAGTCGTCGCTGAGGATGTCGAAGTGCGAGTAGGACACCTCCTGCTCGGCGAGGAGGGCGACCATCCGCCGCGAGAAGCCGCAGCGCGGCGCGTCGGGCTCGCCCTTCATGAAGAGAACAACCTTGTCCTTGCTCATGAGGCCGCGCAGCCGCTCGTTCAACTGTTCTTGCGTCTCCTCCTTCTCTGGCTCTGCGGGCGCGGCGTCGGTCTGGGCGAGCGCCTTGATGGAGGGCTTGGAACGTGCGTGGGTGGTGATGGCGTCGGTGAGAGCGGATGCGTCTGCCCCTGAGATTCGGGCAAGAAGAGTGTGTCCCTGCGCAAACGAGATATCAGGTACACAGATAGTACTCGATGAATTGAGGAGCGTACTCGGAGGACAATGAATGCAGGTACTGCCTCAATCTCAAACGACTCTGCAATGTCCGATTGCTGCTCTGCCTCGACCTACGTTCACAGAGGCGGGTAGATCCGTCACTTTAGTACCCCGAATTCTACATTGCGATGCGGTCGTACCTGAAGCACCATTACCTCCGGTATTCTTTCCCAACTCCTGCACAACTTCGTTCATCTGCTTGCAGGGCTCCGCCCATGGTGCCCAGAAGTTGATCAAGGATACTCTCTCCAAGTCTGTAGAGAGCAGCTGCTGGAAGTGATCGGCCGAGTTGACCTCATGAAAGTTCTCCAGTGTTGTGGGACGGGCATGATGTCTGTCTCTGATGCGGTATGCTGGGCTGTTGATGGCAGGGGCGGCGAGCGTCGTGGTAGAGCGAGCAGAACGAACGGCGGGGACCTCTTTACGCTCGACCGTGACTAACTGCAGTCATCTGATAAGATGAGGATGTCGCCATCCCGGGCTTTCCCAGGCAAGATAACTGATCAAAAGACCGCTCCTGATTGGCCCGCGCTGTGGCTGACATCTCCCAGTGTCGGTGTTGGGTCGGCCACCGAGCTACGAGCTCTCAAGATCCCAAGCTCAAGCTCCGAGTCGACCTCGAGGTAGAGTCCTGCGTAATACCTCCTCGAGCATAGGCGTGGAGGCTGTCTGAAATGGAACACGCAGGGTAAGATGCCTGTCATCACGATATCTGCGTGACAAAGTGAATCAGGTGCACGACCACTCTTGAACTCTACGTGTGACCCAGGAACGTTCACACAGACGAGAGTCAAAGTCAACCTGCGGTACATAGCATAGAATTACCGGCGGATATAATGTAGCACATACAACATGCGAAACAGCACCTTCACACGACATGCGCCTCGACTCGGTCCCGCAGAATGGAAGCGGAGTAGAACGAGCGGTCAGGGTAGAACATCTCACAGCCCGTGCTCCAAACTCCAGGCAAAGAGTGCGCGATACGGGGAACCTGAAGGGGGCTCTCACGAGAGGCGTCGACCCGTCTTGAAGCTTGAAATATTGAAACATGACAAGTTATGGATGCTTGTCTAACCACTCGCTGACACGGTCGATAAGTTCGGCCTTCTTGCCAGACACCGATTGGCTCTTGCCCTTGAGAAATTCCTGTCAGACAGTCACGTTAGTGCTCGTGATCGAATGCGATTGGGCCGTTGTATGCAGTCGCTGGCGACGCTGAGACGCAGCGGACGAGACTGGTCATTCTGGACACCACTTCCCAGACATGCCCGCAAGACAAGCACAGGGCTGTTAGTGAAGGGACGAACCTTAAGCTGGTCCACTCGAAGCTAGGCAAGATACAACGGTTAGTCTTCCCATGTCAGAGAGACGGTGCGAGCGCACCTTCTCGAGCTTCCCGACTTCATACTTGCTCCGGATCTCCGCTTCGTCCACGCTTACGTCCTAAAATAGCAATGTTGAGATGACAATGTCACGGACATATCAAGGCAGAGTATCATCTGCCTTACCGCTTTGCGCTTCGAGCCGGTGGTAATGATGGTCATGTTTGCCGACTCGTCCTTCAGCAAGGCCTCTTTCCACGCCTTCATGAGCGTGCCTGCGCGCTGTCAATCCGTCCGGGATGGCATCAGCGCCAAAATGAGCTCGGCCCCGTATATTCTAGTTTCGCGACGGTGGGAGTCGCACGTACCTTGTGCATTTGATCATACTTCGGGATGGTCATGTCCTCGAACGCCGCGGGATCAAACTCCTCCCTGAATGCACTGGCTTCGAGCTGCGCGTTATGATATCCCAATGCTGCGCGCAGATGCGAATGAGCGGATCAAGCAAGCGAAACAGCGGTGAAATGAAGTGGTCAGGCGAGCAAAGTCAACAAATCCGCCAACACGATCTCACCAGGATTGGGATGAGCATCCGGATTATAGCCACCGTTCTTATTCTTCACCGTGAGCTTGTCTATGAACTTCCGCGCCTCGTCTTTCAATTCATCGGAAGCTGTCGGGATTTCGTCGAGCCCGCGGGGCGGCATCAATACGGAGTGTCATTTAGATGCGGCAGATTCAGTGTGGGATGGCGGAGGCATGGGTGAGAACAACGACCGGTCGGAACTGGCCTGAGCATGCTTACCACGAACACTTTCCTCGACGGGAGCTGCCCTGATGTCATCAGCGAACGGTAACGGGATGAGGTGGAAGCCAGCTGGCTCGTGCCACCCTCCTTCGTCCACCTTCTCTTCCTGTAAACGGTCGGTAGCGTTAGTGTGAATGTTTAGCCATCTACCGCGTAACACGCAGGTAATGAAGGATTGATCTGAGATGGCGGAGGAGCCACTATCTTGCTCCGCCGCATGCGCGCACTGTGGGAATAGCGGCCGTAGGACAAGATGCTCACATACCTGAGGCAGCAGCGCACAGAACTGCGGTGATGCGTTGCGTCGTGTGATGGTCAGGACCAAGCCTATTCTCTTTTTATTGATCATAGTGCGCAATAACGCGGTGAAAGTCCGCTTGCTGCCAGAGTATGTCTATCTCAGCCTCCGGTGTGAGCGAAAGTCCCCGAAACAAATTGCAGAACTCTAACCATCTCGTCTGGATAGATGAACAAGGAGTGCTTGACATTGTCCTCGAAAACGAGACTTGATCGATTCTTGAAACCAAGCAATTTGATGACTGCGTAAACATTGAGTTTCTGTCGTACGCCGCACACTTAAGGCGGCTTACTAGGATCTAAACCCAATGTGCGGAAGGACCGTAACTCGTCCGCTGTGTAAAAAACCTTGATAGCAAGAGGCGCGATATTCATGAGATGTCCGTTGAGCAGACTAGGCCATGCGCAGAGCTGTAAACTCACCCTGCTGTTGGCTGGTGCAACTCTCAGCCCATATCCACCTTCATCCTCGTCCTCCGCCGATTCCGCGGTCGCACCGAGCTCCATACCATACTGAACCCGCGCCTTATCGGCTTCCACTTGCGTGTCCTGGTGATGAACGCCACATGAGCCCGCCAACACCCAAGACCAATCATATTCCCTCGTACCTCATCCACATACACGGTGCGGGAATTGGCGACTTCCATTCTGCCACCAAGCTCGGCGAAGTATTTGTACGCGCCCCTCTTCTGCTCCGTGATCAGGCCATACCTATCGGGAGGTTCTAGACTCGGTCTCGGGACGGGACCATCCTATCGGACGCGACGCACCCTTTCACTCCAATCGTGAAGTCCTTCGCGAGCTGGAAGGGCACGCTGAACTGGGCCCGTTTCGGCACTTCGCGGATCCGCATTTGCTCTAGCAGGTCGTCGACGCGAGCTATTGAGATTGATTCCGGAAGAACGTTGCCGCTCGCGTCATCCTCGTCCACCACATTGGTCGGGAGGAGCACGGACTGCGGGCCAGGTCTGTCCAGTAGTCTCGTGCGTCAGTTAGAAGCAAACTCACCGAGTAGAATCTAGACGGGTCGAAAGATTTCTCTTCCGTGCTGATGAAGAACGGCTCAACGGTGACTCCCGCTTGCACCAAATCCTAGGGACAGATTTGAGCATATCTTAGGGGGCGTAGGTCTATCGAGCACAGTTGCCTTACAATGAGCGTCGTCCGCGCGGTAGTGATTAGTCTGTCCTTGGCAGCGCCTGGGTGAGGGTCGTCTTCATCCGTTACAAGAAAGACACGCTTCGTGGCGGTCTTAGGAGCCCTGAAACACGTTCGAGTGCTCATTCAAAATGACACTTGCTACTGTGGCTTACCCGTCGCGGATGACCCAGTTGCAACTAGTGAAGACATCTCCCATTGGCACACGACCCTCTGTCATGGGCGGGAAACTCTCGCGCAAGTAGTTGGGGTCCTCTCTGGCAGCTTTACCCGCGACGGGCACTCTCAGTATTGTACATTGCTTCCAGCTTGCCGTGACTGACCTTCGAGCAAGCGCATTACTTCCTGCACGCTCGGAGCGTTGATAGTCTCTATTGGTTGGTAGACGAAGTTTCCCTTCTTGATTTCGGCACTCTGACCGTTGCTTTCGTTGCGTCTTGTCTGTGGCGTGAATGAATAATGATTGCATGGTATGGGCAGCACCGGAGTTCACCGTGTTGAAGAGCATTATCCCTACTGCGTCGTTGGGGCCAACCATGACCTTACGTTTCTCAATGTTCATCGCCGCCTCTAGCGCTGTATACAGATGGCACGTTTGGAGGTCTTCATACTTCGGGTCCTCGTATAATTCAAGCATGGATGGCGAGCAGTCAATACAGAACAAGATAACATCCTTCTTGCCTTCATAGTGCTGCGCGGAGGAGGTCATAGACCATTGAGTATACCCAGTTCTGCAGTACTCACAGATGCGTCTTCAAGCTCTTCTTCCTCATCCTCCTCAATCCTGTTCCAGTCTTCGTATGAAGCCATTCGCGCAGAAGATCAACCTGCTACAGCTGTTACAAGTTTGCTTTTCAGCCAATTCACAGTATCAAGGAAGGGCGCGTCAGATAGCGAAAGTAGCGGTCGCCGACAAGAGTGACTGTGGCCCTATTCAGACGCGTCGGCGCGAGTCGACGCGACTCACCCGACCGTGACGCGCCTTCGAGCGCACGTGCCCCAGCTCCACAATCAGTCACACAATCCCGGAAAGGCAAGTCATCTCCTTCGCTTCGTCTTCCGTGTGTACTTCGAAACTTCGAGTATCCCAGCGTCGTCGTTCGTGTTCGTGCTTGCTGCAGCCCAGGGTAAGCGCGACTCGGAGCAAGCTCATTTTGGCCACAAACGTGCCCTTCAAATTGGTATGTGTCCCGAATCGCCAGGCATTTCCCGGAGCTGCGCGTTTGGAATCACGCTGCGCAGGAGAAGCACCTCTTAGCACAGAGGTCGCCACGGCGACTCGAGCGTATGATGGGCGAGAGCCATTCGAGACCGCTGGAAATGCTGTCTGCCGAATTTCAGAGGGGCGTGCTGATGATATTTTCGGAATGCAGGTATCGTGTAACATGGCCACTGCGCCTGATTTACCACTACTCCGTGCGGTCGATATCGGAGAGCTCGTGAAGCTCGATGTGCCCACGACGAAGATCCGCACGGACGAGGATGTCGTTTACTGGAAGAGGACGCGTGGATATCAAGACTTCGGCCTATTTTTGCGACGCTTGAACGAATCGGTCGTGGGCCACAATTACCTTACACGGAACCCGTGGGCGATGTCAGAACGCGTCGTCGCTTTCTAGTACGAGCAAGCGTTGACTCAGGATGTTCTAGGCGACGACCAGGATGGTTGCCCTCTTGGACACCCTCGACGGCTGGATCGATGAAATTCCCCCGCTGCCAACGCCCCAGCGGTTTGGCAATCTCGCCTTCCGCGCATGGGGCAAACGTCTAGAAACTGTGCGGTGTCCTCGCCGTCATTGATGAAGTGCATCATGTCTGATACGAGTGCAGGAAGGCGAAGCCGTCCTCGCTAAGCTCCTTCCCGGAACTTTGCAGCCTGCCATACCTTATCTGTCGCCCTACCTCCTGACGTCTTTCGGGTCGTTCACGCGCATGGACTACGGGACAGGCCACGAGGCATCCTTCGCGCTCTTGCTTTTGTCCCTCACCTTGCTTCGATTTTTCGAGCCGGAGGCTCGGACGGAGCGCGAGTTGGTCCTCTATGTCTTCCAGCGGTACCTGCGTTTATGCTGGCGGTTGCAAGATGTGTATAACCTGGAACCAGCCGGAAGCCACGGCGTATGGGGGCTCGACGATTACAGCTTTCTCAGTTACATATTCGGGAGCGGCCAGCTTCGAGGTAAGAATATCCTTTTACGTGAATAATCTGCGGTTTAGCCGGTGCGTTCTCGACAGATCAGACAGAGATACCCGTCAACGCCATTTTGCACCCGCCTCTTCCGCCGGCAAACCTGTATTTCATGTCTATCATGCGCATCCACGAAGTGAAACATGGCCCGTTCCACGAACATTCGTCGCAGCTTTATTCTATAGCCGTCGGCGTATTATCGTGGTTCAAGGTGAACTCGGGGCTCTTCAAGATGTACGAGGCATGTCTCATTGCTAGCCCTTCTGTTCCAGCGACATTGGTCGACTAACAATGACACCTTGATGCAGGCGGAGGTTCTAGGTAAGCGGGTGGTCGTGCAACACATTCCTCTCGGTGGTCTACTGGACTGGGATAATACTGTTGGACCACCGTCTGGGCAATCGCAGCCATTCAGCACCACTCCTGTGACTGCTCCGCCACCGACATCTACTTCGTTCGCCTCCGGGACATCCATACAATCCCGGAGTCAAACAGGTTTCGGTGCGCACTCCAGTACCATCCTCCCCCCTCTACCGACTCGTCGAGCAAACCCCGGTTCGAGTCGGACAGTGCATGGTCGTCCTGGATTCGGCGACACCAGAGGTATTCTCCCTGGGCGCTTACCGCTCGGCCCCACTGCCAGTACGGCTCTGCGACCCATCAACGCAGGTGCGGTCGGAGCAACGACTTCGCCTGAAGGTCCGTCCCGCTCGCCTACGCCGACTAATCGCGGGAGCAGTCAGACGCAGCAAGGAGTTGGCGGGACATGATGACTTCTGCAAGGCGCGAGAGTGAGCCCGAAGAGCAGTCCGCTATCACTGTAAAGCTACGGTATTTTCCGTGTAGACACAGGTGTCTTACATCCCATATACGTATCCGCAAAAGTAAGTAACTTACGAGGTGGGTTCCACGCTGTGTGCCTGTGCGCCGTGCGCTCCACCGCACAGGTGAGCCGCGCCACAATACACGTGGCATCCGGCAAGTGCCGAAGCGAGACATCGATTGGAGAGAAAAACTGGACGGACCGCCGCGCTGCCTACCCCGTCGTCGTCCACAACCCCCCTGCTCACTGTCCTCTCTGCCGTCGTGCCTCCAGAGCTGCGACGCGGAGACCTGAATCCTCCACAATTCCTGACCAGTCGCGAAACGCCGATCTCCGTCTCTTGACCCTTGAGTGCGTCAATGTTGTTTTTCGGATGACGTGACAGAACTGATCCAGGCCGTGATCGCATGTCTAGGTGGTCATCCGTCCGTGGTTCGTACACTCAATCCTTACATCCTGCAGCCATGATACTGAACTGCAGTCCTCGTCAGGTGAACCTCCCTGACAGGCCTAAAACGCTCGTGGTAGACACATCAACAGCCAACACTCAGATTCCCGCCTCCCGCTTCCCCTGCTCTGCTTTTTTTAATTTCTATTTCTCCAAGACCCAACCCGTCCTCGCTGCACAGGCGAGGATCCCGCTCCGACTGAAGTAACCCGCACGTTACCGTCCTAACCCGCTACGGCGGGGGGCTCGGTAATTCGGGTAGAATACCACCAAGAGAACACCACGCGTTCGCGCACCTAGTTCCTCAACCTTCGCGCTCCGTCGCTTTCGTGCATCGCTGTCCACGTACGACGCGGTCGTCCGCACGTTTCAAGCTATAGATCCCCACGCAGATCTTGCCGGTTCGACCGAACCCCTCGATATCCCAAAACGAATGTCTCAGCTCGAGATCCTCACGGCCCGCAGCGCCCTCGAGTTCGATTTCGACGTGATCTCATGCTCGCCGACGCACTCGAGCTCGCTCTCGCGCTCCTGCAAGGACAAGTTTGCGAACGCCCTTGTCAGCGGCCTGCTCTCGTCGCCCACCCACTCTGCCCAGGGTCATGACAAGGTTGGCACCCCCGACTCGGACCGGGTGCCCGACAACGACGTCACGATCCCTGGCTTACCTCCGCTCCTCCGTGGACACCCGGACGTCCACCTTAGGAACGGCGTGATAAACGCTACCCAGCTGGCCGCCGAGGGAGAGACAGATGGGGAGAAGGCGTTCTTTGTCGCTGATCTGAGCTACGTGCTCAGGCAGCATGAGAGATGGAAGGCTAACCTCCCGGAGATTCAGCCGTTTTATGGTGCGCCAAGTGTCGTGGTCCCGCGTTTATATGGCGGTCTCTGACGCTGGTCATGTCGTCTTATTCAGCTATCAAGTGCAACCCCGACCCCTACGTCCTCCGTCTTCTCGCCGCGCTCGGTACCGGGTTCGATTGCGCGTCCATGGGAGAGATCTCGCAAGTGACAGGCCTGGGTGTGGACCCGTCCCGTATCATCTTTGCGAACCCGTGCAAGGCGGTGTCGTTCGTCCGGAACTCGGCCAAGGCGGGCGTCGAGATGATGACGTTCGACAACACAGACGAGCTGTACAAGGTCGCGCGCGCCCATCCCGGTGCCAAACTTGTCGTGCGCATCCTCACGGACGACTCGAAGAGCCTGTGCAAGCTCGGGCTCAAGTTCGGCGCCCCGCTCGTCACCGTGCCGGCACTGCTGGCGAAGGCGAAGGAGCTAAACCTGGACGTCATCGGCGTGAGCTTCCATGTGGGAAGTGGATGCTACGATTCGTCCGCGTTTGCAGACGCCGTGCAGCGCGCCCGGGCTGCCTTTGACATGGGTAAGGAAGCCGGGTATGACTTTACCCTCCTCGACGTTGGTGGCGGTTTCGAGGATGGCAGCTTCGAGGCCACGGCTTCCATTCTTAGAGATGCGATCAGTGAGCACTTCCCGGACAGGGAGCATATCAAAATAATTGCCGAGCCTGGGAGATACTACGTCTCGAAGGCGTTCAGCCTGGCGGTGAACGTGATCGCCCGGCGCGCGCCTCCTGCGGTGGAAGACGGAGCGCAGGACATGGAGGTGGACCCTGAGCAGCCCTCGGCGATGTGTATGTTTCGGTGCCCTTGAAGTATAAAAGCGGGGACTAACTAAAGTTGTGCTTGCAGACTATATCAACGACGGCGTCTACGGGTCATTCAATTGCGTTCTCTTCGACCACCAAGCTCCGCAACCATACGTGCTCTCCCTGAATGGCTCCTTCCATGTGCCTTCCTCCGAGCCCTTGCAGGGGAGCAGCGTGTGGGGCCCGACGTGCGACTCCATCGACTGCGTGTGCCCGATGGCGCGTCTGCCGGGCTCCCTGCGCATCGGGGACTGGCTGGGCTTTGACAACATGGGCGCGTACACGATCTGCGCGGCGAGCCAGTTCAACGGGTTCCAGGTCAGCAAGGTGCTCTACACCGCCGGGGGCGGCGCGGATGCGGTGGCGGTCCGAAACGCGCTCCGGGGGCTTGAAGGCTAGAGGCGATGTTCTCATGCATGACAGACTGGTCGAGTAGTGTTTCCGGTTGACGTGATGGACGAGATACAGACTTGGCTCCCACGTACCTAGCAGCGAACGAACAAGAACACGTCGTGCGCATCTCATCTGAGGAGGGCGCGAGATAGCGGGAGTAAGCGGCTGGACCGCCGGGCGTGCCTGCCCGGCGCTGGATCGGAGGCGGTCGCACGGTCTCGGTTCCGTGCCATGCGGTGCCGGGACCGCGGTTGTGTGGCGGCCACGAGGGACAGGCACCCGCCGCGGCGTGGCTGCTCGCTGCTCGCCGGCCCTCCCCGTGACGTAGCTTCGCCGTCGACGCCGCCCCGAGGCCGGGCGATCTGCAGCTGATCGAAGAGGCCACGGCGTGTGCGCCGCCTGCCTTTTCCGGCAGCGTCCACCTCGGTCCTCGATGCGCTCGGCCGGATCCCTCCACTGCCCGGGCGGCTCGCTAGAAGCGGTTGTGCAAGAACGCCGTGGGCGCATTCCGCCCAACCAGGGAGCTTAGCCAATGCACAACTCTAATCTCTCCCATCACATGCCCGGTGCGTGATCTTCTTGCTCAGCCCTCCGTCCCCATAAGAGCGCGACGGCCCAGGTCGGTAAATAAATCTCTCGCTCGTCGTCCAGCTGCGCAGCAGCGGTAGCAAGCTCGGCAGCCTTGGTACCGCAGTGTGGTTTCGGTCACCCCGTTTCTGACCAGCGCGCAGCGTTGCCACCGCCCCGGTGCAGCTCTGTGATCGAGGCGTGTGAAGCTGCTCTTCCGCAACGGCGGTCCCGTACGACGTGGGGACGCTGATGATGTTACGACCTTCCGCATCTCTGCGCAGACACGCACAGCGGCATGAGAACCCCCGTTCGTACCAGCGGCTGGGCCCCGCTCGTAAACCTTTTGCCGCAGGACTTGTCCCGCGAGCCCCGGCCCAGCGGTCTCAACAATTGCAGATGCGGATCTCGTCTCCAAAATGCACGGAGTTTCTGATCGTACCCCATCTTAGTATATCTACCCGATGCTGCCGAGCCTCGGTGCCTTATTCGTCCTTACGTGCTGCTATTGCTCGTTCCATTCGAAGAGAACCGCTTTGCTGCGGTCGGAGGGCACGATCATATCGAATATATTCGTTGTCTTCGTGATGTGAAGCCTGGCCCATCACCACTCGTGGTTCTTCCGTCTCGAGCAACGTTGCCGCATCCCTGCTTGTGCCCTCATTGCAGAAGCTGCACGCTTATCGTGGCGTCCGTGTACCTATATCCCGCAGTCAAACCCGCCCGTCGTAAAGTCCCCGCGCGCACGTCTGAGCTTAAACCGCTCCTATTCTTGTGATAAACCCGAGCGCCGAGCGCGACACTTCCCTTTCCTGTCCCGTGAGTACGTCCATGGCCCTAGGACCCAATCGCTCTGCGAGCATGTCGTCTGGGTTGCTTCTGGTGAGTCGCTCCGTCTCTTAAGTCGTGACAGTCGAGTAGAGCGTCGGGGTCTGCACGTAGGATCCATGTCCGTACAAACATCTGAACAGTCGACCAGCGGCCCTCGCTTCCGGCCGTACGCTAGCCCAAACCATCATGTCACGAAGGGTCGCTACATAACAAGCAATGACCCTAGAGGGTATATGTGAGTGAACATGGAATTTTAACTCGAGAACTCAGTCTGAAGGTTCTCTAGCCCGGTGTACGAGTACCCTTTAAATGGCCAGTGGATAATGCTGGACATGGACGACGGGTATGTTCTCTGGACGGGTATCTGGAAAGGTACGTATACTTGCGAATGTGGCTGCCTACGCTCACAGAAGATTCTCGTAGCCCTGGGAAACAACAAAGGTGTGTACTGTGGACATCCTTGCCATCTAACCAGAGTGGCGTCTAATGTAGAGCTCGCTAGCGGACATTGTCAAAATAATAGACTCACAGCCGGACCTCGCTTCTCAGCTACGGCGAGTCCGTGGTGGCTATCTGAAGATTCAGGGAACCTGGATGCCCTACGAGATTGCGCTTCGTTTAGCACGTCGGTCAGTCAGCTTCTGACTACATGAAATCTGCTGCAGCTCATGAAGGCTCCCTCAGTGTGGCATGGCCTATACGACATGACCTCGTTCCCCTGTTCGGGTAAGTCATTTGTCGCTGCTTCGTAAAAGCTACGTCGTCTAAGCTCAGTACTTAGACCCACTTTTCCAACTACTTGCCTGTCGCCGGACCAACCGGGCTATGGCCAAATAGTCAGCCCTGGAACTGGTAAGAGGAGGCCGCGCCGCAGCGCAGCCACCGATGGTTCCATCGACACAAGACATGCTTGGACCGTCATCTCTGACTCGCCCGATGGTCCTGCTGCCGACAGCCGCGCCAGCTCATCGCGGACTTTCCACCAGCAGACCATGTACGCCAACGGCTCCTCAACCCAGCACACGCAGGTCGACTCCCCAGTCATGCTGCACGTCCCATACATCGAGCGACCGCGCCCCGTGTCGGAAGCGGGTCCCTCGAATAGTCAGCATTACGCTGCATCGCGCAGGACTCACCGCCTTCGGACAGCGGCAGTGTCATGCGGTATTCGCCCTACCCCGCCAGCCCTGTGCACACTCGTCTCGCTGCGGTGCGCGAGCCAGCGCACTCGAGAAGCATCACTTTGCCCTCGCTCCAGCCTCGAGGAGAGGACGACGGGGAGGCGACGACATTGCCTCCGATCTCGGCTATGACCCGGCCACCAGGCGGTGTTCACGATGACCCCATGGCTATCCTACGGCGCCTTCAGTCTGACGACGACACTAGCTCTCGGACATCATCCACGGAGCGCTCCTCGCACGGGCGGCGACCATCCGTCCCAGAACCTGCGCATCGCCTGTGAGCACCGCTCGTCCATAAATCTTACGACCGCGCCGCTGACCGCGCACCAGGTCAGACGCCTCGTACGGCGGCGGGCGGGTGCCCTCCGCGCATCGGCTGTCCCGCAGGAGCATATCCCCGCCGCCCGCCGCCGAGCGAGCTCCTCCGAGTCGGTCCACTTCGACAGCGGCGGCGGCGGACCGTTCGCCCCCGGCGAACGCGAGCACCGTGTCGCAGCTCCCGCCGTCGCTCGCGCGGTCTCTGCTGATGCCCCCGCCGCCGAGTCCCCATCCCCATTCGGCCCCGCGGGGCCTCGCAGACCCACAACGGACTGCAGACGGGTCCTACTGCGGCGCAGCTGCGGACGACCGCCGTCGGTCGTGGAGAAACGCGCCTGGCGACCGTGGTGAACGAATGCATCACGGATCTCATCTCGGGATGTTTGAAACTGTTGTCTGTTCCGGATATGCAGTCGATTTGTTGTGCACGTTTGCTGTCCCCGCCTGTCTAATTGCTTCCCGGTACAAGTCATACCCTCCGCATATGTCCGCCGTATAGTGTACAAATACATTGACTGCGTTTAGTGTACGGCTAATTACTCTGTAGACATATATGTCTAGATACTGCTTGACTTCGTCCGAGGCACCGTGGCCGTCGGACGGCCCGCCCTGGGATAATACATCGATACAGCACTTAGCCTGGCGAAGGACGCCGCCGTCGACGCTTCCAGTACGTAAGCTGTGCGCCATCTTCTTCGGTCCGTGCCTATCAACGTCGACGGCCGGACTGAATTGAAATCCAGGGCGAAAGTGGAAGACGCACTCTTGTCGCCGTCGCCGCTTATCAGATAACCACTGGGCCAATCAGAGCGGGACCGTAACCGTGTCTCGCAACGATCCCTCGAGTGCCAGTGGGAGCCGGAGGCTGATTGGCTTGCGCCTGACCCATCCGCGAGGAGGAGCATGTCCCCCCGCAATCAACTTCTTGTGCAGCGGACCCTGGAGCCTGGGAGCGCCACTGCAGCGTGTCCCGCGGGCTGGCCTCATGGGACGCGACTCGTATCATGGCACGACCGACAGAGGTGCCCTTTGAGCCTCCTGTATACGGTACTTTGAAGTGGCATCGTTGGCAGATGCAGCTGCCATTGCGGCGTGCCAGCGGAGATAACTTCAGCGCACTGATCCAATGACAGCATAGGCTGTCACGAACTGTCTCGTTGGACCGACGAAGGCCGATCGAATGCCAGTGAATGCGCGTACGGACGAGCGGCACCGAAGGGTTTCCCCATGCCACACTGGCGGCAGTGTCTCGAGGATACGGCAGTGTCCGCGGCAGGAAGCGGTTACACGGTCCTCTGTGGATTTTCCGGGAAGCCCTGATGCCCGAAATCTCGTATACCGGGGCTAACGGCCTGGGACTCGCATGATGAATATACGCTTCGGTCTTTTCCAGATGCTCGCGAGACGTTGCGCGTCCATACACTCGCTCTCCTGTAATATGACGAGAAGCGCGCGGGACTTGATGGCATGAATAGGAAGCCGCGAGTACATGCCGGTCGAGGAAACAAAGCCTGGCATTTCCCCATGCAGGCTGCTCGCCACGGGGCGGTACCGAGGAGGCGAAGGGTAATCGAGTAGTATTGGCCGAGGGGAAGTGACCTCACTCAATGTTCGTGGTTGCTTCGGGGTGAAAATAACTGCGGGAAATGAAGTGTCTTCCTATGCCCCGATGACCGAGAACAAAAAGACAATGACATGAGGCCACAACGTGGCCGGTTTCGTGCTTGGTAGATCTAGTTCTGTCCATGACGATCGACCCGAGGAACGGGCGTGCATCGACGGCGTTCTGGACTGTGGCTGCGTGGCCTGACAACGACGGAAAGAAACGGGGGACAAAGCACAAAAATGGAGTCGCGGTGAAGGTCAGTTGACATGCCAATGCCGGAGTATACCCAAGGTTCTCGAGGACGCACCTGTGAGCCTCGCGCGTGCTTCGAGCGAACATTGACAATACTCGAGCCTCTGCACGTGTATTCTGTCATCGTATGTATGCCGCGTAGTATGGATCGGATGTTCGTGCATGAGTACGTTGCTGGGTGCCAGTGGCAGATGCACAATGGCACGTTTCGCGTTGTCTATGTATCCACTTTGCCATGTCCGCGTCCGGGTATCTAAACCCCTTCAGTACACAGAGAAACTCGAAGCAAAGTCAGTAAAGCTTACCGTAGAATTGGGCCATGGCGCAGCTGAACTTACACGCAGTAGCGATGATACCACTGGCACTATGAAGGTTCCACTGTCAAACAAGCACACTGCTATGAGGATGGCGCAGGAACCTTCCCCCCGGAGATTCCGAACCTGACAGCGACAGCTAGCGATGTTAGTTGCAATAGCCGAGAGGGCTATCCAGAGGCCTCTGTGCTGCGCAGTGAGAGCTGGTCACGGTGAAAGCTGTAGAGTTAGTAAAAGGCATCATTAGTAGACGTTTTTTTAATACGACACTCACTACTAGTGTATCACCCGCTCGGGAGAGACTGGATCGCGCACATACGACGGACGTATCCAGCCGTCAGTCTTGTTGACCATGCTGTAACAAGCTTTGACTCCGCTGAGGCATCTGAGTAGCCGTCATCACGAGCTGGTCATAGTGCAACAGTTGGCAATGTTTTACTTGTTTTCCGGTCGAATACCGCTGCGCACGGTTGCCAGAAATTAGCCGTTCCAGCATCCGCGAAGATAATTGCAGACTCGTGTCATCATCCGCCCGGCAAACACCTACCAGTGCACTTTGAAACCTGAGAGCACAGGTAGCTCCGGATGACCCGAGTCTCTGGAAATCTGCAATTCAAGAAGTGCTGGAATAGCTGCTGAGGATACATTTCGAATTGTCCATAAGCGGAAGACTCAAAGCCTTGCATGCACTGCGGACAATCATGGGAAAGAAAATCAACGACACAATAGTCAGCTTAATTTTGTAGGATCATACGACACCCCGGAGTAAAAATCTTTCAGACGCACCACAGCGCAGCCATTGAATAAGGGATCACTGAAATTGTGACTGACCTTAAATCAATTGAATTTGAAGCAGCCTGGGGCCACCGCAGCCTGAGCCTGACATGCCGTGATTCCGAGATTTTCGAGGCCATGACTGAGCGTAAACCAGGAGCTTACAGAGCTGCACACAAAGAGCATGTTGCGTTACTTACAGGATGATCATGAACAGATGAACACGTCGCGCTCGTCGCTCGACGACGACACGTCGGTAACTATGACAGTATTTATCGTTGAAAAATACGGACGACGAGGGATTGACTTGTGACTCTGAGGCCCAAAGAACGAGCGTCGAGGTTGCAGCTTCGAGGTTGCAGCTTCAGGTCACGTGACGTGTCACGGACGTGTCACGGACGTGTCTCGGAGGCGAGGTTCAGCTTCCTGTGGGCATGAGAGAGCAGCGAGCTCGAGCATCATGGTGCACAGGGCCAACGCCCTGTCCCTGTATATGCAGGCGCAGCCGACGAACCGGCGGCAGGCCACGGTGAGTGCACACACGGACCGGCATGTACGCTAACAGCGAGCACAGCGGTGGGCGGGTGAGGTGCTCTCGTTTTTGCGGCCGTTCCTCGCTTGCTGCCCACTGATCTACTAGTAGTGAGCAAGTAGTGACCTTCCCTCCATCCCTACTCCCCTCCTCGCCCGCTGTCTATAGTCGACGTCACCGCCCGCCTCGCAAAAGCGAGGACGCTCAGCGTCGACGGTACCGCCAAGGCGCAGAGACCATCGAGGATCTCAAGACGCCCGGCCTGCGTACATATCCAGGCCCCGGAGCACCCGCTCGAGAACAAATGGTGCGTGTTCATCCCGTGCGCTGCGCGCGCGCCCTGACCTCACACGCAGCACAATATTCCACGACACAAAGTCGACCGTCCCCTTCACGGCCGCCTCCGCCCACCCCGCACGACCGCTCCCCAGCGCGAGCGCGGACCCGCTACAGAACGCGACGCCCTTTGCTGCGCCCGAGAAGGACGAGTACGAGGCGGGCCTGACAGTGATCGGCGAGTTCGAGACGGTCGGGACGTTCTGCCGGTACTTCAACTGGCTCAAGCCGCCCTCGCGGCTGGAGCGCAACTCCAACTACCACACCTTCCAGTCGGGCATCAAGCCGATATAGGAGGACCCCGCGAATGCGCACGGCGGCAAGTAGGTGCTCACGATGAATAACAACCCGCAGCTGCTCGACCACTGCTGGAGCCGGCTCGCGATGGCGCTCGTCGGCGATGACCTCGACAACGAGACGAGATCTGCGGCGCGGTCGTCAGCCTCCGGACCAAGGTTGACCACATCCCGCTCTGGGCGCGCGGCAGGGAGCACGCCGAAGGCATCAGCAGCATCGGCCGCAAGATGGGCCAAGCTCCTCGACGTCTCCGCGGCGGACGGCATCGGGCTCGAGTTCCAGGTGCGTGTCCATCCTCTCTGCGCGTGGTGATTCGCAGCCACAGAAACTCACACCTATTGTACTGCATGATAATGCGCAGACGTGTTGTTCATGCGCGAGCATACACCCTCACCTCGACACGAGTCCCCTGCCTCCGTCATCCCACCTTGCTCCCCGTCCTCAGCGCTCCACTGACGAGCTCACCCGGCCCCTCTCGCCCGCCCCCTCTCGCCCGCCCCCTCAAGTCACGCCGAACTTCGCATGGCGATCCTTGCCCATCGACTCGGCCGAGGCTACTGGTGTTTCCGCCTCGGCTCTTTACCGTTGCTCCGAGCCGAGTGTGCGAGCCGACGAGCGCGAACCCGTGGCATTTGAAGGACTTAGGAGGACGGCGAAGAAGGTCATGTAATGCTTTTCTATGTATACTACTTCGATACAACTATCATGTTCTGGATCAGGGACAGCTGAAGTGATTAGCCAGCCACCTGAGAAGCCTGTGACTGACTGTGACTAGTGCTGACTGATGCTGACTGATGCTGACTGATGCTGACTGATGCTGCTCAGCTGAATGACTAACATGCCATTGCAACAGTATTTAAGGAGGCATGAGTTAGAGGGACATTCAGTAGCACCCTACTATCCACTGAGCAGTAAGTCACTCTTACAGATATTCATATGAGTATACTGAGGTCAAGTACTAGCTTCATCACAGAGGTATACTCTCTGTCATGCTGATCCAATGGGTTATTGACATAGATGTTTAAAGTGACAGTCTCACCAATATGCCAAGGAAACAGAATACTGATGCTATGGAAGCATGTGGGTGTTTTCTTCATACTCATGTAATGGCCCATGGTAACCTGATTACATAGTGGCAACATACCTATCTGCCCCTGAAACTATCAGGATCATTGAGAGCATAAGTGCTGCTGACATCAAAGATTCCAATTCTCCTGTTATATGTCAGATCCTCAGGGAGATAGAGGCTATTCACCAGCCATCAGCCAAAGATGTAAGTCTTTATGAGTTTTCTATGATATATGTCCTCATGCTATAGCTTCAGCTGTCTGTACTGGTGCGCAGGAGTTTAGGCTTACTGCCCAAAGGCACTTCAGCATTCCTGGCTTGGGAAACCCTGAAAACACTACTGAAAGAGAGCCAGTCATCCAGTGGTGTAGTCCAGGCTAGCCATCATGAGAAGAGGACATTGGTATGTCTGGATCTCTCTAACACTGTACAACAGTTAAGGGTTTCAATTTCAGGTGCGCCAGATAGGCCTACTAGGCCACAGCAGTTATGGTCTAGCAGATCTGCTCAGGGCCAGCCCTCATGCCTATATCATTGCTGGTGGCATCAAGCTTAGATTGGTCATTCGCTCCCGCGACCAGGTCCCCCATCTTCCTCTGCACACCCACATGTCAGAATTCACCAATCCAAGACAACCCCATGCTGCCCTGGTTGGGCTGGCTAGTCCCCATGATTACCTTGAAATAGGGACTGAGGAATCAGTGATTATTTTATCTGGCAGTTCTCAAGGTGAGTCAGTATCATTTGGAGGTTTTACATGATTTACACTCATGAATACCCTAGCAGGATATGAGCTTGAGCTAATGTGCATCAGAGGTGTAGCACAACAAGCAGCACTCTCCACCCCTTTGTATGCATGGCTGCATCAAGTGGTTGAGAGTGCATGTAATGAACGCCGGAATGTCAGTGTATGTCTCAGTATGCTGTCAATTAGTATTGTTATTGATGAAAATTTCTTCTAGCCCAGTCATGGTGGACATATGGCCCAAGTTGGACTGAACCGTGGTCCCTGGCATGCCCGTGTGGTAGGCTGGGCCAAAAGCTATACCAGGAACCTGGATCCTTCCATACAGCAATGTCATGATGAAGATGTGATTGGGGCTGTTAGTCTGGTTTGGGCTATGATCAAGGCTGTGGTACCCTCAGAAGCCATCCAAGAAGTTGAGGCATCCCTGGAACAGGCTGAAATGCCCAGGATTGCCACAAGGAATGTGGCTGAAGGTAAGTTGTACACAATGATTTTCACCACAGACCAAAGGCTGATTTGGTATAATCTAGGCAGTGGCTATAAAATCACAGTTGGACAGCAAATATACTCCTTCCCTGCAGCTGAGCGTGGTCCACCAGAAGCATACATGAGTCGTGGATATATTGCGTGAGTGTTTCTCTCATATGATGTACCAAACATCCTGTGTCATAATCTGGCTGTAGGTGGTCACACATTGATAAAGCCTACTGCAAATTTGCATTCTCCCTCTGTGTGGCTAGGGAGCTTGTAACTACTAGTCAGTCTATTCTCAGCATACCCATTCATAGAAGTCACTCATCAATTGCAGGGTACAATGCCCTCCCTAGTGGTGGTGCCAATTTTGTGGATGTTGGCCTGCGGGTTGTCATCAAACAGGCTGCAGGTACACTGATTGGCTTTAAGGCAGACTATAGTCATGGCACAACATTGGCATATGGTGCTGTCAATCACTCTATTTCTATTGCCTTTTCAAGACCACTGGCACAGGCATGGAAGGATTCACTGTTGAATAAGGGGGTCACATCAGCACCTGGGGCAGGGGAGGGAAATCCTGATGTAGAATTGCCTCAATGAACTATTGTACAGTGTGTATATGCAGTACTTAGTCCATTGAATATCACCGCACAGGATGCATGTAGCCTGACATGGACGGCACGCTGCTACAGGCAGTACCCAGTGGTACTCACTTATCCATGTCGGTGCACATTGCACTTCATCCCATTAGCCCTTTGTGCCACCCTTTTACATGCTGCACGTTAGACCGAGCACATAGCGCAGCGCAACTAACTCGCCCTCGACGACGGCCACACCTCTGCCAAGACACGGTCGTGCTCTGGATGGCCCGAACTCATTGGCCTCTTCACAGACACGAGCTGGACGTGAGGCACATCGGCCTCTCACTCTTGCGTGGCTGCTGACTTAGGTCGGGCCAACGCGCGTCGTCAGCGAGCGTCGGCTAGGCTTCACACGTAGGCGCAATGCGGCTGGGGGATGAGGGCCATGCTTACGGGTTCTCCGCTGTCATGCTCGTTACCAATCGGATGCAGCGGACAAGTGGCTCCTCCGACACTCGCTACGACTCGAGAACTCACGCGTCGCTCGATGTAGTACGTCGGCACGACATCGTCGCGCGTGTTCTCTTCGCGCCCCGCGCTGGTCTACGCCGAACACCTCCATCGCGTCGTCTACCTCCGCCTCACGCGCCGCCTCCGCGTAGATGGCCTTGCACTCCTCCGCGCGCTGGTACCACACGCCCAGGCCGACCTTGATCATCCACTTCTCGAGCGGGATCGGCTCCGCCATGCCCTCGCCGTTGATCCCCCGTCCGAGCGACTCCGGGTTCCACCGCATGCCCAGCGGTCCGCCGCGCTCGCCACGAAGCAGGCGCGCGAGGTCGACGACGAGCTCGTGCGTGCGGTTGAGGCGCATGTTGCGGACGCGCCCGCCCATCGACGGGCCGTACTTACGGTCGTGCGGGTCGACGGTGGAGTAGAACGGCGTCCCGCGGGCGTACGCGCGCGAGAGCCGGGCGACGGTCGTCGTGAGCGGGCGCGTCTGCAGCGTCACACTCAGGAGCGGCCGCCAGAAGGCCGTCTCCGCCAGCGTCGGGAGGTACTCCGCGCGCACCTGCTGGACAGCAGCGTTGGCCGCGGCCGTGTTGCCCACCGAGTTGACGTCGACCTCGCCATCCTCGTCGAGCTTGAAGGCATCTTGCTGGCGACTAGCCTGTCTCGGCGGCTGCGGGAGCGACACGTCCCGCGCAGGCTCAGGGCTGTGCCCGGGATCCTCACCTCCACCAGTATCTTCTCCTCGCGCACCCTCATGTCCGCCGCGAGGCCCTCCGACAGGATGCCCGCGCTCAGCTCTGACATCAGGACGCCCTCCCCGCGTGTTCTCCTCGCGCTGACCGCGCATCAGCACCGTCTGGCGCTCGGGCGTGTCCCACGAGGACACCGGGATCTGCCCACGCTGCCCGCCAGTCGACGCCGCCTGGGGGCCGAGCTGCGAGACCGCGGCCGCGAGCGAGGGCTCCGCCTGCGTGCCCGCGGGGTGCGTGATGACATCTGTGTTCGTGAGCACCTCCGCCGCGTCCAACTCCGCCTGGTCGCGCATGTACTTCCTCCGTGTGAACTGCTTGACACCCTCGCCATTGTCCGGGCGAGGGGATACCTCGTCCGACGCGGGGAGGTCGTCCCAGGGCTGCTTGGGCGTGCCGACGAGCGGGTGGTCCTCCGTCGGCTTCTTCGCGACTGCGGGATGGAACCCTGTCTCGGGCATGGAGGGCTCGAACCCGCTCGGATGGATGACGAGGCCCTCCAACCGCTTGCGCTTGCGCTCAACGTTGGACGACGGCACGACATCGCCGTCGGCGCCCTGCGACGGCTTGTGCGGGCGGGCCCACGTCGACCCGGGGGACGGCGCTGCTGGGTATGTCCGCTAGGGCGCTGCGGTAGGAGTAGCTCCGTCGCGCCCACTTGCTGACCTGTCAGAGGATCGCGCGCTGGCAAATGTGGTCAGCGTAGTTCGGGGCCGTGCATGTCAGGTCGTCTGAACTCACTGCGAGCTACCCTGGCGTGAGCAGTGACGAATCGACAATCGCCAATGGGCAATGACGCGGTGGCTACGAGATAGGTCAGTGTGAGTGAACGTCCTGCTCGTTTCGTACATGCTTACCCATGCGGGACGTTCACTGTGGCTGATACTTGATTGAATAATCAGCACACATGGCCCGGGGATGCTGGGATAGGATAGCACCCCCGTAAAGAGACGCCAGCGCCAGATCCGGCCACGTCGAAGGTCACATACCTATAGAAGCCTTCCGATGTAGATGGTATATCCAGAACGTCATGGACATCTACAGCTGACCCGAAACGTTGGTGAGGTACTGATGCTCATGGAAAGCGGGTGACACACCGATAAGAGCAGCGCGTACGGACCTGTCTGTCGTACCGGTGCCAAGTCTCGATGGGTGTGTCACCCAGTCCAGGACGAGGGACAGCCGACGGGGCAGCACCATGTTCGCGCCCTTTATGATTGGCTCTGTGTGTCGCGCACAGTCACCGCGAGGCCGAATCACTGCTCAAACCAGTGGAGACACTCACAGCGCGTGTCGCGAAGGCTGCGGGACCTCCAGAATATCATGGTCAGCCATGGCTTAGCGTACGAATCATCCAGAGCCACATACCGTTTTCACTCACCCGAAGAGGTCTCCATAGGTGCGTGGTACTGCGCTGTCGAGGAGGGAGGCCCGCTGGTGGAATCCGTGCAGAGAATGTTGCGCCCGAAATGCATGACACCGCCTTATGTCTCCTGGAAGTAGCTCAGTCTCACGTCGATGGCGTCGGTTATGCTGAGTAGGTAATCCTGCCGTTGCGAGTCAGTGATACACGTGAATAGTTCCGCAGAGGTAGTACGTACCCGCTCTTTGAACAGCTGTTCACAAGGTCCTTTGAGGCTCTCACCACCCTCCTCGACCATCCGCCGCTCGTTCAGCATTCCATCGACCACCGAGTCGACCGGGTCGATGTGTTCTGACAGCGGATCGCACATGTCTACAGCCTCGGGGCTCCGACACACTCTCCAGGTGTGTGCCGTAGTGCACCTCCTGGCTATGCGCGACCGAGCGGTCGACGCACGCGAACCAGTCATAGAACTGATGTGGCGCCTGGATCGGTTGCTTTGGATGTAAGGCATGGGCGGTGGCCGCACGACGGGGCGGTTATGCTGAACTGGGTGTGCCTGGGTGCGAACGAACGCAAGCCTGTTGCGTAGCACGGGAGTCGAGGGTCGCGAGGATGATCCTGGCTCGTCTACTGCGAACTTGACTGGAGGTCACATCAAGCATATAGACGCAGGCGCACCCGGACGTTTCGAGGATGTCGAGGCCATTTGGTTGGGGCCCTATACGGCCATACAGGGCAGAGGGGACGGTTTTGAAGGAGAAGAAGGCGAAACGGAAAGCAGGAGTGAACGTGCGCCACGGAAAAATGGTAGCCGCGGCGGAGCGCCCGTGGTGAGTCGGACGTGCGATGGACGGGTGATGGACGCGTCCTCGTGCTGCGAGACAGGACTGTTCCTCACAAGTTCCTCAGCCGTCTCATCCTCTCGCGCCCTCGACCGTCCCTTGAGTGTATGCTGGCCCAATACGGTGGGGTATAACACTGCACACACACGGATTGGCTGGAGAACGAAAAAGGTGCCATGTCTGCGACCCTGACCTACCAAGAACGACACTACTAACATACGCCCCCGTCCCCGCAGGGACAATCGCATAGGTATAGCATACAGCTGCGCGAGGCTCCTCATTGGCGACGATCCCCACCATACTCACCGCGCGCGTTCACCCTCAGCTCCTGGCGCGCCTCTCCTGGACCGGCCCATCCTGCGTATTGAACACTCGGAAACCCCTCCCCTCCCCCGCACAACGTCGATCGCTGGAATGCGTGCCACGTTCATCAGCCAGCTGTTCCCTGGCTCCATACAGTGGGATCTTGATCCCCGGTGACATGGGCGCTGGCGAGCAAACTTCGCATCTTAGGTGAGTTCTCCCTCAGTGCATGCAGGGCGAAACTACTCACCATGTGAGAACAGCACCTGTACGGCTCAGCATGCAGTTCCGCACCCCGCTCTCTCCGCCTCACTCACGCCTCCGGACCCAGCCCGCCTGGCATTGACACCGCCTGTCTGCTTTGGCGGCCGCAACCGTCGCATGCAGCTGCGCAGCCTTTCGGCCTGTGAACGAGTCGACGCACGGCCCTCTTCGTGGTAAGCACCCATGGCAGACTGCGGAATGCTTCCGCCGCATCTGCGCCGCCGCGGGCGTCCATCCTTCGTGTTCAAAGCTCGGGATCCACTCGCCCGTACGTCGACATCCTCCTCCTCCCTCGGACGTCACTTCCAGTGACGTGTTCTGTCGCGCCTCCACCAGCCAGCTCCCTACCAAGGGATCTGGATCCCCGGACGAGCAGTCATTTCAAACAAGGTCAGTTGTCTCTCACTGTACACGCAGCGCGAAAAGTACTCACGCCCGCATAGCAAGGGGGCCCTCGCCCCACGCCCGAGCCCGGCCTGCTGGAGATCGACACGCTCCGTCCACCGCCCGACGGGCGTGTCCCTCGGGTCGCCAGTGCACAGATGACCTGGGAAGTAACGCGGCAGATGAGTAGGGCACCGACGTAAGTCTCCAATCATGCATTCATCATTGTCGTACTCACCTTCAGCGAGACAGCCTCGCGCGCTTTCCGGCCATCCGCACGCGCCACCTTCTCACTACCCGCCACGTCAAACAGCCGCACGGGCATCCAGCTCCCCCGTAACTCGATCCGCCGTGGCTTCATCGGTTGCGCGGCGATCCGCGAACGCGAGCCACGCGCCGATCTCCAGGCAGTGGCTGAGTCGAGCACGTTCTCGCGGGCGTGCTCGCCGGACGACGATACGTCGTGTCTGCGCTTGTCAGGCAGAGTGGTGGCGGTCATTCGCAGGGAGACGGTGTGGTGAACAGGCAATGACCCGCAGGGAGACAGGACACGAGCGCAGAGGCCATCGTGCCGTGCGAGTATCGTCCCCGGTGCTGTACCATCGAGGTGAGTTCGGTTCCACCTGTCGTGCAGGGCGACTGCACTCACCCTGTCCCGCCTAGGGATATCCGTGCGCTTCGCACCCACTATCCGGCTGTGCGCGCGGCCCGCCTGCATGCGTCGACCGTCTGACAAAAATGCGCGCGGCGTTTGAGCGTTCCGAGGACCTGCGAAGCAACGCGGAAGACGTGTAGGATGCCAGGTGAGCTGTATCCCACTGTATGTGAGACAATCCCGTGCTCACCTTTGGCCAAGGTAACTCGCTGGCGGGAGCTGGCGGCTTGCGAACGGCACCTCGGGCGCGTCAACGCTAGTGCATTGCAGGGGTACGCCCAACCCGCGCGGGTCGCGGGTAGGGGTACGCGCGGGTAGGGGTCCGGGTAGCGATTTCCGTACCCGCCTACCCGCCCTGCAGTCGTGCGGGTATTGCCAAAAGCGGCAACCCCGCGAGCGCCCGGTCTGCCCCTCTCGAGTTCCACCAGGTCGACTCGCCCACGCCCACGGTCTCAGCCTCAGCAACACGACGCACACGCGCGCGGCGAGCACCCACGAAGACCACGCGTGCGAACGCAATGCAAACGCAGCCGACAAAGCCACCGCGAGCCCGGGCGCGGCGACGAACGGGCGGCAGGCCTGGATGACAAGTGGACGGCGGGCAGGGGTGGATGACTGGCGGGGACGGGCGAGGGTGAGGGCGAGGGCGAGGGCGAGAGTGAGGGCGAGGGCAAGGTGAGTCCAGGCACACGCGCGCGAGCTCACTAACGGCAGGCGCAGGACGCGGCGACGTGCAGCGCGACGCGCATGACGACCGCGGGCACGCAGGGCCAATGCCCTGCGTGTAGGCACGGCCGACGAACAAGCGGCACGAGCGGGCGGGCGGCAACACGTCGACCGCGAGCGCGCTGGGCAACTGCCCAGCATGCAAACACGACCGACGAATGCGCCCAATGCGAGCGGACGCACGGACGCACGGACGCGAGGACGGGCGAGTAGGCGGGCGCGCGGACGAGTAGGCGGGCGGGCGGACGGGCGGCGGGCAGGTGAGTAGACGAGTGAGGGGGGGAAACCGGCGAGCTGGCGGTGGGTGAGTGGGCGAACACAGGGTGCGTCGTCACGCAGCACGACACACACAACCACGGCGAGCACGCAGGGTGAATACCCTGCGTGCAGACGCAGCCGACGAGCGGACCGTGGGCGCGTGAAGAGGGAAGGTGAGTGCAGACGCATGTCAGCGAGCAAGCTGACCGCCAGCAGGCCACAACGACGTGTAGCACAACGCACATGCCGACCACGAGCGCGCTGGGCGAATGCCCAGCGCGCAGACACGGCCGACGAATGCGCGCAAAGCGAGCGGGCGCGAGGACGAGCGGACGCGAGGACGGGCGCGTGGACGAACCGGCGCACCGACGAGCGGATGGATGGACGAGCAGACGGGCAACCACAAGTGCGATGGACGAATGCCCAGCGCATAGATACGGCCGACAAACACACGCGCCGCGAGGCGGGAGAACGAGGCGGCAGGCAAGCTGGCACGGACGGGGATACGGTGCGGACGAGCACCACGCGCATACCGACCACGAGCATGCTGGGCGAATGCCCAGCACGCAGACGTGGCCGATGAACGCCGGGCGGGCAAACGGGCGAGCGAACGACGAGCGGGGGTGGGCACACCAAGGAGGCGGGAGGGCGGGCGCGCGGCGCGTACAGACGGGAAGCACGTGAACGCTCCCGTCTGCGGGTGCGGAGCTGTCGGGGAACGCGCGGGCGGATGGCAGGAACGCGCGAGGCCGAGTGCGGAGGACGGCGAGCGGGGAGGATGGAGGCGGGGGCATGGCAGCGAGGACGTGTACCGTTGACCCACCGACTTGCCCGCACACTCGCGACTCAACGCAAGACAGCCTCCCGCTCCACTTCGCTGGAAGTCGATATGTGGGAAGCTGACAGTGATGCAATGGGGCAAGTCACGATCGACCGCGGCGTGGTGCCGACGCTGGGCTCGCCGGAAGCCCACACGTCGTGCCGTCGCCCGTCCGGCAGCAGTCGGTGGGTGTGGCGATCATCCGCAGGGAGACGAGCTACGATCGCAGGGGCCGCCGTGTCATCCGGTGTCATGGCTTTCCGTGCGAGTCCACCGGAACCCGCTACGTTGTGTCTTTATTGGTCAGACACGCAGGGTAAGTCGGCTCTGTTTGCCTGCAGAAAAAGCTCTATTAGTGCTGAATCCGCTGGACTGATGCCGTCCCCGTTACGGTGTGACCTGCTATGGTCTCGTCATGCCTGGCTGATGGGCCTCCGGTGTCGCTTCAAGGTGGGCTGCGATCCCCCCATGCTATGAGCTCCCAAGTGAGTTTGTGACAGCGACGACGCATGCTGGCCTGACCGCAGGCGGCCCCCGCGCATGTATGAGAGCACGGTGCACCCCGCGTCCATCTTGTGTCCATGTGCGAGTACAGGCATAGCCTGACATATGGGTCTATGGTCTGGTGGTAAAGCTTCCCGTCTCTGAATAAGGATGGCCGGCTGTACTGCGGGGCTGTAAGTTCGAGTCGGAAGTAGGGCAGAATCTGTAGGGCTGGCTGTCTATATGGGTACACCGCTGCTGTGAGTAATAATATAGGGTATTTTGGTATGATTTTCTACGTGGCTGTCTTCGCAGTGGCCTGCACACCCAGGCTCCGGGAGCTGCTGGGCGATGTAAGGCAGTAGAATAGCGATGTGGTCGGCCGATCCAATACACACGAAAATCAGCCGGAGTATAGTTCTCATAGCATAAGTAAGGGCATGCAGCCGACATGGTCCATGCAGTACCGTAGAAAGTCCCAGCCGAATCCTGGTACAGGTAAACAGATGGTGTCCGCGGTATAATGCTCGCCCAGGGACCAGCTGTGTCCGGCCGTCCCCAGGACAGGCGAGGCTGTGGTGGCACCTGTCAGTATCGAAAAAGTCCAATGTCAGGGGGCAGGGGTATCGTAGGCGACGTGTCGCAGGAAGAAAAGTAGGGTGAGGGGGGGTGGGCGATGGGTCTTCCTTACAGGCCGAAACAGGAGAGAAGGGGTATCGTAGGCGTGTCGCGGGAACTGCCTGCATGGGCGAGCCCTTCTAGAGGAAGGTATGGCCACCGATGCTGCCCAGGATTTCGAGGAGCAGCCAGTTCTGTATGGCTGCCCCGAGCGACCCTGGCATGCCCGCAGCCGCTGTATCTGGGCCGTAGGAAAGCTCGGCGAGCCGGTGGAAGTAGCTGGCGGGGATCGCTGCCTCGCGGAAACACGTTCTCCACGAGATGCGGCCCTCGTCGATGCAGTGCTGCCGGATCGCGTTGCTGCAATAATACTGTGAATCGGTGTCGCCGACGATCCACACCTAATAGTCTGTCAGCACAGGCATGCATACTGCCATTGACAACTCGCCGTAAGCCTCTCAGCCGGGTCCACTGTCTCGCTGCCTGTGATGGCCAGGTGGAACATGCGAGGGCGGAAGAAGGGTTCGCCGGCCTGTGATAAGTCGATTGCATCGCTAAATGTCGCCTTGGCATCGTCCAGCCGAGCCTCACAAGGAATCCCTGTACCCTGCAGGAAAGTCCTGACGAGGTCGCCGAGTGCGTAGTCGCGACCATCAGCCCTCAGTGTGCGCTGCTCCTGTGGCACCGTGCTCGCAGTGCGGATGTCCAGCTGCGGCGCGATGGAGCTGTATGCCATGATGTATGCAGCCCATACCTCGTTGACAAACGTGTTAGAGCCACCTACATACAGGCGAACAGCCTAGTAGGAGTCGGTGTGAGTACATGGTGGGCCTGGGCAGTCGGCGAGGTCATACCTTCGTGAAATCGAACCCATTGGCACACGGGAGCCTGAGACCACGCAGAAAGCTCTGGGTATCGGTGTGCTGGGGGCTTTCGTTGCCTAATAGTCCCTTGTACAGTATGAGGGCGGCGACACCACGATGTGTCGCAGGATCCCGGTCACGGAGACTTCTGACCTATCGAGAATATGAGCACTGGTGACGACATAGGAAAGGCTATAGCCTTACATCAACCTCGGCATACTCCACGATGTCCGAGATGAAGGGGGTTATGTCACCTGCAGGACCAGCATCCAGGAAGGCCGACAGCCGCGTCGTGAATGCTGGGTGCCATTCGGCCATGATCGCCTTCGTGACAGATTCGATGCAGCACCCATGGATCAGGTAGTGCAGGAATACAGGGTCGAGGGGCTTCGGGCACTGGCCATTGACCATGAGGAGTGCCATCAGGAAAACCCTCATTTCCGAATAACAACGAATGTCTGCCTATTACTGCGAAGAACGAGTAATTGTTGCAGTTCTCTTGTTCGCCCCAGTAGTGGTCTATTCGCTATGGTCCAAAAGTCGAGTTGCGAATAAGTAGATAAGAATACCGAATGCGGTGATGTTATTGGTAGGGCTCCGCAATTTTTATGTGATCATTGACTCATTCTGAAGCTCGAAAACATATTCTTCGCACAGGCACATACGAGTATAGGGAAACATGAGATGCATTATGAAGTATTATGTTCGCATTCCGAGACAATCCATCCAGCACAACTCGTAGTAAACTTGTACTGTAGTACATCCTCGGACCTCTACTCATCGGGTATATGGCTCCAGTCGACGCCTGCTCCGTTCGATGTACCTTGTAACACGCCTTGCAGAGTATGTCCAGATCTAAATAATAGAATATCAGCATATAGCTATAAGACCACATATATACGTACGTCACAGCTGTGAATAGCTCGTGCATGATCCGATGGTAACGCTTTGGTCTCTGTCGGCGAAGTCCGACGAGACGAACGAGGTGGTCCCGATATATCTCTGCGTTCGTGGCATTGAAGTCTGACGCCTTTGCGAGCTTCAGCTGATGATCGGATATGATTGACTCAACCTGATGAACATTCAAAATTGAATACAATATAGAGGATCAACGAGTCACGTAGAATATTGGACGTACCGCTGTCATGCACAATGCCAACATAGTCGGTGGTATCTCGCTCTCAGAGGGTGCGGCAGTATACGAGGAGACGAACGATTTTCCGTTCAGCAAACCGACCTTAACATACTGCGCGGAGACAAAGAATGATGCCCGTATGGCTTGTTTGATAATAGAGCTCTCATACGGAGCAGATTGATTGAATGCGAGTCCCTGTGTTGTCGGCACGAGAAGCAATTGAGTACGAAACCACGAGATGTACTAGTCGATACATACCATCGCATCCCATGGATAAATATAGCTCGTTTCCTTGAGCAGCGCAGCCTTACTGGGGATGCCGTCTGCAGGCTCATCGCCAAGACCGAGTCGAAAAGTGTGCTCGACTGTCGGCGTCACAGCCTTCTTGATCGCAGAACGGAAAAGACCTAGTCGATGTGACACCTATGCACATGGTAAGCGCACATCAGCCGGAGCAACACGGAGAATACTTGCATAGAGTACGAGGGGTCTGATGTAGTTGCGAGTTGACCCCAATTCTAAGCGTTGCGCTATGTCGCCATCACCGTCATACCCGAGCTGTTCTGCTGCCTCAATCATTGCTCTCAATGCAATACCATCCATGCCGTCTTTCTCGAAAGGCGTGATGATACCGTGAAGCGCCGCGAAGTCCATGCTGAGGACGGACTCGTCATCAGAACCAAATGCGATGATTCTATCGCCAATTTCGAACGCGCGGTGCAGGACTTGCTGCATTATAGCATTCTGGTCTTTCATCTGCATGTTGATGCTCCGCTTTCCTTGTATGACGTCGATCTCGGTGCGAGCCATCCAGACCATGTTGTCTGATGTACCATCAACCCCACCCTCAGTAAGTATGGCAGTCGTAACAGGTCGGCGAATCTCAGGCATCTGAAGTGTATCAGAATGCGAGACCCAATATAGAGGGACCACGTACCTCCTGCTTGAATTTTTTCCGTTGTTTCTCCGTCAACTAAGGCAGTAAGTTGATCATCCAGCCCTGTGTGGTGCGAAAGCGACGTACCTGACGCGGGACCTTGGTCGACACCTCAAATCTGGCCTCCTCCACACCTTCTTCATCCGACGATTCCACGATTGTATTTCGGAGAGGCTTGCGCCGTTTTTGCGACGAAGAGCCTCGACGCTGCGATGAAGAGCCTCGACGCTGCGATGAAGGAGCATCCGGCTCGTCCGAGTCATCCGCAACCTCATGTGTCGTGAGACCATCGCTAGTATCTGTCGTCGGAGGTCCCATCGGTAAGTACGACAACACGCTCGATGATCGACTCGGAGAGTCTGTGCCCCTGTGGTGTACTAGGTCCTCGTGATCACCTTGTGTCGACTCTGACTTAGTACAATTTGTTTTGTGCCATACAGCTCAACAAATTACGCACCTGAGTGTGAGAATATGACTCGCTGGTTGCGACGAATGTTAATGCGGCATAGGAGTGCGAAGTTATTACAGCATACCTCCACATCGAAGTCGTCACATTGTTCACGAGGCTCCGGCACTTCCTCGTCGTCATCCTCCTCCTGTGATTGGGTGCCCTGTCTTTCTTCGCCGCTGTCACCGAGAGCGTCTTCAATGTTGGCAGGAGTAGCAGCCCGTGGAAGAATACGAGCAAGAGGCTGGGAGCGCATAACACTAGACTCTTGTGACTTCGGGCGAAGTGGCGCTGACCTAGTAGCGCCGGAGGACTTGACTCGGATTGGCTTCGCAATTCGGATGTCTGTTCCGGAGTCCGAATCATCGTTAATGACTGCAGGTCCATGTCGCCTAGATTCTATGCAGAGGGGATCATTTGATGAGCACGGGGACCATACTCAAGTATCTGCTATCGCGATCATTGCCCACGGACTGCAACTTACTTGAACCATCAGATTTGACGGAGCGCACAACTTTGGCCTTCTTCGGCTTGTGGCGCTCCGACACTTCCTCTTCAGCGCGATGACCGACCAGGCCACCTCTCTCAACTACAGACTCCGCTCTCTTGCGCTTTTCCTTGTCCGGCTTCGTTGCAACTACTGCTTGCATAGGCTGGTAGGCGTTTGCTGGATGCAAGGGTGAGTCTACACAGTTGGAGTAGGATGTGTATGCGACCTACACTTATCGGTTGACTGCTCCGAAGAATCAGGTTTTGGTTTTGACGGCGCACGACTCTTTGGGATCATCGACGCCCACTCTACATCATGATACCGAATAGGTGAGTATCATACCACAACAGGTGTCTGCGTGATATTCACTTTTCGAAGCACCCTGTGAAGCAACACGGCTAGGGCGTCCAGCTGTACACGATGAGCGCGAGCTGGGGTAAGTAGATCCAGCTATTGTACATTGGCGGACAGCTCACACAAAGGAGGATTCTCTTCATTATCAGGATCGTGCTGGACCATGCCCATATCCGCGGTTGACTTCCGACCAGCTCGAGGGCCACGGTGCGTAGCGGTTGACATGGTAAGCTGAAGCCTTCGAACACGGAACGATTGTTGATGTGGATGATATGAATAGGATAGCGAGGTACCAGCAGGACAGCAAAGGAACAAGACAGCGAAGGAACAGGTCGGATAGCGAAGAAACAGGACAGCGAAGAAACACTGGCAGGACAGCGACGTAACAAACCAAACCGAAGTACGGTCGAAGGGAAGGAACAAGGGCACCAAACGGGATCTGCTGGCACCCGTTGACATGTGATGTAGCGGGTTGTGAATGTGCAAAATATGCACGGCCACTAGCGAGGTCGACCGTGTGACATTCCCGTACGTTCAACTCCTACCTTCGCAAGTGCCGAGTGTCAACACATTTCTAGCTAGTCATTCAGCACTCTGTACTCACGCTTCTATACTTTGGTGAGTGTCATAGCCGTCTTTTGACCCTACTGCGCAACTCATTTGTATTTACTTCAGGTATTGATCAATCGACCTCGCTATGCCATACATCTGCAGCGGCTGCGCATCCTCTTTCACTGGCCATGGCGCCTTCATTCGACATCTACAACAAAGTACCCTGGGAGCTTGTCAGCTCGCACGTCAACGACACGAGGATGCTATGCGCTATCCAAGTCGCCGAGATAGTCATCGACGGGCTGCGCGTTCACGGTCGCAGTCGAAGCATGGGGACCGAGATCGAGAAGACGTGGATATGCATTCCACAGCTGATGCTCCACACGATGAAGACTTACCAGTTGCATTTGAGGGAGACTACTTCGGAGCTGCTGGTGAGTATGCTGCTGGAGACCTTCCCTTTGACGATGGAGATGCGGATGTGGACGCGAGCACCGACGCAGCAACCTGTCGGCATGATGACGAGTCGGGCGGCAACTCGGACAGTGACTCTGACGATGAAGACGTTGGTCAAGACCTCACTGAGGTGGCTACAGCCCTAGGCGACGATCTTCCGCTCGATCCTCCAGTGCACCACGCCCCGTCTACTGCTATGGACATCGACCCTGTCCCCGGGCCCGAGTCCTCGGGCATCCCCGACGCGGCCGCTGCCCCTGGTGGCATACATGTCGACGCGCATATTCAGCTCCGCCAATCTCCCGCCTATGTAGTCCCATTCGGCGGTGAAGCCGGGAAAACTTCGACGCCTCCTGTGGGTCAACCTGCACGTTCGGGATATGAGACCTATGCAGACGAGGTTGATCCTAAGGATGATAACTTGTACGCGCCCTTCGCATCTCGCGTTGATTGGGAGATTGCCCAGTGGGCGAAACTGCGTGGATTGGGGTCGACGGCTTTCTCTGATCTGCTCGCTATAGAAGAGGTAAGTCGGCAACAGTACCATGAACGTTTGACTTATGTGACTTACATTTGCTGGAAGGTTCGCGAACGACTGGGTCTGTCATACAAGAACGCGGATGAGCTCAACAAGATTATCGACAACAAGCTGCCGAATCGTCGGCCAGCGTTCCATCGTTTTGAAGCTTGTGTAGGCGACGAACAATTCGCGATGTTCTGTCGTGACATCTTAGAATGTATTGCTGCTCTCTACGGTGATACTGAGCATGCGCGGTACATATGTGTTGCTCCCGAGCGCCACTATGCCGACGCCGACTGTACCATCCGCCTGTACCATGATCTACATACGGGACAGTGGTGGTGGGCAACTCAGGTAAGCTAACAGCCTCGATAGCAAATCTAGTGCTAAAATCACATACAGAAGCATCTGGAGAGCGAGATGCCAGGAGCGACAATCATCCCAGTCATCTTATCATCAGACAAAACCCAGCTGACATCGTTCCGCAACAAGACTGCGTACCCAGTCTACCTTACGATTGGGAATCTGCCGAAGGAGATTCGAAGGAAACCATCGCACCGAGGACAGATTCTCCTCGCATACCTCCCAACCAGCCGGCTCGAGCACATCAAGAATAAGGCAGCTCGCCGCAGGACCCTCGCGAACCTCTTCCACGCCTGCATGTCGATGGCGACTGAGCCTCTCCGTGTCGCTGGCGTTGACGGTGTCCCTATGGCAAGCGGAGATGGTATTGTCCGGCGCTGCCACCCGATCTTGGTGATCTACGTTGGCGACTATCCGGAACAGGTCCTCGTGACGGGGACCTACACTGGAGATTGTCCAATCTGCAAATGCCCTCACGACGAACTTGGTACATACCCTTGCCCATACGACTATCGCAATCTCGACGAAGCGCTGGATGCACTCGCTTTCGCGGGGACTGGTGAATACAACCGTGCTTGTGATGACGCCGGCATCAAGCCAATCCAACACCCGTTCTGGGAAGGCCTACCGTACGTCGATATATACCGCGCAATCACGCCCGATATTCTTCATCAGTTACATCAAGGCATCATCAAGCACCTCCTGGCGTGGCTGACGGATATCGTTGGCGAGCACGAGATTGACGCGCGAGTCAAACGTCTTCCCCCGAACCACAGCATTCATATCTTCCAGAAAGGCATCTCTGGTCTGACGCGCGTGACAGGAACCGAGCACAAGCAAATCGCTCGGTTCATTCTTGGACTTGTCATCGACGTACGTCTGCCGCACGGCGAGTCAACGGAGGATTTGGTCAGCGCAACAAAGTCCCTCCTCGACTTCCTATACATGGCTCAGTATTCGGTCCATTCGAGCACGACGCTCGACGCGCTTGAACGCACACTATCTGACTTCCATACGAAGAAGTCTATCTTCGTCAGCCTCGGTGCGCGTGGCAACTTCCTCATCCCAAAGCTCCATATGCTTCTTCATTATGTTCGCGCGATCAAGCTCTACGGTACGACCGATAACTACAACACCGAAGCAACAGAACGCCTTCATATCGACTTCGCAAAAGAAGCCTATCGCTCGACCAACCATAAGAACGAATTCCCCCAAATGACAAAATGGCTCGAGCGCCGCGAAAAGGTCTTGCAGCATGCGCAGTACGTCAAATGGCGCATTCTCCACGCGGAAGCTCAAGCAGACCCTCGTCGTACGGAACCTGAGCCCGCCGCTGCCGATGAAAAAACACGCTGGCGGCCACCCGATATGGCGTGTCCGTTGTATCACCACATGACAAAGTGGCCTACCCGCAACGCTGTACCTATCACCGAGCTTGTGGCTCCTTCGGGGTACGGCGCGACGCACCTCATGCCGGCTCTGGCTCGTTTTGTAGTGGAGTTGAATGCACCGACATTGACGAAGAACGAGGTTGAACGGCGAGCTGCCAATCTCACATTCCCTTTCCAGGCCCTCCCGGTGTACCACAAGATCAAATTCCGCAATATGGAGTACTACGGCAATGAAACCCTCGATTCAATTCATGCACAGCCCCTACGAGTAGGGTCACATGGCAATGTTCTCGCTCATCCACGCTTCGACACAGCACTTGTTCGTGTTCAGCGCGATACTGGTCAGCCTCGCGCTCGTTTACAGGGTATGTCTTCCTACTATGTATCCGGCACTTTGAATACTGATGAATTGATTGTTGCCGCGGTGATAGATACACGCATTGGACAAGTGCGAGCGGTCTTTTCGTTGCCACAAAAATACCTGCTACGGCTCTTCCCGACACTCACTCAAGTCCCACGGCATCTAGTGTACATCGAATGGTTCTCGAAATTCACGGCTGAACCTGACCCACGATATCAAATGTACAAAGTACAGAGATTGACGGGTAACGCGAAGATAGCATCTGTTGTACCACTTACTCTACTTGAGCGCAGCGTACACCTCTTTCCAAAGTGGGGCGGACCTGTTCCGAATGCCTGGCAAAGCACGAACGTTTTGGACGAATGTACGGCCTTCTATCTTAATCCGACAAAGGACTCACATAGCTACTATAACCTGTATTAGAGCGAATCATAAAACTGTTGTTGCACATTGCCCGTGTTCTCTGTGATATCGATAATGTGTTCAGAATAATCTTCCATTGTTGCGAGTCCGTACAATATTGGTACATTATGCATATTGGCGCGAATTACGGAAATAGGGTTTTCCTGATGGCAGTCAGGGCCCCGAAGATCGTGAGCTCCTTCTTGCGGGCGAGCCTGTTTTCTTCAGCAGCAAAGTGAGTGATGGGACTGTTAGCGATCGTCCAGGTCCCATCTAGGCCAGGCCGACAGAACCTGGGATCTCCCTGGTATTTCTGGAGTGCTGTCCACAAAACCTCACGCTCGACACCTGCACCGAATGACACTACTGCTCCAGCTGGCGACAGCCTGTAGCATGGAGGTAAGCCTAGTGAACAGTGAGGGCGAGGTACTGGCCAACCTTCGGAACACGCGATCAGGCGACAGTAGGGCTGTGTAATCGCCGAGATGGGCAGCATCAATGAGATACTCCCGGAGGGCATCGACCATCGCATCCATGCTAGTCCCTTCAATTCGCAGTGAAAATGGCCGTGCCTGTGCACCCCGCGCCCTGCCACTACCGTGGGCCTCAGGGTGGCGGCTGGCTGCAGCATAGACAGCTTCAGCGAAGCCACTCAGCTCGCTGTATTGCTGGCCACCGACAGTGTCCCTCGGCAGTTCTGGCTCCCACGGCGACTGCCAGATATCACGGGGCATGAATGCAGCTACAGCCGATGGCATAGACGATGTGCGAGCAAGACTTGGCACTGTACGACCCTGGAATATTGCAGGAAAAAAAAAGATGATGAACTGTGGCGAGTACGGGACATAATGAAGCTCACATTCAGCTGAGCACCAGCTCTGGGCCCAGTCGTGGCATCTGTCATTCCAATATCCGAGTCGGTCGTGGAGGCTGGGCTGCCCGGGTTGCTGTTCGGGCGATCAGGACTTCCTAGCATG